TCTATGGGAGCAGTGCTTAGTACACAGGAGCCGCACCTCCACACACGCTCACACGCACGCTAATTAAGCCGCAAAACCTTTGACCACAAATGGGGCCCAGACTGTGCCGATGATGCGGCTGGTGCTATACAGTAAATAAAACCCAGAGCGCGGTTGGAACGCCGGAACCCACTTACCGTGATGGTTCGCAGGATTCTGCAGCTCGGGATGCGCCTTCTTCATATCCGGGGCTATCCGTCAATACCCCACCAACCTATCTTCTTTTCCCTCGTATCAGGAGAGAACCCCTCTCTGTACTTATGATGCTCCCTCGGTGCGGCTGAAGTGGATGCTGCTCCGAAAGCGTCAGCACCAGCCCCTTTCGCAGATACTGTGCGTTTTGTTCGTGCCTGTCTACGCAGTTTCTTGTACCTTCTCCCATCTTGCGGCGGCGCACACATTGAATGGGACCTGCTGATTATACAATGCTCGTTTCATGTGTTGGAATACGCCATGATCACTTCGTTCTGTACACTTCCGCGGCGGGGCCTTCTAACCGAGGAAGAGGGAAGAGGCTGAAAGTTACCAGCAGGCAATGCAAGCTGAGAGACACGCTTATCGCCGAATCAAACGCCCCATTCTCTCTCAAGACGAAGGCATGATAAGGGAACGCAGTGCCTCGCAGCCTTGCTACGGTTTTTGTTTAGGTACTGCTCTTCCACATGTTCTGATCGCATTTTTGCGCAACTAGGTAGTGCCAGTCCCTTCTGCAACTGCGACCGTGTCTAAGTGTCCTTTTCTTGGCATACAATCCTTCGTGCTTCCAGCTTTTACTAATGCTTCTATATCTTCCGATATCTTCTATCCGGCTTTACTGTGTCATTGGAGTAGTCTCTTATATCACGACACACCAATCTTGACTCTTCTCCCATTCCGAGCCGTCACCCTTGAGTTCCACTTGCTCCTGTTTCCTTCGATGTCAAAAGTCACAGCACAAGGAGCTCTGAACTCCGCAAAATCCGGCTACGCACCTGAGGAAATGCAAAACCATGTCGCTCACTTCATCCTCCTTGTAGTCTTCTCCAGCTTCGCAACCGCCGCTGTGGGACTGAGATTTTGGGCACGAAACATAAGAACCCAAACTTTTGCGCTTCATGATTACTTGACAGTACTGGGTCTGGTGAGCATCCCTCAAGCGTCACGGATCAAGCCTTATCCACTGATGATGGATGATCGCAGATCTTCGCACTCGCCGAGACTGGTGTCAATATTTATAGTAGGTCTTTTCACCCACAGCAATACCTCTCTGGACTGAGCACGGTCAATGACAATTGCCAGGTTGCTGTTTTCCATTCTTACGGAGAATGGGCACCGTACCGGAAGCAGTAGGCCTCCAGGTAAGGCTTGTCTGTCTCAGAATGAGCCGGTCTGACTTGGGTACAACAGTTCCTGTTTCTGTCGCCTATTCTCTGGGTGACTGCCGTGACGATAATCCGCGCCGCGATTATTTCCCTCTATCACGTAGTGGTACCTTATACAGCCGGGCTGTTGCCCATCAATGAGTGAATCATGCTGGAATCACACCCTCCTCGCCAAGCATTTTCAGCCCTACAGGATGCCAATCTTGAAAGCATCTCCGCCTAACAACTTCATGCCCACCTCTAAAGATCCCGTTGCGGCTTGTCTTCATTTGCATCTATGTGCCAAGAAGGACGATGACTGTCTCCATCGGCTTGATGATGTGGTGGATAGTTATGAGTAGCTATGCTATTACGCCACCCCAAAGCTTCATTCCCACTATGTGTATGAGGTGAGCCTGCAGCATTAGGGAGGCCGAAAGGTATTACACATTGCATTGAAGACCACGGCTAGAGAGTTCTTCACCGCCAGGCTTGACAAGATTTAGCAGAAATGTGTTGCGTGGACTTTGCGTGGATGACTTTCTTTGAGACCTTGTACTCTACATGAAGCATTTATGTCTGGAAGTATCGCAGCAAAAGAACGCAATGTTTTGTGGCTTTGCATCATCAAGTCCGTTAATTACATGATTGACAAGCTGAAAATTGTCAGACTCGCTTCGAATCCCATCTTCATATCTTGAATACGGCATTCAAAAAACTATTACGACATGTAGCTCGCGTGCGAATTGTTTATTGCTTTAGGCATTGAATATTCGTTACTATATCTCCCTCATCCCACTATATGTATGAGGTAACCTGCAGCATTACATGCAAATCCATTGGTCACCTCGCGGTTGGCGCAGAGGCCACGGCCCATCATGATATCATCATGCATATGCGCATTCTAGGTCCGTGAATCAGCAGAACTTCGCTGTCCTCGAAGATATGGGGTTTAGAAGGGGACCTCAAATATCTTTACACCGTAACTGTCTCTGTGCAATCTTAACTGTGCACTCAAACCCCATTCCTTGTCGTTCAAGCCAGCTTGATCCAAGAGCAATATGGAGAGGCTCAAGTCCTTCCACCGCCGACGCCTGATTCTCCAACCTTCTTCAGGCTCTTTCACAGCCGAAGGCCAAATCTCCCGCTGGAGCAATTCAGACTTAGATCCAGTCCCGAGGAATCAGAAGAAGTGGGAGTGGTACCATGTCGGAGGCTTCTGGATCGCTGAAGGCTTTTCTGCTTCCCAGATTCAGACTGCATCAGCAAGTGTCGCATTGGGTCTCAATCCTGGCATAGCTCTCATAGCCTATCTGATTGGTAATATCTTGGTCATGATGGCATGTTGTGGTACTGGCTATATTGGCTCCAAGGTAACAATCAGCCGCTGTGTCCTTCCGTCTCACAAGATTTGAATCCCCGGTGATCGTGGTTTCCTGCATTGAACCTACAGTGCGCTAACGTACGTCAGTACTCAATCAATTTTCCAGTCATCTCGAGAGCGTATGACAGTCCTCAAAATTCTCTGGCGATAACTTATTCTCGTCTTAGATCCTTCGGCTTACGAGGTTCATGCCTTCCCATCATCATCCGGGCAATTGTTGCTCCCATATGGTACGGCATCCAAGCCTACCTAGGCAGTCTTGCAGTCCAAGCCATGATTGAAGCCATATGGCCATCCTTCGCCAACTGGCACACAGATGCTTTACCAACAAGTGCCGATATCACGGCTGCTGAACTCCTCAGCTTTACCATCTTCTGGCTTGCGTCTCTCCCCTTTCTGTTCCTCAGTATGCCCGCACTGCGCTGGATCTTCCTGGTCAAAGTGATCATCATGCCAATCTTCGGCATCTGTCTGTTCACATGGGCGGTGACTGCTTCGCACGGTTTTGGCCCTTTACTCCGAATACCGAATAAGATCGAGGATGGAATGTCTCTGGGCTATGCCTTTTGCTACGCCATCACGACCGCCATTTCCGCCAGTTCAACCTTTGCCATCAACATCCCTGACCTGACGCGCTACGCCCGTAATCCGCGGACTGCCACCATTGCTCAAGCCATCTGTCTTCCAGTATGCATGACGCTCATCTACTTCCTCGGCGTCGTCATGGCAGCCTCGTCGCAAGTCATATATGGGCAAATCCAGTGGAACCCGCTCACGATCGTTCTCATGTGGAATAATCGGGCTGCAAAGTTCTTCGTCGGTTTTCTCTTCGCCTTCGCCATGATTGGGACGAACGTGGCTGGGAACTCAGTCCCTTTCGCCAACGACACCATGGCGCTTTTCCCGAAATACATGAACCTGAGACGCGGGCAATTTCTCTGTGCAATCCTCGGCTTCGCCATCTGCCCTTGGAAAATCGAGGCGAGCGCTCAGAGCTTCTTGGCGTTCCTCAACGGATACTCGGCGCCGTTTCTTGGGCCTGTCGCTGGGGGTAGGTCGAATGCTGTTTCTCATTCGGTGGTCTCTAACGTGTTGACATAGTCCTCCTATCCGACTTCTTCCTAGTCAGAAGGTCCGGCGAATTGAATGTCTACCAGCTTTACAAACCATCCGGCCTCTACTGGTACACAGCAGGCATCAATGTGCGAGCAGTGGCAGCATTCACTGTCGGTATGGTACCACAAATCCCCGGTCTCGCCTACCAAATCAATCCCATGATCAAAGGAGTATCACGCAACTACGTGGATTTCACCTCCTTGGGCTGGCTCGAGGGACTTCTCTTCTCTGGGTGAGTCTCGACGTCCAACTTTTATCACATCGACGCGCGGGCTCATTATGATACAGGTTCGCTTATCATATCTTATGCCTATCGTTCCCTTTCCCGACACGAACGGATGAAGAAGACAAAGCAGCTTGGGCAATCGTAGGTCACGATGGAACAAGGCCGTCGACATCGAGTACGCCACCGCAAGACGGGGTTGAGAAGGCCGTTCCACTTCAAGATGCGATTTCTGCGCCCGAGTCCTCAAGTGGCAATTCTTAGGTTTGATCTAGATTGATAGCATGTCGCAGCATATCCGGCGCCAGCAGTTGTATCTACTTGTACTTTTCTAATTCTTGGTGCTGTCAAACCCTTCGGAGTCTTCCATTCGCTCCTGTTGCTCACCCCGTCGACATGTCGCACGATTTTATGTCAGATATCAGATGCTCAGGAGGGACATCCCATTGAAGCAGCGACATTATCGGCACCAGCCTCTGTAATATCCTCGAATCATGAGCAAAGACAATAACAGCGATGAGCTTGAAGATAGAAGTCATCAGCTCAGGACCCGGGTACGAAATCTCATAATGGACCATGCTAGTGACATTTGATACGCATTTCAATATAGAACAATCATGAGAGATCTCGCCCGTAGGAGTGATTGCAAAAAAAACAAGGTAAATCCGGAAAAGAATTGCAGTTGACGTTCCAAAGAGTTAGACACAAGAGGATAGTGGGCCCGATGAACCCCTGGCTTCTGTCAACGAGCTTCCCAAGCAAACAACATCACGAGCATGCATATACACACCCATAAAACGTAAACAAGTAACCGCGCCGTCTCAAAGCCCGGGCTAGCAAGCTCGAACGAGCCTACTCTCATACCTCAGTACCAAGAGACTCCCACGCCTACACTGTAGAGACTTAATAGTAGGTCCATGCAGGCGTGGGGGGTGGGACGAAGGGTGCTGCGGCTCTGAACGAGACGAATTCGAACGACAGGGGCCACCTGCCAGTGCAAAACGAGTATACTATACACACGGCCTGTGTTGCCGACAGATATCTGCACTTGCCACCGTGACACTTCTGTCCAGATATGAGACGGGGTCATCGTTGGATTTCCCACGGGATCCGCAATTTCGGTCCGGACACGGTCATGGCGCCTACCCCGCTGTTTACTCTACTGGAGCATGGGGTTTTGAGCCGTCACGGCTTATTCAACGCTCTTTGGATCCGATCGTTCATCCCTTTTAGACAATCTAGACGGTGGGCCGCGCCTACGGGGTATGGCGCTAAGGAGTCGCAGGTTGGAGGCCCCGTCTGGGGGATTTGGATGATCGATGTCGGCGTTTCTGTTTTGGAAATAGCGTGGGATATCGGGTTGCGCCTCGGTTGGGGGAGGTTAGATGATTTACGGCTCGAATGGGGGATGAGCTCTTGGGGTCTACAGCAGTAAATCTGTCTGGAGTCGCGATGGCTGAAGCGGGTGGATGCGACAGTGGGTGAGAAGGATGATGGATAGTGGACGATGGAACACCAGGGCCAAAGTTGAGAGAGAGAGAGAGAGAGAGAGAGAGAGATACGCTGACCGAGAGATAAGATGAGAAAAGACTTTTCAAATATATGAGGTACGGTAAGTGAAAGCTCGGGAACGTAGAGATCTCCCGGTGGATTAAGACTATATACACGAAAGATTGGCACCCAGATCCACCAAACAAGTTGTATCACGTCGCGCACCCCGCCGCCCTTCTCGGCATTTGGCAGCGCGGTCGGAGCTCCGGCTAAGTACGGAGAGACCGCAATCTCAGCGGGCTTGAGTGCTTCGATGTCGGCTTCATAAGAACTCGTTCTCGACGCACGGTCTTTGCAGGCTTTGCTGGTTGAAGTGACTTTGTTGGTGGAGGTCCCTTTGGTGGCGGTGGTGGTGCTGGATTCCTCGGTTGATTTTATTGCTGTTGTGTGTGTGCTAGTGGTCTTTATGGTTGTTGTTCTTGTTGTCTGCTACTGGTCGCTGATGAGGTCGTCTTCTTGGAGGTGGTTGAAAGTTTTCCCGTCCATGTGGATTGTTTTGGAATCGCCGGAGAAGTCGTAGATTGCTTTTTTTGATGTGTTGTCTCTAACGTGGTGGAGTCTTAAGGGGGGACTTGAAGACTAAAGAGATGGAAAAATAGTGTACCAACTCTTTATGATGTCCTTTGAAAAAGGCTCGAATTCTCATAGCCAAAAATTAAATGACTCGGACAGCTCGGTCCCACGTGGGTACCATGGTACGGGAATTGACCATTGCGATATAAGATCAACAAGACATCTTCGCTCATGGAGATCGTTAAAAAGCATATATGTACAGTCATCGCGTATGAAGCTTGGGAAGGGCTCCTCGCGTTAGCAGATGACTAGAAAATAGCGGTACCATTCACATGCGAGGCAACGCCACCTATGTCCAGCATTAGCACGGTCTAGCACAAGCAATGAAGGGGCAGGAGTAACGTCTCACCAGGGACATTTGCGGCCGCGCTAGTAACGAAGAAAGTCCACCTGTTCTTCTCTCTACAGGTCTGCGCCAGCTTTTCGAGGTCGACCATTTCTCCGAGAGGACTAAGACCCGCAAGTTAGTCTTTGAAGGGCTCTATGGCTAGTCGGTCCAATCTCTTACCAGCCCCACATCGCAAGCAGGTACTCGTGGATGTAATACTCTGTCAAACAGGGTTAGCATGGCTTCACTCCAAGACGAGACTTAGACAGAGACCTTGATTCGAAGGCCACGCCTCAAAGGTCGGGCTATCTCCCGCAACAGTGGCAAAGTAACAATCGTGTAACCAGTCTAGCATCGCATCCTCCTGCTTGACGCCCGCGTACCGCTGGCCATCATTCTCCCCTAGCTCATGATGTCGTAGTGCTAGCTGGTTCCTTTCCTCTACCGGCTTGCTGTAGTATGTTTTGATGAAGCCGCTTCTGATGAACAACATGTCGCCAATCTGTATATCACCTCCTTGCGCTTGAGGCCTTATATCGATGCCTTGGTCTCTTCCGCAAGCCTCGAGCTCTGCATATGATATGCGATCCGCTTCGTATGAATTCAGAGCGACGCCTTTCTTCTCTGCGTAAGAGCGGTAGTCAAGGAGGATACCACGACCTGCAATGCCGTGGTCTGACCAATGGTGGATGGAGCATTTGTGGTTCGCTTTGGGACCGACAATGTCCTCGCCGTGGGTGTTGTTGTAGAAGGTTGGGGCGGGTATCCAGCCAAACTGAGAAGCCTTTAGCGGACATCAAGACGTACGCCGGTTTTTGGTGAGACGAACATGTCTGAACCCGTCCCATTGCGTCCCACTCTGAGTGTTCAACTCGTATTTGTCATCGTATGCAATATTCTCGGCCAGAGTCTTGATCTCGTGTTTGAAGCTTTCTCGGGCAAAAGCTGGAACTTCCGGATGATTTAATGGGAGACTACAGTCTTGCTTTTAGCACGCCCCTGTTGACCATAGCGGCTGGCTTACTTCAATGAGACAATGTCGCCCGTCTTGATTTCGCTTGCCGCGGCAGCCTTAACCCTCGTCGGCGTCAATAGATTGAGACGCCCTACGAAATCAGTTTCGCCCCATACCCAAGCCGTCGGCACTCCTGGAGGTGCATAAGGGGCTTGTGGAACGTCTTTCCGCTGTGGAAACTTGGTGCAATTGGGGTCGAAAGGGATGGTCGTAGCGGTCTTGTTCAGTGTAAGGAAGTCCTTGACTTGGCCTAGCCGGCTCTGGGCAATGGATTTACCGTCTACCATGATTTTTGAACATAGAATACACGATTGAGAAGTAATAGGAAGATAGCAGGAAGGACACTGCAAGGGCGATTGATGAGAGGATCAATTGAGCAATGAGAGAGGAGTGTTTGAGAGGAAAGAAAAGCTGACGAACGCCGTGATGTCCCATATCCCCGCATTCTGAGGCCCGAGGCATTACGTAGCTTTTGATCGTCCTTGGCGTCTGTGAAATAAATCTAGACCACAAACCTTAAAGCTGAAGGACATAACCACGAAGGAGAGTTTTGGATCCTTTTCAATCTTCCAATTCACTTCACATCATTGCACCAGCATTCCTGCAAACAGCAGGTGCAATGTGACTTGGGAGAAAAGAAAAAGCCGAAAGGTCGCCGCTTTTGTGAATTGAATGCACGCCAAGCCTTGGCACGGAAAGATACAGATGAAACCTGAGCACGTGCTGAGGTAGAGTAGGTGAATGCTTGGCAGTCGATCGGCTCAACTCCAGGGTTCTCTCTCTCTTCAAGCAGGCGCCATTCAATGTCAATAAATCTCCACCATCCTTGTCATTCAGACGTCTGCTTCATCATCAGATGGTAAGAGGACTTGTGACGCTCCAGCGGTTCCTGACAAGTACCACGCAGCCGGGTAGGCAGAGCTGCTCAGAGCCTCATATGGAGAAGCGATTGTCTGATGATACTAAAGTTTCAAACTTGGACACCGGACGCGTGGTCAATGCTGCCTTGTCCGATACTGCTATCACCATTCGTTTTGAGAGGTCTGAAGAAGTGCCTTTGGAGCATCTAGAAGCCAATGTTGCCGGGCGGTCCTTCTCGGACCAAGCCGGCAGCCAGTCTCGCCACTAGATCTTGAAGGTTATTGCCGGCGACTTCAATCGCTCACCATTCAACGTCACCGTACTCAAGATGATATCGCTCCACCGCTCGACTCTTTGGGCCTCGGCTCCGATGATTCCAGAAAGAGAGATGTGAAATGTTTAACAAATAATGATGAAGTCCGTTACAGTCTATAGGATCACCGGCTAGGAGGAACTACGGAAGTGCTGTCTGCTTGTCGTACCTAAGTCTCATTTCACATTTGAAATGTGCAGAACTCTCGAATACGAGAACGCAATTTGGCTTATGGAGAATGCCTTTTTAAGTACCTATTTGATTTGTGCGAGTGGTAGCTTGTTTACATCCAAATTCTGGTCACGGGCCTCTTTTTCCGCCACCGTTTCCATTTGCTCTCTTCAGAGAAGCTGAGGTGCTTTTTTGTGTTTTCGCTCGGCGCAAAGGTTCTGTACTTGTGGAAGAGGTGCTTTTGACCCTTTTCGTTCTCAGACGATGGTAAAGTAAAATTGAAGCGTTTCATCGGTCTTTGCTGTCGGCAAGCTCGCTTTACCATATCGTATACCATCTGCTTTAATTTTACACAAGCTCGTCACAAGCTTTGAAAGTAGGATGCATTGACCAATCATCGTCAGTACCCACTTGGTCAATGCTTCCATTTCTCCGGAGCTAGCGATCTCGGTACGGGAGAGCTACAAAGGAAAAAGCTTGGAGTTTTAGCTACCAGACTACCTTACCTTACCTTACCTCAACTTGCCAATTTCGATGGAGACATCCTCTTCCTAGAGGGACTCGACTTTCTAGCCACTGGATTTGGTTTGACGCCATGGCAAGGTCGAAACGTTGGTCGATACAGTGACTACACCGGCTTCGGAACGAGACAGAAGGTAGCAAGGAAATCTGACAATGACTTGAAACAGAGATGTACCCTGTCCGTCAGAGATATATCAATCATGTGCAAATGCACGTTGGCGGCTCAACTCGGCTCTAGCCGTGTCTCGTGGCAATTACCAACGATTCATAGGCCCGAATCAATTTCCCCGTTGCTTCTCTGCCCATTTGTGGTCTAGACTGGCTCACGGGTCGGGTAGTGTTTCTGGTTCAGAGGTTCACGTCGCTGTGCCTCGTCATCTCAGGGAACTTTAACTTTCCCGGCACTGACTCGTGTTTCAATGACTATTATATTTAATTTTGCCTTTCTGTGGCCGGCGCTGGTTCTGTGCTCTCGGCGGGGTCCTTGGGTACCTCAGACTCGGCCCATGGATCGCGACTTCGCGTTTCTATCTGGAGAAGTCAGTTAGGACTGCATGTACCAATGTGTCTTTTCTCCTTCGTCTTCAACGTCGTCGCTGCCCGTCACCCTCATTGATGTCTTACCTTAGCTTTTCAAATGCTCCAGGTTTCGACATCTATGCGAATAAAGGTCCCCATCTCGTCCGAGTATGTTCTGTTATGATCGCTTTGTCGGCTATAGCGGTGGCCCTTCGCTTTGCTTCTAGGAGATTATCCGGGGTGCAACTCTCGTGGGATGATTGGTTGATTTTCATCGCCTTGGTAAGTGATGCCCGCGCAACTTTCTCTGGGAACATGCGACTGACATTCGCAAAAAGCCTGTGGCATGGATCCCTAGTATCTTAATGATATACTGTAAGAAGCACACCCATGCGTGCATAGCTTTGGCGACTGAAAGTTCGCTTCCTCAGGTGTACAGCATTTCAATGTCGGAAAGCATGTACAGTGGGCGACAGCCTCCGATATCAGGCACTTCTGGATCTACCTTTACGCTTCGGAAATAATGTACCCACTATCCGTGGTCCTCATCAAATGCTCGATACTGTCCTTACTCTACCGCATCTTCCATGTCCCTCGACTCAAAATATACGCCGCGACGATTGGTGTGTCAGTCATATTTTGGGGAATAACGACACTGGTGGTGATAATATTCAATTGCAATCCCATCAATGCCTATTGGGACACCCAGATTACGAACAAAGCCTGCGTTAATACCTTGCATTACTTCCTGGGCATACAAATACCCAACATCATCTTGGATGTCGTGATCATGATTCTACCCCTGCCCTATCTGTGGAGATCCCACATCACTCTATCGTCACACAAGGCTGGACTTCTGTTCGTCTTCATCCTTGGCGGCTTGTGAGTAACAAGCGATCCCCAGGACAGTCCAACTCGCTAACGAGCACTTTCCAGCGTCATCATCGCGGCTACTCTTCGTTTGAACACCATTGCCGTCCATAAACATTCGGTTGACTTTACCTGTGCGCGAACCCAGAGACCCCCCCCCCTAACGTAAATAGCTAAGACCTCCTCCACAGATGATCTCATCGACCTCAGCGTCTGGACCGCCCTCGAAACCAGCACCGGGGTCCTCTGCGCCTGTTTCGCCGCTATGCAACCCCTCCTCGATTTCGCAATCTTTGGCATACTCGACACCGAGCGCAGCACACCTTCCACAGCCGGCCGCGTAGCCCGTCCCAGCCCCGAGCCCGAGTCCACGGACCGCCAGAACAGATGGTCTTTGAAACAATGGCCCCGTCACAACACTGCTCCACCGGCTCAGGAGAACGCCGGTCTGAGACCTTTCCGGGACATAATCCGCAGAGGGAGGCATACGGCCTCGAGTTCCTGGGGCTTCAACCAACCTTTACCTCCCGACTTCCAGGACGAGTCGCTGCCGTCAACGCAACCGACAGAGACTCTCCGCCACTTGCTACGGAAGGGCTACCAGACAGAAAGGAGTTCCTTCGGCGCCAACCAACCCATACCTCCCGATCTCACGGACGAGCCGATGCCGATCCGTGACGGGAGAAACGAGGAGGAGGAGGGAGGAGGAGGAGGGACACGATATCTACGACATCGAGCGCGCGACGGAAACACGAACGCCACAAAAGAACAAGCCGGCCGGCGTGTCCCGCTTCAACGCCTTCAACGACGTGGACAACATCGCGCGCGAGGAGCGCTCCCGCCGGATGAGGAAGAAGATGGAGAGCGCGGGCTGGCCCATGACGGGGGAACGACGCACTTGGATTTGAAACCCGTCCCGGGGTTCCGTTGTGGAGTTGGCTGTCTATCTGTCTTTCTATCTATCTATCTGTCTATCTGTCTGTTGTAGAAGGAAGAAAGAAAAAAAGAAAGAAAGAAAGAGAGCAAGAGATCAGACTCGGATACCTACCCAACCAACCAAGCAACCAACCAACCATGTTAGAATTGCTACCACCTGCGGATGTGAGGTGTCCGCCTACGAGGAGGATCGATCGGTCGGGTATGATACAAGCGGACGGCAAGACGTATGTCTAGAGAAAGACTCGTTGGCGGTACGCGTCGCGCGCTGTGAAGAAGAAGAAGAAGAAGAAGAAGAAGAAGAAGAAGAAGAAGAAGAAGAAGAAGAAGAAGAAGAAGAAGAAGAAGAAGAAGAAGAAGAAGAAGAAGAAGAAGAAGAAGAAAGGCATTGCGCTACAGCGGCCACGGATCGAGCGGGAGAAGGGAACAGCGCCGCTCGCTTGGGATCGTGTGGTGTGAGCTGTCTTGATGTGTGTATGTAATTTTGGAAATTTGGAGGGTGGGCTGTTGGTGTGGGAGATTGATGGATGTGTGGGATGGGGTGGATGGGAGGGTGGGGGGGTGGGAATGAATGGGGGGGGGGTTTGGGAAAGAAATGGGGACTGTGCTGAATGGATGGATGGATGAGGATGAGGATGTGGGAAGTGAGAGGGGCGGCTTTCGAGGGTTAGGCGTGGGGAAGATGGCGATTTGGCTGTTCTGGTAGATATGGATGCATGTGGTGGTTTTGTGGATAGCGATGTAGAGAGGGTATCTGATCTGAAGCTGAAGCTGAAGTTGCAGCGTGAAAGTTGCTTGTGATTGTCTTTGAGCAAGATTCCACCCTCCTTTTCTCATCTCATCTTTTCTCATCTCATCTCATCTTTTCTTCCCTTGCCTTGTCTTGCCTTTCCTTGCCATGCCTCGTCCCCTCTACACGCATCAACCGTACGCATGTATGTATGTACGTCTCCAGCCCATCCCCCCTCGCACCAACCCTATCCGCGCCGCCTTTCAGGTGAACTTCCCAACCTCGGAGTTCACCTCCTTGTTGATGGCACCGTCCGCCATGCCCGGCACGCCTTCTTCGCTGGCTACTTTGTCCACGCCTGCGGTGCCGTGTTCGTTAGTGTGGGTTGGGTTGCGGGTGGTGGTGGTGGGTGGAGGGATGGGGGTGGGGGGATGGGATGGGATGGGATGGGAGAGTGGGGTGAAGAGATGGGAACGGGGAGGTGATGTGGAGGGGTGGGATGGTGTGGAGAGATGAGATGGGAAGGTGAAGTGGAGAGGTGGGAGAAAGGGAGCGGCATACCCTGATCGATGGTCTTGTCCATGCCACTGGACTGGCCTCCCCCCTGCTGATTTCCTCCTTCTCCTCCTCCTCCGCCGCCGCCGGACATGTCTTTCATGGCGTCTTGTTCGATGTTGTCCATTGTGTGTGAGGTGGGACTTGCGTGTAGATTGGGGTGGGTGAGTGTAATTGGTAGGGGTTGTTGTATCGTAGGAAAAGTTGGCTGTTGAGTGGGTGTTGTTGGTAGGTGGGTGAATGAGTGGGTGAGTGAGTGGAAGAGCGAGGAGATCGTATGTTTGGAGAGAAATCAAGGAAGGAGGGGTTGGCGGGGTCGACTCGGTGACGATGGGGCCTTGGCAGGGGCTCAGGGGTCCTGGCTTGGCAGGATCAGCGCTATGTACTTTCGGAAGGTGACCCTGTAGCGGAGGGCGGACTTCCGTTGGGCCTGGTAGGGACAATGGACCCCAAAGTGAGGTCAGGATGGGCGCAGTTCCGAAGTCGAAGGCAACCTCCAGGCAGGGCATTATCCAAGATCTTGGCGTAAGGTAGAAGAAGTCTTGGCATTCGACTTTGTGTGCGGGCCTCCGTACTCTCTCGCCCTACGATATTCTTCTACCGTATCTGATACTCTCTCACTTTGCAAAGTTCTTTTACCCTACCGTGTTCTCTTACTGTACGATGCTGTCCTGTCATACCATAGTCTCTTACCTTACATGTGCTAATTCGATCCATCATTCGAAATGAAAAGGAGAGGGCCCAGTTGAATGTTTCAGAGGCGCTTTCGGCGACGCGGCTTCTTTTACAAGGCTGTAGTTGAGACTGTACCTCCGGTACCAAGGTACTTGTATCAATGCCCAGACTTCTACAAGGCAGCCGCAAGCGAGGCGTGGTGTGCTGCCTGATTACCCCGCCAAAGCTCCAAATCAAATGTCAGCTTGTCCATACTTACCGATCAACGCTATCACTAAGTTCGAGCACTGTCTCGGATATAGCACATGGATCCAGTCTCCATAGCGGCCGCTGTCGGCCCGGCTCTTAAAACCTTGTACTCTGTCACGACGACACTCTACACCTTCATCACCTCAGCGAAGAAGGTTGGCAAGTCCTTGGAGGACCTCCACGGAGAGGTTCGAGGCCTGACCCGGGTGCTGGAGGATATCGAGGCGTTTCCCAAAGATACCGTCATCGCTCAAACAAGTTATGCTTCGTCCAGAACAGATGGCGCTTGGGACCCAATACACAATGCTATTCAAGATACCCAGCGCACAATCAAGGCTCTGCAGAAGGTTCTTGATCGCCTCGGGCCTCCTAGCGAAGTCACAAATGGCTTCAAGAAGGCCGTGAAGCAGGTACAACTAAGTATCAATTCAGAAGAGATCAGCAACATCAAGTCAAGAGTTCATTGGCACTCAACCATCCTTCGTACGTACTTCTCGGAGTTGGTTGTCCTCCATCCAGGCCCTTTTTGGGGTCGTAACTGGGAGCAATGACCCTGTTTCTTCTCCTATCATGTGCCTATATCTGTCTTGCAAACTCGAGAAATTATCCGCGAAGGACGATGCTGACTTCGGAATCTGCGCAGAAATGGGGCTCCAAACAGCTGCGTTGTAAGTCTCGTTGCCATATATGGCTCAACATTGTGCTCAGTTATTAACAGGGCCATCATTTGTCGGACCAATGATAATGTATTGAATGTCATCAATCCAAAAATCGATACCATCCTCCCTCTCGTCTCGAAAGTCGAAGGTCTGGTAAAGCAAGTTGAAAACCTCTCGTCACAGTGGACTACTAAAGATGACAAATTACCGATGGGCTTCCGAAATCCTGATATTGCGGGACATACTCAGCAATTGAAGCGCACTGCAGAGGCAGTGATTGCCTCTGCAAGTACTGTTATTGAGTCGCAGTCTACCATTGTGAGTGGAAAAGATCGACAACATCCTTCATCTGCCAGCTCTGGAGAGCTCTCGGAAGAATCCAAAAAGTGCGGCATTGAGGAGTGGATCACCCACCTGACCGTTGATCACGAGGGACTGAGATCAGAATCTCATAGCGCCAGTGAGCTGATGCCCGATGACAGCGTCAGCAGTATCGGCTTGAATAGACGCAGACGGTCGCAACAGACCAATGAAGCGGGAATGCCAGGGTCTACTTCAGAGACTGGCAAGGATCCGGGCCCCCCGAAAAGAATGGACAATAGAAGGAAAACCCCGACGAAGGATATCTTCGAGGAAAAGCTCGCACACCGGAAACCCAACGAAAAGATTAAATCTGTCAGTAGTTCAGGAAGACCTCGATCTCGATATAGCCTTCGAACAGATTCCAACTGGACATCGAGCGGACCCCAACGTGGGTACGTCTTACAACAAGAAATCTGCAAAAGAGTTAGTGGCGGCTCTCATGATGAGCTTTGAGGCGAAGAAGTGGAATTCCAATGACGCACTCCTTGAGCTGGCCAAGACAGCAGCTGGGCAAGGCGTGGGAAGCCGCTCTGACACAGAAGGGGCACTTCTATATCTGCTGGAGAATGGCGCCGATGTCAACGCAACAGATGCCAATGCAAAGACGGCTCTGCACCATTCTTTCGAATGGAGGAAACACCGCCCTGATCCATCTACTTGTCGAGCGAAATGCAGATATCAATGTAAAGAACAAACATGGGTCTTACTGCTTTGCACCTTGCTGCCGTAAAGGGAAATACACCAGTTGTTGAAATCTTGTTGAAAAATGGCGTCGATATTGAACAGAAATCCGAGGAAGAACAGTATACTGCTCTTTCACTGGCTGCTTCTTGGGGTCGGGCACCGACAGTAGAATGTCTGTTAAAAGCCGGTGCGAATATCCATGCGAGGGGCAGGCAGAATAATACATCGCTTTCTCTAGCCGTGCTCAATGGCCAAACCGAGGTAGCTAGTATTCTGTTGAAAGCTGGAGCGTCAGTCGATGCAAAAAACGATTTTTGTTCTACACCTTTGAGTGAGGCGGCCTTCTGGGGCCGTACTGAGGTAGTCGAGGTGCTGTCGAAAGCTGGAGCGTCAGTTAATGTGAAAGATGATACGGGGTAATACACCTTTGCATCACGCGGCTAGGTCGGGGTAATACTGGGATAGTTAAGGTGCTGTTGAAAGCTGGAGCGTCAGTCAATGTGAAAGATAATAACGGTGGAACACCTTTGCATTACGCGAGCCATTGGGGGCCGTACTGGGGTAGTCGAGGTGCTGTTGAAAGCTGGAGCGTCAGTCAATGTGAAAGACAATCAGGGTGGAACACCTTTGCATGACGCGGCCTGTTGGGGCTATACTTGGGTAGTCGAGCTGTTGAAAGCTGGAGCGTCAGTCAATGTGAAAGATAATAAGGGTAGAACACCTTTGCATGACGCGGCCTGTTGGGGCTATACTGGGGTAGTTGAGGTGCTGTTGAAAGCTGGAGCGTCAGTCAATGTGAAAGATTATGAGGTTAGAACACCTTTGCATGACGCGGCCTATTGGGGCTATACTGGGGTAGTTGAGGTGCTATTAAAAGCTGGAGCAAACCTGGAAGCACGCGATGACTCTGGTTATACACCACTAATTCACGCTGCTCGCTGGGGCCATAGAACAAGTATTGAGCTGCTCCTTGCTGCCGGAGCGGACAAAAGAGCAAGAACGAATCACGGCGAGACAGTGCTACATACAGCCCTCTGTTACGCACATTCCCAGGACTGTCACAAAACTCTGTGCGGGATTTGCGCTGCTTCTGTGACTCGAAAGGACATAGCAAAGCTGTTATGTGAAAGGGGGGCCGACCCATCGGCAAAGAGAAATGATGTGACTTCTGTGTTGTCCTGGCTTCGTAAGAACCACGTCCATCCCAAAAGCGAACAGAAAGCGTTGATCAGAGTGCTGAAGGGATATGGAGCCAAGGGTTGATTGGGAGAATTTGCCCATAGTGATAGAATTTCGTCAGAGCTGCAGCTGACCTTACCTCAATCTATTGCTTTGCCAAATTGAGATCCGGTTTGCTCACTTGCTGAACAGCTACCGTACCAGCGATTCGAAGTGTTCGGACACCAAGAATCCCACGCCCCATGGTAGATTTTCCAAGAATCTGCAGGCATTGTCTTCTTCAGAATGCAAGATCTGGAAAACGAATCCAATGTTGCGGGCATCTAGAAAACGCAAGTCCATCCACCTAGAAGACAAGATTCAGAACCTTCATGCTCGTAACCCACACTCCAAACCCCACAGTGACGTTCCTGCCCCTTACCCATGGTCTACCGGTGGTATATCATCCAGCCACACTCCATTCACCCAATCTCTTGAACCACTGTAGGCACTCGAGGTCGCATGTTGTATGTACACATGGAGCATGTCACGGGACAATGGCGTATTGCAACGACAGTAGGTGGATTGTATGTACGTAAATCACCCGGCTGATCTATCTATCTACCGAGGTAAGTATACAAATGTGTTACATTGTAAATTGACGTGGTACATATACACCCTCTCCGCATCCCGGCACGACTAGGCTCAAATTTTCAGGTACGATAGGTGTAAGTCTCGACTTACTCTACTTTCTGTTCTCAATAGCCTCTTCCTGATCAACATAAATGTCTATTGATCATAACCAACAACCCTGTCAACCCGGAAGGGCTAGTCTACTTCAAGATACAACGCACCGAAAGAGTAAACGAACGAGTGCATACAAGCGACCCCTCCGAAGTAATGCGAGAATGATCTTCGCGAATAATGCACCCCGCAGATAGCAAGATATACGTACGGCCTTTGAGACACCCCGAGACTGCGCCCGGTCTGACCACTCGGCCCGGAGACAGCACCCGGATTTGTTGGGGAGGGGGGTTTGGGGGTCAATGTATCAAAAGTGGGTGTATGGTACCGGTATCAATTCCTTTTGACACCCACCCAGATCGGATCGCGCGACGGGAGAGCGGCGGCGCTGTCTTCTTTGTTTAGTAAGGTAGGGAGGTGAAGTCGAGGCTGGGTAGACGTGGGGTGACGGACTACATTATGGATGCAAAATTTTGTCATCAATGGCATCGTGCTGCTTTCCTGAAACTCTCAATGGTGCTTTTGAGAGGTTGTCTCCGATTGTAGGTGAGCTTGCTGGGGGATTTGGGGCTTGCGGTGCAAGGCTGGGCTGAGTCGCTAGGTGGGTGGTAATGATGTATTCTTTGTAAATGTTTGGGATGTTAGGATGAGTTTGAGGCCATGGTGTTTGCTCGAATGGAGGTCGTTTGTTGAGTTCGTTCTCCCAATAGGATCTCAGGTTTTGGAGGTCTAAGGTGTTGGCTTTGGTGGAGCAGAAGCTAGGGTTGTGCATCTCAGGATAATGTTTACAGCGTGGACTCGGCGTTCGCAATGTCTAGGTCCATTTCGTTGATCAGGGGCCGGCGTCTCGAGGAAATGGGAGGAAATGGGATTTACTCTCCATGGATTGCTCTAGAAAAATCTATCTAGCAGCGAGAACAGTTGAGCATTTGCACTCGGAACCCTGCAAAAATGCATGTGTAGAAGATTAGACCTTGGCGAATCTGAACGCCAACTCCTCTAGAAGACTTTTCTTGCTGAGTTCGGACCCAATTGCTACCTTCAACGACTCGCTTCCGTTGTCACGGAATCCACTGCCTCCCTTCCATGTAACCTGTGAGTGGGTTCCGGTGGTGACGTCGTACTTCTCGAACCAGTCAGGGATACTATCCGCATCATCGCAGCCTTGATAGGCGTCGGAGGGTTCCAAGATTGAGCCTCCAGCGAACAGGAGGTCTTCTTGGCAAACACGACGAAATGCCCTCGACACCTCCGTGCATGAGTCCCGTGTCTCCATGTCGGTCTCATTTGGGAGACGTCCATCGGCGACTCTAGCTGGGGGCATGCGCTTGCAAGCGGCCCTTTCAAAGAGGTGCTCTAGGGCATAGAATGTGGAGCTGATATTGCCCTCGACCTGAGTCGCGCACAACGCAGGTTCCTCTTCTCCCGCTTCCCAGGAGGTAGTTCTAGGTCCTCCACTACGGGGCCACCTTCCGAGAGTAGGGTTAGGGCTCTACTAGCGCTATCCAGGACTTCCATCCGTGACCAAGCTGCGTTTCTTCGAACTCTACACCTCATTAATCGAACGCTGTACAAAGCCCCGAAATTTAGCCATGGCAGAGCGAGCATCCTTGTCAGATGCTGCAGCTATCGGTGGTCGGCACCCTTTCCTATTTCTTTTAAGACGCTTGAGTAGCGTCTTCTAAGCCCAACGAAACCATCCTAGTGACACTTCTGATTAACCCATATCACAGACCTCTAGTGGCGGAGAATGTCTTCCCTTTTCATGCCCATCAAATGGTTCTACAATGAATTCGGCATCGCCTCTGTCTACCACACCGGCCGCGATGCGTGGCTCGTTATCCTCGGACGATCCTGCCGCATGTTCGCCTACGGAGCGAATTCCCTTATCATGGCTCTCTTCTTCTCCTCTCTTCAGTTCTCAGACTTCCAGATTGGGCTGTTCATGACCCTGACCCTCCTCGGAGACGTTCTCCTCTCTCTTTTTATGACTCTGGTGGCGGACAGAGTCGGCCGGCGCCGCATCCTCTTGGCCGGCGCTTCCTTGATGGTATTATCCGGGGCAGTGTTTGCCATTTCCGAGAATTTTTGGATCCTCCTCGTTGCTGCCGTGGTTGGTGTTATCAGCGCGACTGGTGGTGATTTCGGGCCCTTCCGTGCGATCGAAGAGTCGACGATATCCCATCTCACTACGCCTAAGACACGCTCGGATGTGCTGTCCTGGTATGTGACAGTCTCGAGCCTTGGGTCGGCTGCTGGTACCGAGTTTTCTGGACGCGCTGTTGATTTCTTACGAAAGCTCAACGGTTGGACAATAACGAATGCGTATCATGCGATATTCTGGCTGTACATAGTTATGGGGATAGTGACTATAATCGTCACGCTATTAATGAGCGACAAGTGCGAAGTTGCAGAGACGCCTCCGGAAGCTGAGGCGTCTGAGAGGTTGCTTGACGAGAGACAGCAAGGGGCTGAAGCTGCGGATGAGGACAATGATGAGGACAACCAGGACCTGAATTCGGCTCCGGTCCACAAGCCGGAAACACCTCAGAAGAAAATTCTGTTTGCTCAGATATCGTCAGAGACTCGTTTGATTATGTACAAACTATGGTTTCTCTTGACTATCGATTCCCTGGCCGACGGAATGGTTTCGTTATCCTTGACCTATTATTACATCGACCGAAAATTCCATCTATCAAAGTCAACCCTTGGAGACATAACATCTGCAAGCTATTTACTCTCTTCCTGCTCCACGGTCTTCGCCGGGCCCCTTGCTCGACACCTTGGTCTTATTAACACCATGGTTTTCACACATCTTCCGTCCTCCACGGCTGTTCTCCTCTTCCCTATTCCTCAGGGAGTCCCTCTGACTGTGACTCTGTTTTTCATTCGCACGGGTCTGAACAATATGGATCAGGCGCCAAGAACAGCCTTTATAGCAGCCGTAGTGAAACCTGAGGAGCGTACAGCAGTCATGGGAATTACAAGCATGTTAAGGACATTGGCTTCGGCGGTTGGTCCTAGTGTTACCGGCTTACTCGCCGGTAATGATAGATTCTGGATCGCTTTCGTGGTTGCGGGAGCTTTGCGGATCTGCTATGATCTTGGCTTGTTTGCTATGTTTGTAAATATGAAGCTACATACACATGAGTCGAAGGACCAGGTTAACAGCCCCAGACAATCAAATGACGAGGAAGAGTTGACGGAACTGGAACCGATGGGGCAAGCGACGTGACGACTGATCATCCATAGGAATTATATATGCAACACTGAGCAAAGGTTTTATGTGGGATGACTGAACGGCTGAACGGTGGATATCTTTTGAATAACTTCTCGAAGGCTCCGACGCGTTGCTTCCTTGCTTACTGAATGGGAGAGGCTGGCTGGATTTTACAAAGGTTGACGTCAAGCATGTTTGCGGGCATTGACCATGGTTCTATCTATGCAGACCTCAAAGATGGTCGCGGACGACCTGTCAGAAGGTTTATGGTCTTCAGCCATAGGGCAGAAAGTAGTAGTGCACAACAAATGGGCGCAGATTCCTGCATATACACTTGGAATGAGAAGCTCTTTGTTGATTGATGCATCTGTGGAGTGTTATATAATGCGCGCTTATTCCGCGTTGTACAGGTCAGTGACGTTTATAAACTGACGAAGTGAAGAGCATTAATATCCAAAGCGAAGACGGCAACTTGCAATTCTCGGACTCTACAAACGGCTCTGGGAATGTAGGTAGAGGCGTGGAGATTCTTTTGCGGGAAACATGGGGAAAGCGATGGTGGTGGCGGTGGTGGTAATGGGTACTTCCGTACTAAGACTGTCGATTTATTGGAGGATATGGCGCAATCAAACGAGTATCTGAAAGTGTGCTGGCGGATGCTATGCTTGTAGGGGGTTTCTGGCAATCGAGTCTCAAGGAAGACAGTCCAGCGGCATATGGCTGGTAATGAACCACAACGCCGCCGTGTTAAACTAGCTCTGAGCTACCTTGGCTCAATGCTGGACCTTATTTCTCTCCTACTTGGAGTTCGCAAAACCATCAGTGGAGGCTCGTAGGAGGAACACGTGGTCGAGGTGTCAGAGGTTCTAGGCTACTTGATTGAAATTCGTGTTAGTATGCAACGCGAAGCTGAATGTCACAGACCAGTTGGGCATTCACAACACAACAGATGCAATGCGTTTCACATCTTCTCCATAGTTTTTCAATCCTCGCCTCTTACATCATTCACCATCACACATACGATTTGCGAAATGACCTCCTTCCGTTCCTCAAAACCCCCCCCCCCAGAACTTCGCCGAGAGGTGTACCATCATCTTCTCATTCGGGACGAGATCTCGGAGATGGAATCATGGCCGCGTTTTTGTTGACTTCTTTTTGCTTGGCGCGAGACGGGGAAGGAGATATCTTGCTGGGTGCGTCACTCAGCGGGAAATGTCGAGAGTTTCTGTAGCAGGTTGCCACGACTCTGCTGGCTCGGAAGGAGATGTGGAGCTGGTCAATCAACAAGGCGGAGATCGAGAAGACCAACTCGACTCGACGAAAGAAGTGGCCATGAATCGGACGTCTTACGAAGAAGAATGCACGAAATTTGCAGTAGACTTAAGATGGATAAGGCCACTCTTAAATCCGTGATCCCAAAACCAGATGCTAAAGCAGACTGTACTTTACAGGTAGCTAATACCCTTCCAGCTAGCGTGCAACCATGCGAGGCTGCCTCTTGGGGGTACTTCAGAGCGGCTAAGATGAATTCGGAGCAAAAGATTCGGAAAGATGGAAATGTGAAGAGTACTTTGGGTTTGTTGCGCGGTGCCTTGGAGCGTGAGGCAGAATCGAGGGTGGCGGAAGCAAGACGAGTGAGTTGATGTCGGACGTGGAAAAATTGTTCTTCTTGAAGTGGTGATTTGTCAGGGAAGTAGATCCGGGTCTACTTCCGGAGCCATAGAGGTCTGCTTGGCCTTGGGAGTTCGGCAGGCAGCCGACCGGGCGAGCAACACTGAAAGTTTAACAGGCGTGGCAGGGGCGTGACTGTCCACACTGGAAGAACGAATGAATGAATGTGTGATGAGTAACAACTTTCTCAATATATTGATCATCAAGCACAGTCATGGAAAGTAGATCGCTGCGCCTGTGAAAATGATCTTTTCATGTACAATGTATCGATCTGGGCAAGACTTGAGGGGTCTAACGCCCACTACTAAGACGAGCATAGCAAACCGGACACCCGTTGCCATACATGAAATGTACAACGCTTGCAGAATGTGGTTCCGTCCTCGCTTTATGCACCTTACAGTTCTTTGGGCATGCCGACAACGATTGTTCCAGCAGCACCTGAACACGCTTGCCTGCATATTCGCTCCAAGAATCCTCGCAAGGTATAAGTAAACGCCATCCACTTCCATGCTTTGAGCATCTTGCATCCAAGTCTCCATTTGCTTCAACAGTCGTCCGAGCGCAAGTTGCCCGAGAGAATCCATGTAGATAGCGGAAGATACCCATGCGGTACAGATTTAAGAGTTGGTCGAAATGAACGTTGATGGTTAACGATATCTTGGGACATCCGGCCAGTATGTTGAAGGTGCGAAAATGGCTGTGATTGTATGATAGTGAGCCAGTGGAGAAAACAACGTTTCGAAGCGCCTTTTGACCGTCAGGGCCGAGCTTTTTCAACCATTGCCAATGGCTGTTGGTGCCGCAGATCTCGAATGTGTTGAGTGAAAGGAAGATTGGGTAAGCTTCGAGATTGGCTTGGCGACTTGTTGTTAAGAGGGCAATGGAATCGTTCTTGGACTTTCCGTCGGCCTTCGTTCTCTTTACAAGGCGCAACGGCTGCTTGTCCTCGATTAGAACATAGTTGTAGACTTCTCGACGAAGTTCTAGTGGGAGCTTGAAGAAGGGAAAAAACCGCAGTCCGTCATCGGGCAGCGCTCCGTTTCCTTCATCGACAGGATAGGCTAGGCCATGAAGCATGGATACGCTTGTTCCAGGCACGGAACCAATGCTATCACCTTGCAGGAAGCTGGGTGTGTTCCCCATCACGGCGTGGGATTGAGTGTAGGATAAGGTGTTTGTGGATTGATAAAGACAGGTCGAAGATTTGACCCTCTGGTGTCGTGACGTCTGAACTGTCATGACACGGTATTCGGCAACGTGCTTGACTGTATTGTGATCGAATACTGTTGCTCCAATGCCCGTCAGAGGTGGCTGTTTTGCGAGTGAATTTAATTGACGTGGTTATGAGGTGTTGTCTGCCGTGACCGAAATTCAGCCTGACAAAGGGACAAAACCAATCTACGTAATTCGCGTTCCTTCTTTACGGTGATGCCTCAAGTTGCCAGGCACCAAGATTTGTCTGACCAGGAGGACGGGTTCTGCGTGTGCGTATTAGGGATTGAGAGTGGGAGTGGTGGCGGTGCTGTAGATAAACACCTGTCGAGTATGTGAGTGATGTCGACCCACGCAGTGTCAGTGTACAATCAGAATCCAGCGCTAAGGTATTTCTGTATTGAAAGAACGCCAAGGGCCGTCGAGTGGAAATGGATGCTGTTGATGTTGAGGTCAAGTAAGACATCATGCAAGGTCGTGCATATTTAATGCAAGCTTAATGCATGAACATTAGCGTCTCTGCACAAAAGATCCTGAATCCTTGGCGCTGAGAAAATCGCACACACCCCATCAAGAATAGTAGTGAATAGCTTCATCTTCTTCAATATCGTAATTCTAGAACTACCATGGTAACTGGTAAAGTTCCTATATATCTCGCTTAACCATTGCCTGGTATCTAAATTCAAGGCTTCGGTTTTTTAATGAAGGAGTAATCACGTAGCGTCTGATCCCCGAGCGAATGAAGAAGGGAAGTTGCAGGTATTATGCGCCGATTATAAATCCGATAAATCCGACATAGATAGGTTTACTTATAAAAAAAAAAAAAGGTAAAAAAGAAAAAAAAAAATTTATTAAACTACATTAAGCCATTAAAAACTTTCACCTTTTAGACTACCACTACCACTCAAATAGCCTACTACCATAGTCTATTATAGTGGCCAATGCCACGTGACCATAGTCGCTCCGACGCCCATTAAATGGGGTCTCAGGTGATACACATGGCGTACACGAAGTGCAATAAAAAACGCCCGCAGTCGACCAAAGTAGCTCTACCCACGTTTCTTCGATCGATTCGAGATCACCTTCATTGACCATCACTCTGTCGGGTCTTCGAGGTAGACCTACCGCAAGCCGTGGAACCTTGGACTGGCGTCTTCAAGTCTGCTATACTGATTGCACGTTTCACCTCGGGCCCTTGCTCAATGAGATACGGCAGTCTTTTGACGTCGCAGGCTTTCAGGTCGCTGGATATAGAGAAACAGGTCCTGACCATTATGTTGTCCTCCTGAGTACCATGCACGCTTTGATCAGACCGCGTGAGGCCATTCGAGACCCCAGACAACCCGGCAAACTTCGAGAACCAGGTCCACCACTGTTTGAGACCAAAGACATCATCCAAAAGTTTGAGAACTTTGTGTTTGCAGAAGACATCAGGCTGGAGAGGTTGAGCCTCTGTGAATTAGGGCTCCAGAGGAAGATTAGGAGATTTGGTACAGAGGCCAGACTGCAAGAAGTTTGCAGCGTGCCTTTGCCTTGACTCACCACCTTTGTGCCCCTCCGACACCTGTAGCGTCTATGGTGCTTTGGAGCCATATTACAGTTAAGGGGCTTCTACGGTGGTAAAGGCAATGGTACCAAAAGTAGCGTTCCCATCTTTTCCCGCTGCGATGGTGAATCCCATATACAAGGCATTGAGATCGGTGCTGAAGTTTTCGGTTCTACCGCTGTCAGAACATGAATGGGGCGCCACTTTTTCTGAGAGAAGTTGGCTAGGATAATGCCGATTCGAGATGTTGGTGTTATCGTTGAACTTGTAAGCTAGGAGTCGAATTCTGGCTCTCATTTCGGTGGAGCCTGGTGGAGCGCTCGGGATGCCGAGCACCAATAGTCATAACGCCATGAGACCGTGATTGGCGAAAAAGAATCCCAGTTTAGGCAAAGATAGTGTGCCAACTCTTGTGTTTTCCAGTATGCTGGGCCGTCGTTACTGGAACGAAAACAGGGCACCAGCTTTCGGAATGGAGTCTGGCCAGGCGTGCATTCTGCTGTGACATAGATGGGTCTCTAGGCTAGACCTACTTTGGGATCGCAGGCAGTGTAGTGTTGCAGGCTAAGGTGGGCAGGGGAGGAGTTGATGGTAGATTTGCCTTCGCGATGGGGAGGCGACTTGATGTTTATGTTGTACGCACGAGATGACTTGCATCCCAGAAGTCGAAGGCACTTAGACGTTTCAATTTGTATAGGCTACCACAAGGATTAAGAAGATTGCGTTAGGCATGTGCATCGGCGTGTAGCCAAACACACTTTCCCTTGCGAAATGGGAATGAGCGTCCGATTAGTCGTCTTCGAGTGATCTTGGCACGGTATTATGATTTTTGAACACCCAGCTGCTACAGAGCGGTTGGTGGGGACTCCGTCAACACATGGCCCCGGTGGTGCCGTCAAGAAAGGCAAGTCTTATTTGACGAACGCACAGAATCACGGTCTGCAGAAGGGCGGAAAGTTATCTGCTTGACTATTGCAGTGCTTATGGACTCTCCCTCAAAGGATGAAGAGCTGTCCGGGACTCACTCGCAGCGTAGCTCATGCTGACCCCTTCATCTGTCCGCAAGTAGTGGATGACTTGCCTAGTCCCCGCCCCAGATGAAATAGCCGATATTGCTCCTCCATTTCTTGTTAAGTCATTCTCAGCTTGGCAGCTCCAAACCAGGAGTACCCTCCCATTCCCGCCTTGATTCTCAGCGCGCGTTAGGAATGCTGGCGACTTGCGAATCTCGTAATGCGATCTTCCCGAAGGGTAGGAAAGAGTCCGCGATTCGTGAACTCTTTGCGGAGAGAACAAGCATCTCTGCATAGTGGCTCATGTGCCTTGTCAGCAATAAGATGCAACGTTTGGAGGATTTGGTCACAAATCTAGCGGGCGCAGTGTTCGCGCGATGGTGCTACACAAGTCCTTGAGTAAGTGCCCTAACAACCGCTTATTGTAATATGTGTATCCTAAATCCCAGCATCTCAAGTTGATTGACGTTTAACATTCTGTATTAGCAGGGCGCTTAAAACGCATCAATGACCGTGCTTTCTTTTCCTGTAGTCAAGATACTTCACAGAATCCAACTCTCAATAAGCAAGGGTGCTAGATTTCACAATCCGGGGCAGGGGTCAACACACTGGGTTGCAGGTATGCCAAATCGGCAGTATATAAGTAAGCGTATATGGTAGGTGTAGAGCTGTGGAGATGCAGTGGGGCACGGTGGGAAGCCAGGAATTTGGATGGACAATTAGATGACTGCCAGGGGGTATTATTGAGAGTCCTAAGGACCGCTAGGTGGGTCTGAAAGTTGGAGAAGAGAAGGGAGGAGGTTCAGACTACCTCATGTTTCACACAATTCGACAACGCGATCGGCGCTAAGACCAGGGTCACGTGAAGTATCTGTTAGCCAGCTCTTCGACGCCACTCGTCCACGGTCTTCATCCATGGAAGGGTACGCTATCCATGAACATATGCGAACATTCATAGCACCCTACTATGAGTCTTGTGAACGAGAAATTTCCGAGTCTGGGCACCGTTTCTATGGAACGAGTAGTCCTGTTCTACGTCTCACCTGACCCAAGTCAGCTCGGGGGCTGAGCCAGCAAGATCTGCGGTAGAACATATAAGCCATAATAAGGCTAACAAAATCTAGGTACGCATCTTTCGATGAGAAGCTTTTGACCTCTCGAGGCAATTACCGCCGTCCATTGCATAAGGCTGGGATGCAGCTAGTCACTAGATGCATATGAACGTTGTGAGGTCACGTTTGAGGCGCTTCAAAATTAGCAATAATTAACGGACGAAAAGACGCCTCGTGAGCCGCAGTACGCCATCCTTTACGGCAGTGCTTCCTCAACACTGCGTTTGGTCGATTGGGCAGCCGATACAGAACTCCAGGCCAATCCGCCCAGTATTCACATGTTCTTCACAGGAATTCGCAGTATCTGCTCTAGATGAAGCGCCAATACGACTATCATCTGGATCCTAGAATTCAACCCACGGAAGAGTCCCCGCCTGTGCCTAGGTAGATGAAAGGATTCGACACGGATCAGGGACTAATGTCCGTTTTCTGAACGGGGAGTCGTTATGCACGTCGGGCTTACGTGCGCAAGCGCGGAGAGTGTTCGGTCGAATCAAATGACCCCACGAGTAAGACCGGAATGAAGAGCCCCTATTTCCTTCTCCTTGAATTTGGCGGTACTGGTGCCATACAAGATATGAGTAGTGCCTACCTTAACGCATGATGATCTAACCCTGTGTTGCATTAACTGATAAGCTGTGCTTCGAATACAGCCTCAGGAAAAGGGGTTTTTGCAACCTTCACGTTCCCAAGGCTTTTGCTGTAAGTCTTAATCTGCAAAGTTGCTCATGGCCCTAGCTCGCGGATGATTAGATGATGTGGCATCATTGTCCGGTTCCCATTCATTCGGCCGTTACAGTTCGCTTCGAGTAACCTCCTTTCGGCATCTCCGCCTTGTCGGGCCTTTGGATATCGCCTCGTACCAGAAGACGTCTTTTGCATGAAGGGTGCTCCAGTCCCAGCACTTGAGTAGTCGGCAGAACGACAGTGCCTTGCCTAATTTCATGTAGCCACCATTGGATCGATGGCAATGCTACCGAACGAGGCTGAGCGACGCCTCGAGTTCCATTTAATGCGGTCAGCTGCTGGTTTCAGTGCGCAGCCTAGTCAGATTGAGGATCCTACCATCAATGATTCTCTCATCTTTCCCCAGCTGCCTTGAATTTCTTGGAAATTCTGAATCAGGTATACACCAACTCGCCGATCAGATCGACTGCACCCACTTTGCAATTACAGTCTTGTGGACTATTCGTATGATGAAATCATCATCAGCGTAATCTCCAATCGCTGGTTGTGTTTGGAACACACTTAGCCCAAGATCCGCGTCAATCGTCCAGCCTGTTCCCTAGCCAACATGAACGCAGTATCAGGGAACTTTAGTTATCCTCCTCAAAACAGCAACCTCAAATTCGACTTCAGAGACAGTATAGTGGCTTCTTGGGTGAGCGATGATTTTTACGCTACCCAGGGGGTTCTTACCCTATGGTACTATATCACGGATGCCCCGGCAAATTGGACGTTGAGTATGTCGTATATTATCTCTCCTCCCCACAATCCACCGCTACAATCCAGGGTCGATGTCAGTGATTAACAGCGAAGACTAATGAAACGTTCCCTTGTTCCATAGGTGGTGTGATAGAAGCCGTGCCGGCAAATGGCTCGAAAAGTGTCGCTCTAGACGTTGGTACCACTTCAGATTTTCTTGGACAATTCAATATCAATTACAACACCAACGATGGAATCCAGCAAAAGTACGACAGTGCGATATTCAACGTCGTTCACGACCTTGGGGAGATCTCTCAAACGATGACATGGAACCTGCAAGCTCTTTCCACCACCTCGTCGGGCTCTCCTACCCCCTCGAAACTTCAGGCCGCATCCACCCACGGGTCAATGACCACCTCAACCACGCCGTCAGCTTTAACAATAACAGGGCCATCAAAAACATCCTATCCCAATCCTCACCTAGCAGCCGCAATTGGTCTGGGAGTTGGCATACCATTCGGTATCGCAATGATATGTCTCGTTGGCTTTCTGATTTGGAAGAAGACGAACTCAGACCGCAGAAGGTCCCAAGCAGCGTCCCAGACGCCGGCTACCTTTGTGAAGGGGGAGAAGATTATGGGAGAGTTGGACGCCCATCAGAGACATCTTGAACTGTCTGTTGGCCGAATAGATGCGGAATTGGATGCTAGTCGCTCGACGCTTTAAGGCGCGTTTTTCTACGGCGCTGCTGCTGTTCTCTTGTGCCGTTTTTTGTTAACAACATGTCTATTGCGCGGACTCCTCAGTAATCAGCGTTAGCATGCTGAGAGGATGTGGATCTCTAGTAGTAAAATGTCATTGAAGTGATCTACGTCAGAGTGTTGTTTCCCATTTCAGCTAGTATACTGTAATGGTATCAATTGTCCTTTCACAAAAAGCGGGCTTGCATACGCTAACCATCTGCCAAGGGTCAACACGTTCCACGAGTTTAGATTAATCTCAAGCCAAAGACTACAGCGGGGGTCAACTCAGATCGAAATCATATTGGAAGAGACCTTGACTATGACCTGAAGTTGAATCTTCAAGACAGAGTCCAAGTCATGGGTCAGAATAAGAGCAGGGACTTGAGATGGTAATGGGAGGGGAAGGTGTGAGCGAGCTGGTGTATCAAAAGGCCCAAGTCTATTTCCCGCAGAGAAGAGGTTTGTGAATACACGACACCGCCCATTCCTATACCAAAGCGCTCTATCCCACGACCGCGGTTCTTCGCCCACGTCCAGCGCCCTTGTCCTCGCAAAGTCCACCCATCCCAGGTCCGCCACAGTTACGACCTGGCCTTTACTCGCCACAGTGATAGTGGGTCACATGATAAGCCCCTGTTTCAGGGCATTGTCGGGACCCCTGCAAGGGGTGGGAGACAGGTATCCAGTACGAGCATAGAGCCACCTGTTTTGCACCTGTCAATGGCTCTTCATTCGATTTCATCTCTTTCAGAGCCATTGCCTACTTTTTGTCCGACCTACCCACACCTGTACATAGCTAGCTACCATTTCACTCCAGGTCTATGCCATAGACATGGGAATTTCCTTGCGCTGGGGTACGAGAAATATGCCTGTTCAGGCTTGCTATCCCCGTCGTCAGACGGCCCAACCACTATTTACACTCTGTGTGGGCCCCTATGTCTGCATGTGACGCGTGTTTTTCATGAATGGGACAACCAACACATCCATTCTCTTATTATCAAGATCCTGCCGCTGCGAAAGCGACGCACGGTCCGCTGAGGCTTTGATCACCCTGTACGCCTAACGGTTTTAGCTACCTGTAGCATTTAAGCATACAGCGCTGCCAAGTTTCGCTTTATACTTGTCGGGCAGGTTCGGCAGATACAGGACATTTTGGACGCAGTGTAGTACAACTTCCTTCTTCATCGGACGTTGATTGAAAACAGTGTAGCTTCCTCCTTTCTCTAGTGCCGATGGTTGGATCCCCTTTTCCTTGATCGCTTCGACGTGTTGTTTCTTCTGATTTCCGAGACCGAGCTATTGCAGTGTGCAATTTGGCAGTCCTTTCGAATGGATCATCGCTCTGTTGGAGAGTCCCGAATCAGCGTGGCCTAGTCGAGAAGATTTAATGTTGTCGGAAAAGTCCCGACCAAGTCTTCAATCCTGGCCCAAAAAGAGCGTATACACAGCGTACAAAGTCGCTTGAGATTTATGAAAGCTTCACCACTTCCTCTGCAGTATCAATCAGGACCTCTTTGAACTCGGCGCTGTGTGAGGACACTCACTTGTCGCAATACCCAAAGATTGTGAAACCGTCCAAAAAACGTGGACTATGGACAGTGATACCGTTAAGAAAGCCCCGCACCACTGGTCATTGGTTACGCTTCCAATGTTATCGCAATTCTGTAGTAGTTGCTGGCGATACTCGAACTCCTAGATTTACCCTTTGCGTCTCTAGTTCCAAAACGAGATATCCCAATAACCCCTCGCACTGACGGCTACGGGTTGTCTCAAGCTTCACCACTTCCTCTGCGTACCAACAAGACCTCCACGTAGATGAAACCCACGCGAATCACAAACCAGCTATACATGAACGCCTTCCGCACTGTGCGTACATGAGTGTTACAGCTAAAACTCTTCCCAATGACCCCTAGCAGTAGGCCTGACGATCCTTCACACAATGCCCAGAGCTTTTCGTAGACAGCCACGACATGCACAGCCTATTGAATGGAGGCCCAGCAATGGATTTGGCTTTTACCGGCTGCCAATTCTTACTGCGTAACTTGACGGTGGATACCAAACGCGCTTTCGGGGCCTCGACTCGACACGGCGGGCATACATGATCATGATTCATTCCTAAGGGCCTCACAACATAGCTGTATATGTCGACTCCATCACTCGGAATGAAGGACCTGGCGTTACGTGTCCTTCGTCAATTTTTTGACATCCTGAGAATCTAGGTAGACTTGACTGGGCTTGCGACTTCCGAGTAAAGGAGCGGACGGCGATGTCGGTGATTTCAGTTTGGGGTCATTGGACAGGAGCCGTTGCTGAGATGAAGATGTGAGAAATAATTCCGAAGAAACAGAACTGTGTGAGTGAGGATAGACTGGCTAGGATGGGTCCCCTCATGGCACTCGATCTTGTAACCTAGGTCTTGAAAATTCCATCGGTGGGAGGGTTTGAACGTTGATTATCGCCAGGGATTTTGCTTTCTCTCTCAATTACTATCGTAAAAACTTTGCGTTGAACTCTGAGACCCTTTTCAGTGATGCTAGCACATCTTCGATTTCCGAGACTTGCTTGGAAGAGTGCAAGTGCTGTATGAAAATCGTCGCGACCACTCTCCAGTTGTCCGACCTTGGCTCTCGGATATTCATAGCAGCCCTATGAGACAGGAGCTTATACCACATTCTTCGTCTCTTAACAGTTCATAGGATCTTCACCGTGATCTCAGGAAATACGATAGGAATTACTTGCTTATGTGGCGCGAGAATTTGATGCAGTAGCGACCAAACCATACCTTCCCAAGACTTGTGCATCACGCTCTAGCCTCGGTCCCAAAGAGAGAAGCCGAACATGTCAATGGTGTGTCACCCGTCCAAGACCGTACCGTAAATTTTTCATCAGCCGTCCATCTCTGTAGAGGGCAAGATACTTGCTCGCTTAATGAATGCATTTAGATTAGGATGTACCTCCATGGGATGATGCTGCTGTTGTTTGGGATGGACAATGAGTAGGCATGGGGCTGTACACGGAGGATCACCCGCTAAGACGGTATCTATAAGGTGGCTTGTAGACAAAAGCTGCAGTACCGGTAGTTTGATGGCTGATCTAAGGTGATGGTGGATGAAGAAGGCCAGGAAGACCCTTAGAAAGCAGACACGCTAACACTGGCGCACCTATGTACCGTGACGTTCACCCGCTGCAGCCCACTCCACAAGACACTCCTGCAGAGAGAGGCTCATACCCACCCACCAACCATGGCCCCGAACGACAATTTCATCTCCCGCGCCGTCAACAACGGCATCGCCACCGCAGGCAACTACGCGGGCGGCGTCGTCGACGCGGCTGGCAAGAGCGTCTCGGGCACTGGGCGCGGTGTTGGCGACAGGTATGTACCCTTCCTCCCGCTCTCCACGACACGCTTCCTTCCTTCCATCCCTTCCTTCCCCCCTTCACCTCCTCTCGACCATGTAAGCCTGACACCGACCCAGCGTCACAAACGCGTCCAACAGCGCCGGCGGCTCCGCATCCAATTACGGCAACGCGGTCAAGGATTGGTCGAAGGCGGAGGGTCCGAGGGCGCAGACGGCGAGTAATCCGTTGGGTGTGAGTGGTGGTAGCTATGGGGGGAAGAAGGCCGTTGTGGGGGGTGGGAGTATGGGGGGTGCGGGGGGGAAGGGGACGGCGGGGAATCCGTTGGGGTTGTGAGGGGTCAGTGGTGGGGAGTGGGCGTTGAGGAGGGGGTGGGGGGGGTACGATGGGTTGGATACAGGGCGCGGGGAGGGCGGTGGCGTTTGTTGGCACATGTTCGCGCGTTGGAAATGCGTATGCTGGGGGACCGAAAAGGGGAATTTAGTGAGATTCTGCTTTACAAAGGTTCTATTATTCGCTCCCAAGCAAAGGTGCGACCGGAGACGGCGAAGGCTTGTCCAGTGGGCCCGGTAACACCCCGTACACCGACACCCTGATCAGATCCTTCGCGCCCACACTCACCGTCATCGTCCCGCCCCATTTCTCCTGCGGGTTCTCCAAGCCCGAGCACTTGCGCGCCAGCACCCACGCCGTACTCTCGACGTAAGACAACCTCACCGAGTCTTCGTCGTCCGCGTACTCCATGTCCAGATGGACCGCGCAGGTTCCGGTCCGGAACGTCGCGGGGAGCTGGTAGTGGTCCGGGTCCGCGCTGGGCCTCCGGCTGAAGATGTAGGTTTGGGTCGGGGGTCGGGAACCCGCTATCTCTGTCGTGGCTGCTTCGCAGTCGGCGAAGTTCGAGATGGGGACGGAATGCTCGCGGGGGGAGGGTGGGTCGAAGCATTCCGGTACGCCGCGGAGAGTGGAGGCGTTTGTCGTCGGTGCGGTCGTCACGTTCAGTGGTTCGGTGGCCTGCGGCTTTAGCAGGCTCAGCTCGCTGTTTTCGATTTGCGCTCGAGCAACGACGTGAGTGGGTGCAGGCGAAGCGGGTGCGGACACTTGAAGCGGCGATCCAATCCCAAAAACAAAAACGTACATCACGTTCTTTGGTCCCACTACCTTGCTCCCGCCAAAGATGTTTTTGCCCGTCGTGCATTCTCCGATTCGGTTCAATGCCGTTAGGTATACTTCGAAGAGCACGATTGTGTCAAAGTCGACATCGTTGAGGGCATCCACGGTGACAACACAAGATTTGCTCCGCGCTGTCCAAGGAAGTTTGAAGTCCATGCCAGCTCTCCGGCCGAATGTCATCCAGTTACGAGCTCGCCTGTTTTTCATCATCTCGTCGGCGGCGTTCATGCAGTCCAGTGACTTGACTGGGTAGAGAGGTTTGCGGGCCAATGGACCAGATTCGCTGAAACATTCCCCTTTGTCCGCATTGGAAGTGTTTAGAATGGGTATACCAGTGATGGCAAGTGATGGGGCATCGAGCAGGCCTGGATCTCTACGCTCGATTCGCGTAGAAACGACGTGAGACGGTTGAGGTGCCACTGGGCTTGCGGCGCCGACTGAAAGTGGCATGGTCCCATAGACCGAGATATAAACCACTCCTCTTGGTCCCACTGGCGTTCTCCCACCATACCTGTAATACCCCTTGACACAATTGCTACATAAAGCTAAAGCGATTCCCCGCGCGTCTTGGATACCAATGATGTCTTCATCGTCGTCATTAAGCACATCCAGAGCCATCACACAATTAGCGCTGCGCGCTCGCCACGGAAGCTGGATATCTGCGCTTTCGCTGCGGCTGAAGAGCAACGGCACATCCCCTCGCACGTTTGCAAGTATTTCATCAGCAGCATCTGTGCATCCTGGGTATTTGATAGGATAGAAGGGCCCTGGTGGCGGGAATGAAGGAGTGAAGCATTGGAAAACGTTCGAGGCGTGCGAGGTCAATGCGCCTGAGCTGTCAAGTGATGAAGCGTTGAGGATATTCGGGCCAGCAAGCTGAAGAGGTGATGCGACGGTACTTGAGCCGAGGAGCAGACCCCTTAAGATGATGGCGAACATTGCAGAGGTGGAGCTAAAGAGATGCACCATGATGGATTTGCTGGGAAAAGAAGCTGTAGTCTCGTTTCTTCATGGTCCCTTCTTCAGCTTGCGCAAGGTCAGGGCCGGCGGCTATCACATAGCGACGCATCCAGTATGTCGCGCTCGGCGCTCCTGCTCATACGTCGCATGTGAGTTCTGTCCTGCATCAACATGAGTATTATCCGACTTCGCGACCAACTTGAATCCCGGATCTGGCGCGGTTGCTGCCGGAGGTGTCTGAAAAGCCCCCCAAGTATTTGCAAGGCGCCATGTTGGCCGATATCTTGACATGCGAAGTGACAGGTGGTGTCATGCAGGCTTTTTGACTGCTGTACTGGGTCTTTCCTTTCTTGTTGAGGAATGATGTCCGTGGCCTTGATCGAACTGCTGTGAAATCCGAAGGGGTAGAACTTTCAGTGGTACGTCAGGGAGACTTGAGGTCTCAGAGGCTATGTCAAAGTTGGAACGCAATGAAGTACCATACAAGTGGAATTTACATCATCGTGCTGAATCTGCAATCTATCTGAAGCAGGCACCAAGAGAGGGAGCAAGGTCCCCATCACAGACCATTGTATGAAAAGTAACCGTCGCAGTGACTTCCAAATTGCATATATACTCTCCAGAAACATCCCCTTCAGGTAGCGCGTACAACGGGAGTATCATTACTGTCCTTGCTAGTTGTTAGTGCTTGCGTAGGTGGTGTACAGGATTCGAGCAAATTCGCCCATGAACGAGTGATGGAAGAGTTTTTTGGAATATCAACGTAACTTAGGCTGGTAAATATAACCTCACTCTCCATCTTTCATCACATCTCTCGAATCTAAGCTCAATCCTCAGGTACAAACCCCTACGTGAGTCAAAACCCAGTGTGCGGGAGACGGTACGCTCACCCAGAACCCCTAGTTCGGATAGATGTCCGCTGACTATGCGAGCGGAATTGTGCTTGCGGTATCACATCCCCCACCAAGCCTACCTGTCCGGTGACGAAGAATGGCTCTTTTTGAAACCGGGTCCCAGGGGAGGGGGGGGGGGGGGGGGGGGGGGGGGGAAATGAGAGGAATCAGGGGCGTGCATGCGGGGAGCTGGGACGAGATGCTTCAGAGGATGCTCCGTGATCAGTGAGGTGTACTTGCTTGGACCGGAATCGGGGGGAGATGGCTTTGGGACAGGGGTTCTCCAACACGCTAGCTATGAGGGTTGGAAACGTACGAGATTTGCTGGGATTGATGCTCAACTTTGTCTGAAAAAGCGGGTTGCGTGGTGAAGTGCAATAGGATTGTGCTGAAGGGGACTGTGTATGTTGATAGGTACAAAGTCAATAAAGTTTCCCAAACCACTTCTCCGCTGTTCGGCTTTCCTATGAGACTTGCCTTGACCCAAGCTGTATGTACATGAGTGCCTCTTCGCTGGAATTCGATTAGCAGATGACGAGGAATGTCGTTTGTATATTTGCGGGACGTGGGATCCAACAGTGACCCTGACTCCAAGCATCGAGCCCACTTCATCACTTCTTGTCTCCGCCTCCTTTCTTCTCATTGTTCTTCTCCTCCTCGTGCTCCGGCTTCTTCTTCGCATGCTGTTTGTGATGCTGCTTCTCCTGCTCATGCGCTGCCGCTTCCCTCTCTTTCATCTTCCTTTCCTCTGCCTCAACCATATCTGATCACAAGTCAGCCGTGAATCGCACTTCGTAACTACCCCCAAGCCCACAAGCAGCATGGAAAACCCACCTCTCCACTGATCCTCCCCTTCATATCTCTCATGATGAATCTTTTTATCGATAAGATGCTTATGCGTAGGATCATTCGGATCCACAATCTTCACCGTCTCCCATCTCCCCTCCCCTTTCCCCCTATCACCCACCTCAAACACCGCCGTAGCGCACAGCACCGCTATCGTTATCGTCTGCGCGTACACCCTAGCCTGCACTATTTTCTGCTGCGTCGACAGATATGGTGATCGACCGACCACGCCTAGCGCGATACCCATGCCTAAGACCCATGACGTGCCGACGATGGGATAGCGGTATTCTTTGCCCAAATCCATGAAGCGCTCGAAGGATGACTTTTTCGCTTCTTGTTCGGCGCGCATGCGGGCCGCCTCATCTTGGTAGCCTTCATCGGGGTGGCGGGAGGCTTCGAAGGAGCGGGAGAATCGGTCGGCTGTTACGATTGCTGTAAGAGGAGCACATGTTAGTCGGTGTGTAGATCATTGAAGGGGGAGAAGATTAAAGTAGGATCGTTCGCGTAAGGCACTGAGACGCCCTTCGCCGGCAGGCGAGCCCGTATGTAGATAGCATTGCAGTATCTCTGTAGTTCACACAACGCAGAGAAGGGAGATTGATGAGACGCACGCACCGCCAAATGTAGCGCTCGATGTACATAAGAAGGCTCGGAGAGGGAGGGTCAATTGTCGAAAGGCAGGGTATCGTGCTGCGGCTGCGAAGACTCCTCCAACGCCGAGAGCTAGTCCGACCGTACCACCAACAGCACCACCCTTGAGCGTCTCGCTGCAATCGTTAGCGATGTTGGAGGCAAGGTGATGTTGAAGGGGGCCTACTTGTAGTGAGCTTGCTCCTCTTCCTTTGTAAGAATCTTCATAGTCGCTAGGCCGTAGAGAAGGAAGAGGGGAGAATAAGGATGTCGACAATAGCTCGGGCAAGCTACAGAGCGCTGGGTTGTAGGTCAATTGGCCCAGAAAAAGATGGGATGTTGGTCGGAGAAGCACCCATGCCCGCTATCCGGCTCCTAGTCTCAGTATTCAGACTCGCTTAGGGGGGTACCCTATGGCCAGCCCTACACTCGTTCCTCGCTTCGGGGGCCAATTATATCGTAAACTTATTATAATATATCCCCCCTCTAGAGTTTAAGTAGGAAATTACGGAATCGCTATATTAATCGTTATTTTATATAAGATATCTATAATAATTAATCGAAATATAAAATTTATAACTTTTAACGATTCTTTTATAACTATTATATAATTCTTTAAAATTAATCGCGGGTAAATGATCTATCGAGATCGCTAATTAAGTATTTAAATCTTTTATTAAAATTAAATAATTTATTATTATTATATAAGCTAATTTAAGATTATAATCTCCGCTAACGCTTATAATATTTATCTTTAATTAATTAATCTAAATCGAGAAAATTCTAGATAATAGTATATTATTTTTAATATTATTAGAAAATTATATAATAAATTAAGTTAAGAAATTTTTAAAATAGATTTATTATATTACTCTTAATTAGAAAGTTAAATACTGAGATATTCTCTTAAAAATATTATTATTTAAATACGCTTTCTTAAAGATAAGGATTATAGTTATATATTTTAAATAATATTAACGCGATTATATTCTAGAACGAGCTCGTATAGATATAAAATTATTAAAGATATTTAGATATCTAAATTTCTCTATAGCGCGATAATGTTCTTCGACTTTGTATTAATTCTTTATTTTTAATAATATTCTTTCTTTATAATGGAAGTCTAAAACTTTTAATAATTTAATTAAAGAGATTTAAAATTTATATATTTAACTCTCGTATGAAAGTGAGGGAGATAACTAAGCGTATTCGATTAAGTCGTTTATACGACGTTGCCTTTTTATTTAAAGACGTTTTTTTCGTTTTATACTTTAGAGACTTTATTGTTAGATTTTTTATTTATCGATATCGTCGTTATTAATATCTAACTTTATATTAAAAGAATATTATCTGCTTCGCTCTTGCTTTACTCTTGCAGTTCGATAGCTATATATTTTCGTGTTATATACTTACTTACTTATTTATTTTATATATCGTTGCGCTCTTATAGTCTAGTCGTTTAAAAATGGGAAGACTACGGTTTATTGAAGTAATAAATTAACTATGATTACGATATTTTTTAATACGTACTTCGTTCGGCGTACTTGGATTATCTCGGATTTATACTTGGATTTCTTATAATACTACGCGTCTATTAAGTATATGGTATGGTTTTTAGTATTATATCGCTGTTAACTAGTTGTGTTTTTAATAAATAAAATTAGTTTTTTTATTACTTTTGTTCTATTTATAGAGTTTTTAACTATTTTTCGACTTTTTTGAATTTCAGGCTTTCGTGTTGCGTTTTTGTTAAGGATCTATTCGGGGTGTATATTTATCCTCATAAAAATGTCTTGGGGTTTCCTTCTCTCTGCTATCCGGCTCCGAGGAAGCTCCAGCGTGACGCAATGCCATGCCGGACATTGCCATGGTGACTAAGCAGAATCAAATGCCGATCAACGCAAAATCCCTTCCTCCTTGGCCCCTTTCTTTCTTTCTTTCTTTTCTTCTTTCTTCCTTCAAAATTTACAATGCAACGCACTACACGATCAAATCCTTCATAACACGTCGTTACCACACCTATGCTTCAAGTGTCTTCGTAGACTACGAGTCATCTTGAGCATATATGTCCGCAGGCACTAGCGTTGGAACGTTCTCATGACTATCCTGGCCTTTGAGGTTCAACCTCTCTCAGAGTGCGCGGTCATGAGATACGCAGACTGATACAACATGGCGTTTGGCGGCTCGAGCATTTGACTTCCAGTCACCCGATTGGCTGGAGTGACTGGGGCAAGTAGGCCGACATTTCATTATCCACTGGGGAATTTTCACAGCTTCAGAATGACTAGTTATGAACTATGCAAAACTTCCATTACATTTCCTTCTTGCTTCCTACCACCACAATGCTATGCGCACCATGGCTTTTGTACTAATAACATGATCTCGTACACTGGGGATCATAGTGGGCACGTGACAATTTCCTTACTTCCGGTCATGGTGTCACTACTTCCATACTCACAATCACACCTGTTCATGTGTTCATCAATCTCATGCTGCAAGCTTTGCGACGAATGCAGAAAAAGAAAGAAATGCTCTGAGCGCCGTTGCCATCTCATCTCCCATGTGCTCTAAACAGTGAGCTTTTTGGGATCACTGAATAGCGTTCGTCCTTTCGTAAACAGTTCGTCAAGATAGTGTAGGACGGCCGAGCCATAAGTCTTTGACTTGGCGTTTATAGCTTTAACATGGATGACTAAACGTGCCCATAAGACCTTCGCTCTATTCTGATCTCATCCTTTCGATTTATCACACTATGCAAAGAACGGGGATGCCCACCAATAAGCGTTAGAGATGAACTCGTAGACTACGGTTCATCGTGGACAGACGGACTTGGACTCGAGGCGTTGCCGAGCTGTCCACCGACCATCCCTAAGCTCTTCTACCTGCACCTCGAGCTAATCAATCTCGAGGTGTTGGAAGCGGTGATGAGAAGAATGAATGTTCGACAGGACTTCCCATGCTCTTTTGACCTCTGGCTTTGCGATCTTACACGCTTTGTCAGGGTCATCTCACAAGACCTACATGATAATTGTCGTAACGCCCACTGTGCTTTTGAATGGCTCTTCAGTAAGTAGAATCAGTCATATTCCGTTCTTGAAACACGGACAACAGATCTGTAGACTGCGGATTGAATGACAACGTTCGTTGTCTGCCATTCCCAACGTAACATCTGCCCGTGAAACTCCCCTAATTTCGAGGTGCAAATTTCCGAGTGATGCAAATCAACAAGGAGTGATCCTTCGCGCTCTGCCTCTTGTTGAATTTCCCCAAGCAGTCATTTAACTGTGCCTTTCTTAGGTTGCACATGGGCGCACATGTCTTTTCCCTGGGTCATGAGAGTGTGAGATTGATACCATGTCTAGCCATCATTTCCCAACTGAACGAGGTTTTGAGACTACCGTAACATGCTAAACCTGTCTGGCAAAGGGCAATGTCAACTTCACTTCGACCTTGCAGGACTCACAGTATCCAAAAGCGAATGAGACACTCAGCGTACACTTTCAACAAACCTTCCCCCTTCCTCCACCCACGCTCTCTCCTCAATCCACAGCTCTGTAAACGTATCAATCAAGCACGAGCTGACGACCCAGAGGCTGCGGGTCGGATGGGCACTTCCGACTTGTCTAATCTCATTACCAGCGCGGTATCTGCTTCTTTGCAGGACACCATTTCCAAGGCATGTTTCTCGTCCTTCTGCGGGAGAATGGATCTGATAGATGATGACCTGCTAGCGCTCATGTTGTGGCCAGTGTCCTGATGTAGTATTCCTAATTCTGTAACTGGTTGACACGCGTTTTTAACGCCACTGTTGCGCTTTTGGAACTCGCGTCACGCGATTCGAAATGTGACAAATTACATATCCTATATGACACCCCTTCATTTAGTTTCTGCTTCACGGCTTTTCTTGAAAAGGATCTGTAGAATCCAGATTTGACCATCCTCAGAATGACCACCCTTGAGCTGTCACATTCCCATTTCTCAGCAGCGCCTTCATCAATATTTTACTCCCTGTCAAGCACGAGGGCCGATCTCAAATATGAAAAAAAACCCCCACACTTCACATTACTCAACGGTCTCGCGACCCACGCATCAGTATTCGCACCTCCAAACCCTCTGTACTCTTGAATCAGCCAACCTCAATAAGAAGCACTTTCACACGGGTTTTCCGGCAATGCCTACCCAGATGGGATCTTCGGCTCCGTAAATACGCGTACATTGTCGTTGTCAGACGAAACGAACTGAATTAAACCATACCAAACCAAACGATAAAAATGTGTGCTGATCGCGTAGACTACGTACGCATCAGCAAGCACGGGCCATCTTGCTGCCCGGCTGTCCTAGAATATCGTGCTCACAGATGACGGCGGCGCCTGAGTTGATTAACAATAAGGTGCATTACATATTCGTGAGCGAGACAGTTTGGACACTGGAGGCGGGGTTTATGCCGAATCTTTCCCCGTTGCTTTTGTGGTCGCTAGTATGTTCATTGATATGGCTTACTGGAGTTTAATATTATGGGCGGATGTGGAGAAGCCGTTGGCAAGCACATGCAGTGCACCAGATAGGTTTCATAGATTTGGAGAATTCTATCGAACCTCGCTTTTAACTTGTTGTCATTTTCTGCTTCAGCCCCCAACATGAGGGTTTTACTATGCTGTCTCTCATTTCTTCTTCCCCTTCGTTTTATCCAAGACCTCAATCCAATGTCTATTCACGCCTCTCTTTTCTAAGGCCTTCACCACGGCATCTTTCTGCGGGCCCTGAACCATGATCTCCTGAACCGGTTTCTTTGGGCTGCTGCCCATTAATTGGCCAACGCTCGTGGAGCTCGCACAAGCTTTCTGCAATTCCTCGGCCAGAGGTTGCGGGTTGATGTGGAAAACCTCTACACCAGATAGCTTGGTCACGGTCTTGTTACCGGAACGCGTCTCAAGCGTGATTTGGATTTTGGGAGCATTTCCCGACTTGGCTTTGACCGTCTCCCTTGTTTCGTTGTTTCGAAGGATGACCCAGAACGGCGAGCAGGCTTGCAACATACGGTCGATGAGAGCGTCACGAGGTACGCTGCCTTTGGCGATGACTTCGCGGTCTAGGGAGGAATTGCCGTCAAAGACTGCGTTTGCTAGAATAGGGTCGAGGTTGACCAAGCGCTTGTTCTTGTCTGATATCAGATTTTCAGATTCTATGTAGGATGCAATTATCGGGCGTATTTCTGTGGGCAGATAGAGCGCTTTGACACTGGCACTGGATGCTTCGAAGACTGGCGAGAACGCCTCCTTGGGTCTGAATAGGTTGATCTTTTGGAGCTTTTGCCCAATTGAGTCGTCACTCGGAGAGTCGCCTGCTGCGATACTTTTGCCTCCACCACCTCCGCCGGACTCTGCACCAGGCGTGTCTTTCGTTGGCAACTTGTAAGGCTTGAAGCTAGTAAAGATTTCGTCATCAAAGTCAATGTCCAGAACAACGCATTCGCCTCCATCACGGTCTTTGGACTTGAGAAGCTTCTGCTTGTCCAGAGCCTTGATGAATTTTTTCGCGTTCTTCCAGCTTGTCTTTTTGATGTGCAGGGATGCCGCCTGGGCAGGCGAGTAGATTGGTAAGTATGGCAGGACGAAGTTGGAGATGACCAGTGACTGGTTGATCGGGAAGTTCAAGCCTTGACGTGGATCGCTCTTATGGGTGTTTCGGTGGTGGTGGACACCGTATATGAAGGCCTTCCAGAAAGCGTCATCGATGTCTGAGATCTGTAAGCATTGGGACTTTTCCTGGCTCGTTAAATTGGCATCGTGCCTTTAGTTGATAACTCCTTGTCCTCCTCTCCCACTACCTCATATGGCCTAGCGTCTTCACCTTCGACAAAGTCATTCCGCGATCCGAGTCTCGTGTGCTGCTCGGGCTCCTGATTGAGAGATACTCCCCCCTCAGCATCATCATCGTCGTCGTCCTCAATGGTCAAGTGCTCCACGCCTCCCCTCAAGCTTGCATCAGTAGTATCCACATCCCACCCTTCAATGCGTTCCGGGGCGCTTCCTCCAGGCTTGCCTGCTGGGCTCCATGCCCAGATCTCATCCCCATCCCAGTGCTCCCCTCGGACAGCATGTCCTTTGGCGCCTTTCACCTCTTGCAGAGAAGCAACATCGATCTCGCAGATCCCCACGACCATAGGCACGCTGGGCTTGTCGAGGCTGGCGATGGCGACAATGGAGTCCTTAATTGCTTTGGACGGGAACGGCGGTCCACGAGCCAAGCCTGGCGTCATAAGAGGCGCACCGCTGCGTAGCTTTTTCAAGACAATCTCAGGGGTGTAGAGGAGAGGTACCAGTTGTGGATGCCGCCACAGTGTGTAGACTGCCAATCACACAGTTACCTTTGATCCAAGGTCGACGACTTTAGGGCTTACCAGTCGGGATGAGCCTCTCTTCAATTTTGAACCACAGTATGCGTTGCTCCTCTCCCGGGTGTGTCCCAGCGTAAACCGTCCCAGAAACCTGCTTCAACTCAGGTCCTGCCGTCGTGCTGAACCTGGCTGAAAGGGCGTTCTCCGGCATTAGAGAGTTGCGTAGGCCACCCAAGCTCAAGGCAGGTGACGCCTCGTGAATTTTGTCTCCTTGCTCTTCAACATTGCCAGGCACCTCTATGTCGAAGTCTCTGATTATCTGGTCTGCTATTTTGCGTCTGTCCGAGGAGCGAAGAGGGGCAAGGGGCTTGATCTGTGCGAGGGCTTAGCAACGGAGCGTGGAAGGGTCAGGACATCAGGAACATTTGGCTTCTTCTTGAACATATTGGATTGAGTACCCAAATGTCTGCGTGAATGTTGGAGTCGTAGCGCTGGTCGTGACAAGCAGTCGTAACCTTCTGAGGATGAAGTGGTCAAGGCGCCGGATAGCTGAGGTGAAAAGCCCAGGGATTTCATATGCGCTTCCTTCCTGTGCTCTTCTGCTATTTTTGTTGGCACGAACAATCGAACATGAGGTTAGAGGGTATTTAATTCGTAATAGGTTCGATTTCTATTGGCGCTGGTACAATGGTGTAGTGGTTTTGGATTTTCTACCCTCTAATAGCATCTCAGGTACTAGTACCACCTCGAAATTCACCTCTACTGCAATCTTGCCCACTCTATGAAGACCTCGCATGATGCATCCTTTCATCTTTGATGAGCATATCGAAAGCTACTAATAAGATTAAAGAAAGAGAAAAGGAAGCAGACTGTCATTAATGTTGCAGACGTCGTTAACAATTTACATTGCATTGTTTCTAATGTGTGCCTGTAAGAGCTCGTACCTCCATGTCTATTTTCATAGCATAGCCTGACGCCAAGGTTGCGTCGTTCGCTTTATAATCGCTTCTCATAGCACTACCATCGCGGACTTTGGCAGCTTGAGTCATCCAGTGTGTATCTCGTCTATGCACATCGGGTTGATGATTCGAGTATGTTGGTGGTTGAGACTGATCGGACTATTTGAGAAAAGGCAACTTGGACAGTAGAGTAACCAACAGGGAATCAATGCATCCTCCGATTTCCTAGATAAGAAAGCAAGATTCGATCGTTCAGTCGCATGGTAATTTGAAAATAGAACTAGGACAGGCTTGGATGGTGTCACTTCTGCAAGCTACAAAAAGCCAACGTGTTTGAACGGGCGTGCAATCCCCACGAGCTACCTGTCAATCTACCTTCTCTCGCAACGTTCAGCACTGAATAAGAAAATACGAAGCTATCATCCATGCTTACCAAAACACTTTTTTTGAGCCGTTTCAAGTTGTTTCAACCATGGTTCATTGCACGAATAAACGCCATGCCCATCACGAAGGGCCACATTGGTGACATCTCTCCTGTGGGCTCCGCTTTAGAACACCCGCACACTCGGGGAGATCTGGACAGGACTCGCAAACGGGCTCGACGCAGACTGGACCATGACCTCCGTGCATAGGCCAGGCTGAGTCGTCACGCTTAACTTGTGCGTCCTGATTCAAATGTGTTCAGCAACGATCTTTGGTAGAGAAGACTTGATGAGTAAAGGGTACAACCCACTTCACTACGCTTCTCCTTTTCTGTCGCGCAGCCTGGAGAACCAGAGTGATCTAGGCATTCGAAGGTTGTGCATGTTCCGTTTTCGAAGCAGATGAAGCCGATCGGAAGAGCTTCGCTACGTTTCTCCTTTGGTGTCAAACATGTTGAGGAATCAGGGAACTCTAAGCATTCGATAGTCGGAGCGCATGTTCCGTTCACAAAGCAGACCTCCCCAATATCTTCAGATTTGTTGTGTTTTTCTTCCTCGCAATCAAGGCATACACAGCCCGAGCCGTCCAATTCGCAGGATGTTTTGACGGGCGTGGGTAAGATGGTGCGGCGTGGAGTGGTTTGAGAACATTGCCCGCGTCTGGGATCTTCGTCAGCACAGACGGGAGTAGGCTCGCCGATGAAATTGTCGCCTTCGGATTAGCGTTTGCTCGGTGCGGTCTGTCACATATGGGTCAGGGAGTTTTTAGAGCGAAGAAGACAGCGACCGAGACACGCGTCATGCCTGTTTACCTCGCTGCGTTCTTTCACATCTGGCCCTGGACATCCACAAACATCTGGGTGTTCGAGACACAAGAAGTTGATACATTATCCCTCGTGAGGTCCGCTCGTGAAGCATTTGAAACCAATAGGGTCTGGTCCACGATAATCTGTGCATGTCGTGCCTGGTGGAAGTGATGCGGATGACGCGGAAATCGGCGTTAAAACAATAGGATCGACATTAATTGGACTAAATCCTCCGTCAAGCTCACAGTCAGACGAAGCAGCTTCGTTTCGCTTTTCCTTGCTTGCCGCTGGCGGCGGTGCGTTTGGACAACCACAAGTATTTGGCAATTCGAGACACTCGAAGGTGATACACCGTCCCGCATGGGGTCCGCTCTCGAAACATTCTGTGCCAATAGGGACCGGTCCATGATGAGCTGTGCATGTCGTGGCTGATGGAATTGAAATGGACGAAGTGGTAGTCGGAGTTGGACCGACCACTATTGGGCCGCAGTCTTCATCGAGCGGACAAGGTGATGCGTCTCTTGGTGGGAGGAGGTTACCAGGGATTGCGGCGTGCGGGGTAATGTCCACGGTGCTGTTCTCCAGCTTGGTTGTCAATTAGAAGTGCAGCTATCCCTACCGAAGCTTCCTCGGCTACTATGGCTAGTGTGGTCTTATAGTCCTTAAAGAGGTTGCGATTGGTGTCCGCGCCGTGGGATAAGCAGAGCTTGACGAACTCGATATCGCCGTCGGCCGCGAACTAGGTGAGCATGTCTCCCATATACCCCATTACGTAAGTGACGTCTACGGCTTCGGCGGCGAGGATGGCGTCGTAGGTTTTGATCGAGCGGTTGTTGCGGATGTGGTCCATGACTTGACTTGTCACTTTACCGCCGGAGGCGAGACAGTGTTGGTTGATGGCGGAGTGGTCCTTGCCGGCGGCGACGTACATTGTGGATGAGAGCGGAGGATCGGAGCAGGGGTTTTGGAGTTTATGGTTGGAGAGGTATGGGAGGATGGCGGAGAGGGAGCCTGCGTCGCAGGTATTGTACAGTTCTTCTCCTAATTCGGCTTTTATCTGGTGTTCTACATGATGGTGTTCGCAACAGTGGGACTGTGGGTTAGTGGGTCCATTATGAGGCCATAGCGTTGGTGGTTGTTTGATCAACCGTTCCATCAATATGCGATATGCGATAGTAGGGAGACAGGTGGCCATGGCGAGTACTATTTGTATGGCCACTGCACCAGTAGTGGGCTCTTCATTCGAATTGTTCTCTTTCAGAGCCATATCATTGTTCTCCCTCCCACCCACACCTATATATAGCTTCATTTTCACTCCAGGTCATGTCGCTTAGACATGGGAGTTTTTCTAGCGCTGGGGGGCCTTTCTGGGCTATTTGCATGTCCAGAAAGGTCTTAGCTGCCCCAGTGTTGGATATGCCCAATCATATATCTACATATCTACTTGTGCATGCGTCATTTCTGTATGGCCTCACTGTTTGCGAGCACTAATGAGTGGATTTACTTTTTGCTGGCTTTGCAAACTTGGAAAACTGAATCAGCAGGTTTTGAAGGAGATTTGAGTCATGGTGTCGTGGTATGAATGGTAGCCTTATCTTTTACACTTAGGACTGTAGCGCTACTCAGCCTTACCAATTCAGATTCGGAGAACGTACGTGGAATAAGCTGTGCTGGAGAAGTTATGGTTGTATCGTAAGCTCAGAGAACAAAATCTCCAAGGTGACTGACGAATACAAGAGAGACAACCCCTTCAGTGATCTCAAGGAACGCCCTATTCGCCGATTCTGAGCATAGGAACGGCTTTTACGGAAACAGATATTTTTATCATCAATCGAATTGATACCTTAGCAACTCACCAGGAAGTGTTGGCCAAATGTTCGGTGGAACTTGTCGGCGGCGAAATACCATGTTTCAGAGTCAAACGAATCGTATCATGTGCCGTGGAGAAGGCTCTTATCGGAAGTGTGATACGGTGGGGTTTCTGGGCAGAGGCATTGGTTGGTCTCCCGATGCTAGTGATAGAGGCTTCAAGATTGCTGAGCAGGGTACAGTGAAGAGTAGCTACGGAAGAGATATCGGAAGAGACATACAGCCATGGAGATATGAGGACGGACGAGGGAGGGATACTGTGGAAGAGTGATCTCCATTTGGAGACATTGTGAGGGGCGCTTCATGAACTGATTGAACCATTTTTATATGCGTTTGGTCTTTTCGTGCCAGTTTTGTAGCGGTCTTGTAAAGTAGCAGTCGGGTTTCAAGTTGGACAGTTTACTCGTGTACGCAGGAGTATTGTCTGTCTGATCGTACACAGTCAGGAACAATTGTAAGCCGAATTGGTTCGCTCGGCTAGACAAGGATCTTTTTCCCATTTCTCAGGTTCTCGATCTCGCGCTTCAGCTCTTCCCGCTTCCTCTTCGTAGAGACATCTTCCCCTGCGATACGATCCAACTGAGCCTCCTCCAACCCACTCACAAAGTTCGGAGAAAACAGCCGGACCGGCGCAGTAGGTCCTGTAAGAAGGTAGTGATCCACTGCTTGCATGCAGACGACGTCCACAAAGCGCTTGCGAGCCACTTTGTAATAAGACTTGAGGATATCATGAAGGTCACGGATAGTGTGATCAGTGTTGCTTGCGGTCGAAGTTTGCAGGATGTCGTTTACTCTCACCACGTCGCCGTGACCTTCAGCGTCGAATTTCATGTTCTCCATGAGCGCCTTCAAACGTTGCTGTCGGCTTGGACAAGTCAGTGTCGGTAGCTGAGGGTTTCGTGCTCTGTACATACCATTTCTCGAGGTTGTCGGCGAAGTAGTGGTTCTCTGTTAGCGGAGTGCCATTTCTCTCGACGTAGAGGATGAAGTTTGCATGATCGATACTCTTTTTATAGCGTTCTATCAGACCATCCATGAGCACCGACACGAGTGCCGACTGAACGCGTTGGTCCTCGCAGATAGCTGCAATTAGAGCAAGGATGAAGTTGTGGACATGGGACACGACATCACTAACGTAGCCTAGTGCGAGATTATCCCAATTGGCGGACTGCTGCTTCCAAATGATAGGAAGAAGCGACGCATCGAACGTTCCCAGCTCAAATCCCCGAGAGCTCTTGTAGACCTTATCGAGCCACGGTATGATACCCGTTGGCTTTGGCATTGGCACTTCGCAGCCCTCGTGTAGGATGTCATCAAGTTCAGGCTCGGGCCCTGTTTGACGAACACTTTGGGATTGCTCATTGGAGTCCTCGTCATCATCCTCCTCGGTTCCTTCGACGTGATCACCCTCCTCGGACAGCTCAGAACCTTGGCTGAATGTCATAGTGTGACCTCTCTTCCAAACATCGTCAGCGAAGATCGCATTGCGATCAGCCACAGCTGTGGCTAATTTCAGGCCCGGGACGCTGTCAAAGAGGTCGTCGGCCCCGTAGCGGGCTGCCAAGGCAAGGGAGGTTGTGCTATGGAATCGGGTCGCGAGGTTGAGCAGATACTCGCGCTGTTGTTCTCGATTTTCCCGGCAAGGCCCGAGCGACTCCAGTTGTCTCTTGCGCTCATTCAGTCTTCTATTGATGTCGGATTTTACCTAGAAAATCAGCTGCGGAATTCCACATCTTTGGAGACCAAGCCATACATTTGGGAACTCCTTCTTCACCATCTCCGTCAGGATGTCGCGGAGCTGTCCCTGAAGAGACTCAACGCCAACGCGGTTTTTCTGGAGTCTGGCCCAGGGTTCTTTGCTCTTGAAGAAGTTTGTCTCCGAGGCGTGTCTATCAAATTTAGGATTCTCAAGTTCCGATTGCCCAGGATTCCTGACCATCGACCAGCCGAGCTTGAGTTTATAGCTTCGACCTATTGAAGGTCAGTACCGTGGGCATCTTTTCTGCGGAGGTCTGTAACATGTGACTTACCTTCCACAAGATCAACTACGCGATGCTCGGCCCCTTTATCGACGAGATCTGGCTTGGTCAAAACCCCCAAGGTTCTCTGACCCTCTGTGTCACATTTCTCCGCCATCTTCAAGATCTCTTGGGTGGCAATATCGACATTTGCTGGGATGACTGCAAGAATGACCGACCTTGGGTTCCTCATATACTGATTCACCATATTTCTGACAACCTCAATGTCTGAGTCCGTGGTCACGCCTACTGTGGTATTTCTGAAAATGCCCGGAACGTCAATGACGCTCAAGTGCTGTTGCTTTGGGCCACAGATCTCAATCTTCAGCACATCGTCAGAAAATGTATTGGCTCCTTCATCAGAAGCCCCAAAGACTTTGAGGCCCATGAGCTTGTGTACCTTTCCGCAGTTTAGTGCATGAGCCGAAAGTGATTATTGTTGGGATGGTCTGATAAGGCTCACCTCTCGTAAGATTTCTGCGAACGTTGGATCGTCTGCGAATTTTGGCTGGTCCAAAGTTTCGAGATTTCTCTGGTACTTCTTGAGTCTCTCTGCGTGATCAGGGTGCGCGTTTGCGCTGGGAAGTATTGACACGGAGACCTCTGTCGTGGCAGTCCTTCTGAATGTAATGTGAGTGGCGAATCTGGTGCAAAGTCCACTGTCACGTGGGAAAGGCAGGGCTGTGAGGCCTTCAAGCACCGAGCTTTTTCCACTGTATGAATCATTAGTGGCTAATTGACTGCTACGCGCTGCTTGCCGCTGCTTGACGTACCTTGATTGATCACCTACTACAAGTAGCTATGGCAATGTCAGTCAGCTTCTCGCCTGATGATCCTAGATACCTACCTGGGGAAGAGAGACGTATTCGCCAATGTTGTGTTGGAACAGCTTGTCGATCGTCTCCAAGAGGACAGGATCAGCCAGGCTCTTTGCTGATGAGTTGTCTGCCATGATGGGCACAATCTGCAGTAGAAAGTAGTGTACGGTGAGAGACCGTTCTGTTCTGTGGAAGAATGGAAGAATGGAAGTGATGGTGAGGGAAAGAAGATTGTTTGCTAGTGGCCAAAGAAATGACGGGAAGATGCATGCAGTAGAGGTTATGCGACATACACATGTCAAGCCGCAGAAACAGGAAATGAGCTGGCTGTGAACTTGAAGTAAAAATGACAAGGGCGAGCAGAGGACATCGAGTCTTTTCGACTCAGCCACCGATCGTAAATGCCCCTTCTAGAGCAATCGATACTCCTAAACAGAGTCTACGCATTCCAGACTTTCATCTCCTTCAGCGACTACGGCTCGACAACAAGACTTTAGTCCACGCTCTTCGCTCGTTGACAGAGAATTTTTGGGTTTCATTGAGCTAGTGTCCTAAGACAGTGGTAAGGCGTTTCCCTTTTCTTTGTTTGTTACTTCAAGGTCCTTGCCAGGTTGTATCTTCCTCCAAGCCCGGTTGCTACAAATTCGAGCATGCCACTCTCGCAGAGAATAGTAAGCAGAGTGGGTATGAATGCGGTTGTTATGATGACCAGGCGTATGCCACATAGAGGCCCATAGCTCCTTCATGCGATCCTCTTAATATTGTAAAGATCTGTTGATGATTGGTAGCGTAAAGGCGATGGGGAGATGTGAACAGACGAAGAGACATGTGTGAGGTCCGTTAAATCGCACACGCGCTAGCAGCAGACAGGCTTGGCGTCACTCCGGGAGCTATTCGCTGTGACGGCGAACGCCAACCAAAAAAATAAAGAAGGTTGATCACACTCCCAATATCAATTTGAGCTAATCACTGCCCGCCACATCAAATCTGGAGCCTTGGTAGCTTGTACCCCTTTTTGAATTCTTGCTTGCGTTATGGCTGCCCTATCTTCACCTCGTCGCCCTTCCATCAGCACTCGGCACCCCACAGCGCCTTCCATCATGTCTGTTAATGGCCACTTTGCAAACATGGGCGAGAAGCCCACACAAGAGCAGTATGAGCGTGGAATACAGGTCATCAACGAGAACCAGGAATTCAAGTAGGCGCCCGCGTCCGTACGTGGGCTCAGGAAAGACTGACCAGACCTAGTCCTACCCTCCCGAATTACCTATCCTTCGAGAAAGTCTCGCCCGCTGGCTTCAATTATCATCTTATATCTGTCTTTGGATCGCAGTCAACCGGAAAATCTACGCTGCTAAACTACCTGTTTGGTACTGAGTTTGGGGTCATGGCCGAGGACGATAGGAGGCAGACTACAAAGGGAATATGGATGTCGAAGAATAAAAAGTCCCATGCAGTGACAGATTCAAAGACAATGGCGGACAATATCCTGGTCATGGATGTCGAGGGCACAGACGGCAGGGAACGCGGCGAGGACCAAGACTTCGAACGCAAGAGTGCCTTGTTCGCGTTGGCCACGAGCGAAGTTCTCATAGTCAATATTTGGGAGCACCAAGTAGGACTGTATCAAGGTGCAAACATGGGGTTGCTGAAAGTGGTCTTCGAGGTCAATCTCGAACTGTTCCTAAAGGACAAAAAGTATACGCATCAGGCTCTGGGCTGTGAATACTGTGCTAAACGGAGACAGATCGAATCCACGGTCATTACTCTTCTTCGTCATCCGCGATCACCTAGGCACTACGCCACTCGCAAATCTTCGGAACACGCTCATACAAGATCTCACGCGCATATGGTCAGGTCTGAACAAACCGCCAGGCTTGGAAAAGTCAAAGATTGGGGATTACTTTGACTTTGCTTTCGCGGCGCTGCCACATAAGATACTCCAACCAGACCGGTTTGTCTCTGAGGTGGAGAAGTTGGGCTCAAGATTCAGAGAAGGCTTCCGAGATCCAAGACGGGATGCTTTCAAAAGTGATCAAGAGTCTGATGGGGTCTTCCTATCGGAGTACCACCGACGGATCCCTGCGGATGGATTCTCGATTTACGCACAGCAGGTTTGGGATCAGATTGTGAACAACAAGGACTTGGACTTGCCTACACAACAAGAGTTGATGGCACAATTCCGGTGTGACGAGATATCGCGGGAGGTCCTTGAAGGATTCGATGAGACGATCATACCATTTGAGAATAAGCAGGCTGAGGGCACTCGATTGGGCCAACTGGAGGTCCTTGGAGGCTTAGGAGCTGCAATGCGAACAGCTAGGATGAAGACGGTCAAGGCATTTGAGACGGAGGCAAGCAGATACCATAAGGGTGTCTATGCACGGAAGAAGGGAGAGTTGGAGAGCAAGATCGACGGACGTCTCAAGGTACTGTTCCAAGGCCAGCTCTCGGCCGCACATAAGTCCGGAGTCAAAGATTTCAGTGATGCCGTGAGCGCCGCTGTGAAAGCTGGGCAGAAAAAGGGTGCAAGCTACGATTTCGCTGAAATCGTAGATCGGGAGAAGAAGAATGCTCTATCGAAGTATGACAAAGAAGCCAAGGGCGTTCTGGTCGAAGGGGCACCATGGAGCAGTTACAAGCAGGAGATGTCCCTCTACCAGAAGGACCTGAATGAGGTCAGCGGACGACTCAGACGAGAGGAAATGCGCCGATTGGCGACGCGTGTTGAGCGCTGGGTACGATCACGGCTCGGCGAGTCAGTAGGCTTGGAGTTCAATGCGCTGGGGTCTGGAAGAGGGGGCTCAGGTGCGCCAGAGACAGGTGAAAGGGGCAGTGAAACAGAGATTTGGGACCGGATATGGAACGTCTTTATCAAGACTGTGCAAGAAGCCGAGCGAAGGTTCACAGATCGTGCGCAGAGCTTCGACGCAAGTTCTGGTGAGGTGGATGTGGGTTTATGGAGACTGAGACGAAAATCATGGGGGGTGCTGCGTGCGAAAATCGATGAGGAGATGATGGAAGGGAATTTGCTTTTGAAGCTTCGGGAGAACTTCGAGGACAAGTTCCGCTACGACGAAGCTGGTGTGCCAAGGATATGGCGCCCTACGGATGATATCGAAGGCATCTACACCAAAGCACGAGAGTCGACACTCACATTGATACCCTTGCTGTCGCGATTCCAGTCCTCGCACACATCGACACCACCACCATTGGATGACTGGATTGGCAATGCGCCGCCTGAAGCAACTCCAGCAGACGAAGAGGACCTCGCGCCAATCGGCGGTGTGGATGAGGAAGAAGGCAAAAGCTTGGAAGAAGAAATGTTGATATTGAGTGATGCCAAAAAACAGGATGTGACGACTCGGTTCAAGAAGACTGCTGATGGGGTTTATGTTGAGGCGAAGAGAAGTGCTATCGGAGGCATGACTCAGGTGCCCTTGTATTTCTATGGGTTGCTTCTGGCGCTGGGATGGAATGAGATTGTTGCTGGTGAGATGAACATTTCCTGCTCCCTCTACTATCACAACGCCGTACAGTACTCATACACTCACAGTGCTTCGAAATCCTGTCTATTTCATCTTCCTGATCCTTTTTGGCGTCGGCGCCTATGTCACCTACACCCTTAATCTCTGGGGTCCAATGTACCAAATGGCCAATGCAGCTTCAGCCCAAGCATTGGAGGAGGGCAAGAAGCGCCTGCGAGAGTTCTTAGAGGAGAGTAATGCGGGAAGGCAGGCTATGGCTATGAGTGGCCAGGATGATGTACAGATGCGGAAACTCAACGGGCATGGAAAGGCGGTTGTAGAGGAGGAAGACGATGAAATATGAAATTACAGGCCTGAGGCCTTGTATATTTGGTTACCAGAAGACATCTACATCATTTAATTAGTTTTACACTTAGAAAAATGATATACGACCGTGCGGCGAAGCCTCAAAAGGGGCAGCAGCATGCCATGTCTTGGCGCCAAGCATTTATATGCCGAGGTAAATATCGTGTCAATCGGAGCAAGCCTTCCGTCTCCTGTCTCCTAATAACGGCGTCTATGTGCAGGCAGGGAGAGGCTTAAGTACAGCCTCTTCGCCCTTGGGCCATGTCTAAATCCCTTTGCCTTTGTTTTCCTCAAATTTAATCTGTGGCTCTCACCACTGTCCTTACCGCGTCCGAGCAAGTTACCAAATCTTCCCAGTTCAAGCAATGGCGCCAACATTGTCCACTCTGCGCAGCAAGCTCGGCTTCGCTGGCAAGGCTGGCGTCTGGAAGTTTCTCGCTCTCATCTTCGCCCTTCTGAATCTCAAGAGCTTACCCTTTGTCTGGCACGTAAGACCTCCCGGTTCCCTTCTCCTCTTATCGCATACACCGAGCCTTCCAATCCTAGCTCTCCAGACTGACATCCTGCTCCCCAGATCCGGCTCCTAAAAGGCCTCTTCGCCCAGCGCCGCACATCCCGCCTCCGCCTGACCACCACTCCCGGCCCCTCTACGCTCTTCCAACCCCTCATAACCTCCTCCCGCTCCGGGTTCCTCGAATGCGACTACAACCTGCATAAATCCAACTCGACCTACTTCTCCGACTTTGACGTCGGGCGACTCGAGCTCTTAGTATCCCTCTGCTCACATGGTTTAGACAAGACGAGGAAGGAGCTTGCACTGGAAGAGAAAGAGGGAAGAGGTGATGGAGCAATGGGAAAGGGGAGATTTGACATCAGATTAGGTGGTGTGAGCTGTCAATTTAGAAAGGAGATCAAGCCGTATGAGAAGTTCGAGGTGTGGACTCGGGTGCTTTGTTGGGATCGAAAGTGGTTTTATGTAATCTCGCATTTCGTTAAGCCCGGGGTTTTCAGGCCGAAGAGTTATATGCTGCAGCCTTGGCGGGACGGAAGACGGCAGAAAGATCACGACGCAGAAAGTGATGGAGTTGTTGCCAATGGAAACACAACACCGTCACCACATCCCGCCATCTTCGCCACCGGCATCGCCAAATACGTCCTAAAAAAAGGCCGCCTGACCATCCCCCCCGAACGCGTATTCAGAGCCTCCGAGCTCCTGCCTCCAAAACCCGCAGACTACGAAATTCTTCCAGCCACTTCAACGCCGACTCCAGAGTCGACGTCGAACACTGCTGCGGCTGTATCGATTGTCGATCACATAACGCCTGGAAACGCGGAGGATGTGGTAGTTGCGAGCTTGAAGGCTGGTGTTGGAAATGAGGATGGGGAGTGGACGTGGGAGAAGGTGGAAGAGGAGAGGAAGAGGGGGATGAAGATCGCGGAGATGTGGGGGGCGTTGGATGGGTTGAATGAGGAGTTTGCGGGTGACGGAGGGGTGGTTCTGGGACGGTATTGATTGCATAGATTTAGATCCGACATCATGGTAACTGTATCATCTCCGGATCTTCTGCTTTTAAACGTTGACATAAACTGAGGTGCACGACTATGTATATATATATATTGGATTCCCTACAACCGCCATTCATCTTGCATTCACGTTTCCTCAATGTCTTCCGAGCTCCGTCACCACCGACGAAATGTTTTAGGCGCTGCCGAATAGGATTCCGCATTAAACCTCCCAGAGACTCGAGAGATCGACCCGACGATGCATATGAGAAAAGATTGGCTTGCAAGATCACACTTTGCCTCCTTCCCTTTTTCCGCTCCCGCAACAGATCCTGTCCACTCGCAGAGGCCATCCTCCCCTGAGCATAGTCGTGTACGCCTTTGCCGTCAAGAACTGCGGCGCGAAAAACACCCATCGTCTCTTCACGTACCTATCAACTCGGGCTCGGACCCCGCTACCGGAGACCTTCCCGGTCGAGCGTTTTTGCGCCAACGACCGTTCGTTGGGATTTCGGCCATGACATTGTCTCTTGCATCGCTCTTTCTCTTTTCTTGTTTGAATCAGATTCCGATGGTAGAGCGCATCGCTGGCCGGCGGATGTAGGACCTAGGCTGCGGATCACCACGCGCATTTTGCTGCTTCGGTCAAATCTCCAGACTCCCCCATTGACTACGGTCGATGGGTCATCAAAGGCAGTGAAGCCTGGCATGGCGTGCATCACGCAGGGAATGTTGGGGAGATCGAGCATGCGTTTGCATCCAGTTGGGGCAAAAAACCGACCCGCCGGATTTGATATTGACTTTCCTTCCCTCGCTTCGCATATCTCGTTCGCGTCTGCGTACTAAAACTTGTGTGTGCAGGGTCCGTTGAGCATCACCGCACGTGATAGATCGAGACTCGGAATGGGGATGTGAAGGGGTCGTGTGGCACGACAACAATGATATGGATGTATAATCATTCGTCGACTCGACGCTCGCGATACCCCGGACGCCTTCACCTGAGTACTGACGATGAACTCTCGCCAGTCGCTAGCTCTAGACTCCGCGTACCCCGGGGTCGTCGCCGTTCCCTAGCTCCGTACTGGGTTTCTTGGCTGATTGCATCGGATTGGATGTTGAGGTTGTGGCTATCGGTGGATGGAAGGACTGAGCATCATTTCCACTAGTCTCCTTCGTGAGCTTGAAAGCATCGACCAGCATTCGATGTATGGTTCGCTTGGTCTATGGGGAAGAGTACAGAGTTGCTGGATTGCTTTGTAATCGCCTTGCCGTCCTACAATTCCCGGCGCCCATGAGGTAGCATTATGATCTAGGCGAGGTGGATGTGATGCTACTTTCCAAGAATGCTTTGAGTGATAATATTTGACGCTATGTGTTCATTGGAGAAGGCTCGTCAACTAGGGTAGGAGACGACGAAGTAAGAGGTGCTACGACAAAGCGAGGATCGGGATAGATTGAAGTATGTCTATCTCGTCGATTTGAACCTCGAGCTGTTCGCTATCAGTAGCGCGGGAGAGTCAACGACTGCTTGTCTTCAGATTCGAAGCGACAGGCCTGGACGGCGTGTCCTCCTAGACACTTAGGACTGAAAGATACCGCAAGACAGACAAGAAACCTTTCATGCCCAGGAGAGATGGCAGCGCCGCCGACAGCCACATGTTCGACATTAGAGTCAGACTTGCAGATGCGGATATGCCTTTGAGGTCTTTGAACTTGTCAGCATGTCGGAGTTTTGACAGGCATGACCATTGTCATCATACTAGGCTAGAATTTTTCGCTGGTGGCCTCTTTTGGTAGAAGTTGCGATGCTTCAGATTTTCGAGCGCCGTGCGAGATCCGTGCCCTTCGGAGTTCATGATCTCGGGTGCGGAACAGGGGGAAATTCTAGGAGCCGGGAAAACAACGCGTATGCCTGTTGTTGAAAGAGTACTAAAACGGTATGCTTTTGTCATCGTCCAATATGTTCGTGTTCAAATACGATATGAGGGCTGTGTGTTTCTCAACGGGAGCAATTGGAGGTATGGAGTTTACAGTAATCTTTCGGGTTGGTCCGATCCGATGCATTTAGACGATAGTGGCGACTATCAGGACTAGATGTGGAAAGATACAACTTGGCACGTTCATCGCTACTGTCTCCCCTCTGCGGTGCTCTCGTTCTTGGTTTACTGATGGATCATCATTCATGAATCTACGTTCCTCGTTAAAGGATTTCCTCGAATGTCAAAGATCTATATTGTTACGAGCTTCTCTTTCCATGACCGATCCTCACTCAAGCTGATACTTCGATTAGCCGTTTCAGAACACAGGATGACGTCCCATGGCGGCGCAGCGGGAACATCTCGCAGCCTCACAGCCCCTAAATGGAATCGCAATACTCAACAAAGGATGCCGCACTGTATCCAGCTGCGGATCCTGCAAATCCCAATGCGCTGCGTACCCTCCCCCAAAAGCAGGGCACTCCCCATCATTTTCTACAGATCATCATATCAGCGGTCGAAAGCTCATGATGACTTCACAAGCAACGTGCTATTACCCCCACAAGAGCATAGCAACCGGCTTCGAGCTCTGCAACTCCACCCTTGCGGGCCCCAATAGCGCGGGCAGCGTTTGCTGCACTGCTGGTGACATTTGCACCACCGGCGGTTACTGCTTGAACAATCAGTACTATCCGTATCGAGGCGCTTGTACAGACAAGTCGTGGAATTCGGGTAATTGTGCCAGTGCATCATGCGCCTGGATGGTGAGTCACTTTCATCCGTTCTGTAAATCTCGGGCGGCATCGAACAGGAACTGGTGATGGCATGGCAATAATGTTCGGTCAAGCTGATCGCTGTTTCCCTTATCCTAGCGGTCCCCTTCAGATCGGTCGCGGCAGTCCCCTGTGGCGATTCTGGTAATTACAACGGCGAGTTCTGCTGCTCGCTGGAGCAGACCACCAGCTGCTGCAACGCGACCTTCGGCAACGTTTTCGGAAGGCCGTATGCGCCCGTCACCTTGGCGGCGTCGTAACGGTCAACGGCACCAACAGCACGAGTACCACTGCAGTCACCACGGTGACTGCGAAACCCGCCGGACATTCGAACTCTGACGCGACCAAGGTTGGGGTGGGAGTTGGGGTTCCGCTGGGTCTGTTGCTCCTGCTGAATCTGGTTTTTGTGGCGTGGACTGAGCGGAGGCGGAGGAGAGATCTGGAGAGAGTGACAAGGGAGACGGGTTGGTCTGGTGAGCAGTGGGGTCATGAGAAATCGCACGTGGGCTCGCAGGCATATGGTAGGAAAGGTTTACGGCATGAGGCTGGAGCGGGAAAGGAACGATGGTGGAGCTGGGCGATGGTGAAGTCTATGAGGCGGGAGGAATGTTCTGATGAGACCGACCGATGGTCTGTATATAGTCGGCCGTGTGGGAATGGCTTGGCGTTATGCAATCTCTTCATGTGATTCTTTTTCCATAGCATCGCACTTCTGACAATCGGACGTAAGTACAACCGCAATATGTGAAAAACTCGCAAGAACGGGTTCACTGGCTCTTTTGTGTTCGCAGAACCGCAGCTGGTCATACAATACCATCTCGTTCTTCTGTCAACAGCCATCTGTTCCTCCAAGTCTCACCTCACCTTGGCTCAAGTGAGAACATGAGACACCGTATGGTACAGGACTGTCAGAACCCGAATAAAAAACATCTTCCAAGGAGGCTGACATGTCAAGGGTTAAGAGAAGGAGGCAGTTCCATTTTCGAATGTCGCATATATCCCAAAGGTCGAGCTGCACAGAGCATAGGCTACCACGACATCATGCGCGCCTTTGCCTAAGAATGCCTTGTGTCATGCCAAAGGAAATTGCTAGCGCAAGGCTGTGGTAAAAGGCTGTCCGCTTAGCCAGTAGGATTGCAGCGCGCGATGGCGCATAGAGTATACGCTCGAGCCATCAATTCGTCGATTGGGGAGACTAAAGCGATTCGTGAAGAGTGGCTGATGCTTCGGGTACGTCATGTCTTAGTGTATGGACATGGCTCTGAGTATTTGTCTCTGTCCTCCGTCGCGAGATGAATCCTACGGCAGCATGAAACCGCCTCGGCAAAAGAAGTCCCCTTTCATGCCCTTACTCTTCTGTTTGATCAAGGCACGCACGGGTAGTCGTTGACTCGTGTTGTCTTTTTCCAAGTCCTGGGATTCGACGTTCATCATGTGCTTTTACGATCAGTACCAGTTCGAGTGCGGAGATTTCAAGTTCGGCCATTTCAGACGTCGTTGCAGTCGCGTTTGTCCGCGTGGAAGATCTTGCGGCTTGAAAACAGCCTACGAGGTCTTTCAACTGCAGAAGAAGTGTAGTCTCTGCGACAAGATAACGACAAATCGCCACGGGCAACAGCAGGAATGGGATCGCATAGAATGTTTAGAAAGCAAGGAGCAGGCTGATAACAAAGGGGTACAACGATCGATCGACATCATCAATCAGCTGCAGCAAGAAATCCTTAAACTTGAAATGGAGAGGCGTGGATGGCAGATCACGACACCTGACGATGATTTTGGTAATACTGGAAGTGCCAGTCTTGGGCCCACAGCTGAGAGCGCGGACCTGGTCGCCACCAGTACCGCAAGCATCGTCACCAAATCCAGTCCTTCGCCGCCATCGGACAAGCCAGAAGACAAAATTGAAGGGGACCCTTCTCTGCCGAGAGCGTCGCCGTCTGCGACAAGAGCGAGTGATGCCTTACAGCTCGCAGAATGGAAATCCTGCCCACTCAGTCTCCTTCGGGAAAGCAACTCGAAAGAGAATTGTACACGAAGAAGTACCCTGGCGAGATCGCACAGCAGCTCCGCAATCGACTCATGGATGAGCGTGGGGCCTCCCAAAATGCAGCTTTCATCAAATACAACTGCAACCACACAGGCGTCGAGAAGCTTCCCGCGGTTTCAGCTTCAAGTTTTGATTATGAGATAGCATTTCCTCGACACAATTTCCCTCATGAAGCTAGACGTGATCAAGAGCCGTATGGACAGCATTTGCGCTGAAGCGCCAACTGGATCAATAATGGATGATTTGGCGTCCGTTCATACAAGGACCCCCAGACCATGGTTGGCAATACGCCGAATGTCGCAAGATCTCGGTACCAGCGTACTGCACACCATACTGAGCATGCTGTCGGATGCCCTGATGTGCACGAGCAACATCTCACACGCTAAACCAAGCGAATTTGCACTGACCGCCGGCGAACGGAAGCTTCTAGAGGGACCATTCTATGACTGCATCTATGCGAGAAAGCTCGTCATGGTCTTCCTCCGAGATAATGTCCGAGCCTTTATTGATGGATCCAGATTTCGGGACGCTCAAGCTGCGCTCATAAACAAGCCTCAGGAATTGACTTTACTTACCGGCAAGGGTGTCGATTGTATCGAAAGAAAGGCAATATCGGCAGAGGAAAGAAGCTCAACAGGTCCTTTGGCCGCTCGCTTAGTCGGGGCATTTACTTTTTTCTCGCTTGATACTTTCGGTGAGCTTGTGAGGATGATAGCTTACAGAACCCGCTAATATTGGGCAAGAGAGTTTGTCAACGATCACCCTGTGCCATCTGTATAGAATACTACAGTGGGTTCTTCGCCAGAGTCGATGGCAGTCAATTTCAGCAGCTGTTCCTTCTTTGAGAGAGTGCCAAGGCTCGAAAGACCAATCTAGCATCGATGAATGGATTTCAAGACCCTTCCCCGGGTTCTGGACTTGCAAAAGCGGCTTCCTTCTTTGGCGATCTCCATGTTATGGTACCAAAGCTCAGACCGATGTCAGGGCTTTCTGCCTGTCGTCTATCGATGACACTGTTCTCGGCAATCTCACCAGAGTCTATTGGCATGCCCTCTGCAGACCATCTCTCCTGCCTCGACAGTGCCAAGCGAGAATTCTGCCCAAAATCCGTCTAGGTCGTACTGAATGCCGGAAATGCCACGATGCCACTCTGAGAGTGTCCAACCTGAAAGGCAATCATAAAAGGCTGCTGAGGCTTCTGATTGACCAATCATACGTAACAGGAAGCTCGAATCGAAATCTGGTCTTACGGAATCTTGAGACTCTCAAATCAACAAAAGTACAATGTTGGAACTCGAGAGCTGAAAGATTTACCAGCCTTGACGAGCCCCACGACGAAAACCGGACTAGGCATCATGACTCCAACGATATTGTGGGAGACAAGCCACACAAACTGAACCAAGGATGCACGAGAGCTTTGGATAGCGCCAATCAAATTCAGCCCAGCATCACTTCCGGCGTCAACAGTGATACGCCTAACCTTTTATTCCCTCCGGTGACGGTGTTCAGCACGATGAAGGCCACGCTCCTGAAAAGCCTCCGAGTTGTGGGTCTGAGTGAGCCATTACTAGAGAGAGGCAAATGTCGCGTGCGATGCAAATGCGTAAGCAATCCTTGGTAGTCCAAACTGAATAATTTTTGTACTGATCAAGTCCAACAGCGTTGCGGCCGTCGCATGTTTGACGACTTTATTGAGCGACAGCCTGGCGCTGCTAGAGACCTTGAGAAGCGGTTAAATAAGAGCGCTGCAACCGGCTCTGGACCTAGCCAAGATCAAAGATCGGCCACAAACTCCCGAGCAAAAAGTCCACCAACCACTGTCAGTGCCCAAAGCCCGCGTTCGTGTGATAACGATATATCATTGGAGACTCCATCTCGATCCTATGAGCCATGTTTACGGGGCAGAGCCGACGATTCAATATCCATAGATTGCGATCCGGAACGCCACTGGCTGCTAGTCTGTGCGAGATCAAAGGAGCGGCCCACGAGTCTTACGCAACTAGACCTCTGTTGCACCTCATCTGACAAGGAGCTCTTCCAGGATCTCAAGCAGACTTATGTGAGACTGAAAAGCAAATGGGCCCGGGTATTCTCATTCAAAAAGGTCCAGAGTATCCGTTTCGTTCAGGTAAGCCAATAAAAACACGCCTACAGAGGTCTCGCTTATGTAAAGGGTCAGTTTGAACTGCACATCAAAGATCTCGTAGACATCCGTAAGGTACCCGATATGCCCCCGGAAACGAGAAAACATGAATACCTCTACCAACCTTGCGACCTGGTCCCTCCCGTAGGCGAAAAGCTGATGGCGCATCTCTTCCACCACCCCGAGGATGCGAATGAGAGGTCGATAACATGTCTCCGAGCGCCGAAAAAGCGCAAAGCCAAGCTCTCAGTTTGTCCACAGCAAGGCACCAGCGTGGGATGGGGAATCCATCTCGTCGAAGGCTGGGTCGTCGCAAGAGTCTGGCTTCTCATCCTCATCTTGTTCATCTTCGGGAGCCTTGCTTTTGGCATATGCTGGGCTGCACTGCAACACGATGTTCAAACAGCTTTTGCCGTCTCGGCGTATATTGTGTCTCTCGGTGGCCTTGTCGCTGGGACTATGCAGGCTTTTATGGCATGAGGCTAGCGACGGTGTACTGGTGCAATAGCGCAGTCAGGCCGTGGGGATATGCCAGGACATACAGCTCTTCAAATTCGACCGAGATGTTGATGTCTTCGTCATCGATCGGGATTCATAATATTGTAGTGGATTCACGCCTGCGGATGCTAGGTAGTTCCGAAAGCGTAAAATTTGAGTTGAGTGTCCAAGGAAAAGGAAGGGTATTTCGCTAAGCGATGTAAGATGGGAGAACTTTAGAAAATCATTTGGCCAATCAGCTGTCTGTTTGCCTTAAAACATGCTGTTTCATCTTAGGCTGTTAAGAACACCGGCATCGCTGACTTGGGCTATGGAAGTTTTAGAGTGTCTAAGTACACGTGTCTGATGTTAGTCATGGTGTGGTGTTTTCAGAAAGGTACGGCTGTGTAGCCCTTGCGGACGATGACACAAACACGACTCAGAATTAAACAAGTCACATCATGTTGGCAACTTTGATGGAGTACGCCATTGTCTGTTGCATTAAGAGGTGTACGTGAGCTGCAGGTATGGAACAACAGATGTTGGAAAAGGCGGTTGGCGTGGGAACCTGGAGGACGGGCGGTGTGGATATAATTGGTGTCATCGCACACTGAACGAGAACAAGACTCCTTGTGCATCGCAAGCTTTTGGTATATCCCAAAAGACATTGTTTGGCGCGTCGTCCTCGGTGAACACATGAATTTCCAAGAGCTGCGGTAGCAGCACGTCCTTTACTTCCAAGGTGCTTAGTATTGCTTCACGGATTTGCTCTAACGTTCTGGATACATCTACGTCGCGCATGGAAGGCATGAAAGGCCAGGTTAGAGGCCTTAGACGAATGATCCGGATCGAAGGCGGCAGCATCTCGGGAAAGCCTCGGACACTGGAGTCAGGATCGTTGAAGAACAGAGCCAGCTCGGTGTCGATCTCTCGCAGCACTTTGAACTCGCGAAGACTACAGCTCTCAGTATATGCAGTGCCTTGGGGCAGCAAGGTCAACTTCTCAAGGCTTTGCTTAGCGTGGTGCAACAGGCCGACGCCGAGCCAGTACCAGTCCGGCAGTTGCCGTGTAGAAAGCGCATCCGATCTGAGGGAGGTAAGGGTGAAAGACTTGAGATTCTTAGTACACCCAAGTACCTCAAAAAGCGCCTTTTCGCCAATATTACAATGAATGAAAGCGAGGTCGACGATATTTAGTTCATGCGGGCGCAGGTGCCATTCGAAATCGCGCTCCTCATTGCCAATCGTTAAACCTTCTATACAACATGAGGCCAGGGAAGGTAGTGATATAAAGGAGTCGAAAATCTTCATCAAGTCAGGATCCTCCCAATCCGTGTCAATATTGATCGTGACATGCTTCAAATGGGAGAGGTATGTGCCTGCAGGTGCATTTTTGATCCTTTGAGTTGTTCTCGAAAGATATTCTATGGGCATTCCAATTGAAGATATCTCGAGATCCTCCAGGTTGGGCAGCTGGAGTAAAAGCAGAGCGAGGATTGGATGATCCTCGGTAGAGTGTTGAATGGCCTGCAGCCACTCATCTACCTCGTCTGCCCGAATGATCTGCGTTTTCTGCAGTGCGGTCCTGACGAGCTGCAAATTGTTCGAACGGCACCGAGATTTCTGGGACTTTGTAGACGCAGGACTTCGAGCACTGTCAGTTATGGCCTCCCACACAGGCCCCCAGCTGTCCACGGTCAGGCTGCGCACGTAGTGAGCGATTCGAGGTTTAGCAAGGACCTTGATTAGGAATCTAGCTAACGCAGGGTCTCGATCACCGAAATTATCGATGGATGAGAACCATTGTTTTAGTCTGCGGTGCTCTGCGAGAATCGGCGCCGCCAAGTAGGAGATAGATTTGGTGACGGCACATGCTGAACCGAGATCGCGAGGAGCGACATGCCGCAAGATCTCCAAGACGAGCTCTTTGCAAAGGTCAGAGAATCCTGCCATTTCGTTTCTGGGTAGGTGTGGTGGATGAAAGGAGAGAATGACTTCAAGAGGAAGAGTTTTTTAAACGAGTGAATACCAGCCCGTTGTATGGTGGGGCACCAGCTGAGTATATTTGAGCGCGTTAGGCCCCATCCGAATATCGGCGGCATTGAGCTTGATGACGGAGGCGGTCCTGGCCTTTCGTATCAGGGAAATGAACAATAGCAAACACTATGTAGGAGACGTTGACTGTCAAGACTATAAGAATTACAGCAAGAGTATCAGATATCTGCTGATTCTCATTATGTGCCTCGTAACTCGGAAATACAGTCTCCGAGCGAGACGCCTTGTAAATGGAGATTACTTGCCTCCTTCTCCTTTTGATATGCAGAAACAACGATAGGTTTTCTTGTCCCAGGCCCGAAAACGCAACTGGAACCGTCACACTGGCAATTTGCCTTGACAATGGCCACCTCTATCGTCTATTACGTAGAACTGGACTTGTAGTCCCGAGGATTCCGCTTCTGCATTTTGCGGCCTGACAAGCTCGATGGTCCCACCAGCTGCATTCGGAGCACTGTCTCAATCAGTCTGGAAATCGATTTCATCTCTGCCGTTGGAATTATTTTCGAGCATTCAGACAATGTCCACGAATTTATTTCGCAGGTTGAGGAACGAGAGAGAATGAGAGAGATTGAGTGGACCAAGCAAAGCCAGGGCATCTCACGCACTATTGAGAGCCATCTTTCTGGACATTACTCACCATCCTCCCAAGGAGAGGGGTTCTTAACGGAGGACTTTCATTTCCTTGGACACTGGAGGCACTGATCGAGTCGTTGGAAATACGAACGAACTGCGACATACGTTCCCGAACGTTTCCGACAAAAGCAAATCCTGACTTATCGAGTAGTGTTCACCCATCATGCGGTCAATGGCGCCATCACTGCAATCTCACGAGGCATGGTAGTTATGATCGTACATTCGATCCTTGAAGGACATCGAAATTTCGGTTTGAAAAGGAGCAGCGCTCCGTTGGTTCTACGCCCAAGATTTAGTGGGGGGCAATCCTGGATACCTTCCAACCACGAGCCTCTTAATGGCTAGTTGCTCGTGTGACACTGCTATGTGGAGCATCCTGGACGAGGAAACAGTTGAGTCAAATGTAAAATGATGGCATCTCCGTCTTTATCAACGCTATTGCATTGACGTTTTTTTTTCGAGGATCCCACCAATGCGACTTCCACCGTTACTGGCAGCGCGCCTGCTAACCAGTCCACGTTCCTACCCGTACAGCTATCGAACAAATGTAGTTCTTTTAAGTCGCCATGTGCTCTGAGATTCAGGAGACTTTCCTAGTCTGCAACCGTACTCTAGGGTTGTGGTACAGGAGAATGCCTTCGTTCTTGATCATCCTTACAGCTCTAATTTGATCCATCAGACTCATCTTCCGAATCCACGCCAATGTCAGAGATCCTCAGTCCAGATTCTTGCGCGTTCATACGAAACTTGATATCCTTCTCGCATCTAGGGCCATGGACAGTCAATCCCCAGCAGTGGATCTCATTGAGCCAATTGATCAATTCCCGCACGCTGGATGTGTTCATACAGTCTCCATGATAGACCTCTGTCATTTTACAACCTGCCCATTCGAATTCCGGGGTCAGTACAGGTACGATGCACCAGATGTCGAACTCCGATCCGGTCCAGGTAATGCCATAGTGTCTAAGGGTCTTTACAAGCGACTTCGTCCAACTCCTCCCTAGAATTCCAATGGTCTTCTTCCGCAGGATGAAGCGATTGTAGAGGACTAAAGCCGCAGCCCCGGCGACCTGGTTGAGCGCTGCCTGCTCCATTTCGTCGTCTTTTTTGAATTCAACTGTGAGGTATGGGCAGGTCATCCGTTTTTTGATTACGAAGACCATGCGTTGAAGTTGAGTCACATAATCTTGGTTGAAGGCTTGAAGAGATAACCAGAAAGCACAATCTGGACGGAGGTCGAATTCGTATTCTGTCGAATGATCGTGATTGTCGTTGGATATGACTGGCGGCTGAACCCAATTCGATGACTGCTTTAGTATAGGTCTTGCGAAGAGCTGGACCGTTCTCTCGGTTCTCCAGCAACGCTTCAGTGCCAGGTTCACGTTACGAGGTTCTGCCTTCAAGATTGTCCCAGCGGCGTAGAACGCGAATTCAGCCTCGCAAAAGCCGCTTTGGACCATGCAGACGTATTCCGCCACAATCCTGTTAACAAAGTCCTCATCGTCCTCTAGCCATAGTGTTGAATCTTTGGCTCCCCTTTCTTTTGTATAATATTGAAAGCGATTTCCCGTCGGCTCTTTGACCCCGAAATGTATGTAGGCCTTGACGGAGATGCCCGATTCAATTGCGATTGAGCGGGGAACCAGAATCCGGGAATCAAAGTCTTTGTCGTAAGGTGAAGGTCGCTTTGGCCTCTTACTGGAAGTCGTTGATGCAGATTGAGAAACTGTTTGTGAACGCAGGGTACGCTCGCTACCTGCCATACTGACCTTTTCCCACAAAGTGGTAATACTTTCTGAATCTGTCTCCGTGAGCAAAGTCGGCTCTGGTTTGAAAGATCTTGCGTCCTTCACCGTCCAGTCCTTGTAGTAGGTGTCTCTCCCACGATCAAGGCTCGATGTGCTGTAGGCTACCACCTTGCGCCGTTTCTGAGTAGGCTTGCGCTCTAATTGAGGATGATCTGAAAGAGAGAATGGGGTGCAGAAGATAGGCTGCAAAGTGTTGGGGAATTTATGTTGCTCGTAGATGTGTTCAACGAAGTGTGTCGTGCTATCTGAAGGATTTGACGTCATGCACAGCGTGTCTAAAGAGGGGCTCTGCATGTTTAGTGCGACTTTGGTGAAAATAGATACTGAGCAGTGTGGCGATGGATTTCAACGCGCGCTGCTTTTCTGATGTCGCAATGTACTGTAGCAATAGCTTTAGTCAGAAATGACGTTTGTTGTTGTCGTTGCCCGGCCAAAGTGCCAAGGAATTAGCGTGTGCAGAAAACGTTGGAATACTTGGCACTGAGAAAATCACACACACACCACCAAAAGTAGTACTGAATAGATGAATCTTCTCTCATATCGCATTCTACCACCTTCCTTATCATATTTAAAGCTTCTGTATATCTCGCTTAGCCAATTCCTATTTTCGTAGACGAGACTCTATTTAATGAGTCCACGGGCTGGCGGCATAGAGTCTATGCTCCCATCGGTCAGAACGGTCGATACCATACAGATCCAAGAAGAGGGCGTTCCTGGAGTGTGCTTCCGGCGTACACAGTGGATAAATATCTACCCTGCACTGGATTTAAGGAGGGATAATTTAATACCAAGGCCTTCTTCCGATGGCTAATCAACAAGTTACTACCTAACTGCGGTGTCTTCCCAGCCCATCGTAGTGTTATTATCATAAATAATGCCAGTATAGACTGTAATCCTCGTATCGAGGAGGTTATGGGAGAAGATTCATCTATTCAGTACTACTTTTGATAGTGTGTGTGTGATTTTCTCAGTGCCAAGTATTCCAACGTTTTCTGCACACGCTAAAAACCATGTTTTGCCTGAGCTGGCTCGCTTAACCCCGCTTGGCATTATCCTTCAACTTCTAACCTTCTGCCATCAGATTTGTCGTCAATCGCTGGTCTTTGCCATCGGTGCTTCGGCCACCTTCCAGTGAAAACTATCTGGGGAATCTGTCTGGTCAGGAGCCATAAAGCAAGCAGTCATTGGTAGGACGCTGCTAGCTGGACTTATTGTGAACGAAGTAGTTGAACCTGGTACTAAATGGCAGCATCTCCGTCTTCCCTAGCATATGTGCCTAGATACAGTCATTATGCTCTAGAGGCCTAATGACCTGATGGGCATTTACCAAGACTTGACAATTGCGCATGATTGGGCGCTCCCAGTGCTTACAATTTTTTCGCATGAGGATTACTCCATTTACATCGAATTCCGGAAATGGCACACTCTGTTCCTAACCAAAGTACAAGAAGGACTCCGTTGGGGGAAAATTTCCCAGAACAGCGCGTTTGCCAAAAAGCGAGTGGGTATCGCTTTGTTCGTGATTTGCAAATCACAGTCCGGAAAAATGCTAGGATGATTCCGAGAAGACAAAGGATGTCAACAGTCCTCAGCTGTCCCAGCCTGCTTTCTTGACTGAACGTGACCACTGAAAAAAACCCTTCGAAGACAAAGTCGACGACTTTGCAATCTTCTACCTTCTACCTCCACCGGCGTAGTTCCATCTAGTCATTACCATGTGCTACATGAACCAGTCGATTTGCATCGGCTGCTCCCACACCATCACCACCCCAGTCCGCCACCTCTCTCCACGCACACCGGACCTGCTTCACAAAATCTGCTCTGGCAGAAACGATGTCGTATGCCATACCCGACACCACAGTATCGAGTTCTGCCTCTTCTGCTACGAGAATAAGCTCAAAGCCATAGAGGCGCAGTTTACCTTCAAGGCGAGGGTTGAGATGGAAAAGGGAAAGTTGCTGGGATTTGGGAAGGGTCAACTTGAGGAGGTGAGGAAAAGGTTGACGAAGGAGTGGAAGAGGGAGGTGAGGAGATTGAATGTCGAATGGGAGGGTATGTGGAGCGTCTAAGAGTGGGGTTTGTTGTCCGGGATAACGTTCTTTTATGTGCGTGAATTTTCTTGTGTCGTTCTCAAAAAATGAGAAAGGAGCCAAAAATGTGCTAATCTCTTCTCAGGAAAGTCAAATGCCTAAGGAGGCAGTTTCTGGCAGTTTCTCCGGCAATGATTGCATAACTAATAACACTGGTGGAGGTTGTAGCGTATTACCGGCCGGAGACGTTCGGTCTCGCTTCGGGATCCGGTGGATCTTGCATATGGCGTGCCGGGCTACTTTTCCTGCCAATGACATCAATTCTTGGATCGAAGCCACTGAACCGACCAAGCATAACAGTCAAGGGCTACTTGATGGCATACAATATCTCCGAAGAGAAGATTCTGGTGTTGTGTTTATCCTGCATCTACTACTTCATCGCGTCACCGAGAAGCAACAAGGAATTCAGATTCCTGAAAGTAAATATTCGAGGTCGTAAACATGACAAAGAACAAGTGAAGGAAAGCTACACTGGATCTACGAAGATGGAGTCTCTGGTCATGGCGGTCGTGCGAACAATATGAATGGCAATCGACATGCTGTCAAGATTGAAGAATTTCATGCGGCTTCCCGTGTCCATTTCCCCAAACCTAGGCTTTCGGCGGATCGAAGCCATCCAGAACGATTTTCGCCACATACAATAGTATTTGGAGACCGCGGGCTATCGGAGAAAGTACCTGCCGCGATGAGTACGTGGACTGAGGATAGCGTACACCCATTCCAACGATGCCGTGAAAGTAGAACGAACACCTCCGAATGACTTCCTACACCATTCGGGAGATCAGCATTCTCCTCGTATCCGATCCATTCGTGCGGCCGATCAAGCTAAGAAATGGAATATAAATTCGCTCGTCACATCTTGCTTCGTCCTAGTCGATGACCAGAGCCAGTGATTTGAGGGCTCCGAGAAATCGTTTGGAAAGCAGTTCATGTCAACTGGCTGTCTTCAACGAAGGCTGTGAATGGTGAGTAACGTGCAGCGACTGCCTCTGCCTGCAGTACAACGGTAAGTTCGGGCTCGAGGAGCTCGTGCTTGCTCTGCATGTTGATTTGAGTGTGGTAGTGTGTTAGACGGCGCTATCGGCGGGATCTGCTGGCGAAGATCGGTGGTAGCGTGTTGGGCATTGACTGCCCTCTCTCGGATTGATAGTGACGATTCTCTGCTCAGCGTAGAGCATCAAGTGATGTTTCGATCAAGGATCGTTGAACAGCAAGACACTCTAGAGACCACCTCAAGCTAGACAATCTGGAATACACATTCCAAGTGCGCAGAGCAAGTTGATATAGACTTGTTTTCGAGCTCAAGACGATGTTGTAGATTGAGTGAGAGTCTATTCACCTCGAGACGGCCTTATGCGCTGAACTCGCTGGGTGTTTTCAACCATCTTCGCGGTATTCGCTCGCGGCGTAAATTATTCGGAACTTGTCAAGCAGCTGCAGGTGGCAAGTATTTTATTCGAGGGCGTATTCGCCGGCCTTCCTCTCCCCTGTTGTGAGTCTCCTTTCGGTGTTGTAGTATCTTCAAGAATTCTAGGTTGGTCCAAGCTTCAACCTTTCATGGTAGTAATACAAAAGGGCCCTCGGTGCTGACTATGTATGACGGACGATGTATTTGTATCCTTGATGGGTACTTGACGGCCTTCCTTCCCCTCGTCGTAGGTTTTCCGTATGGTGGCTTCACAATCGGCCGGGTCCATCCGTCTCTGTACTCACCGATAGAAAACGGGCGTTATTTGTGGTTGCTTTTTTGATTTTCTCTCTCGGTATGTAGGGGTTTGTATGGTTTTTTTGACGTTTGGTGACACCTCTGTGTGTGGTGGATTTTTGGAGGGGGATCCGATCCTCTTTTGGTTCGTTGATTGTATCACTGTGGTGCCTATCGATCGAACATCCTTGATGCTGAATTTCGGCTGCCTCGTCTATGACCACGTAGCTATAGATGAACAAATTGGATTTCGCCATGGAGTACTTTCTGAAGATTACCCAGTTTGAGGGCTTAACGTTTTTAGCCTTCTTAATGTCAGTACAGAAAACGTTTCTTGGGTAAATAAGTAACTTGCTATGTACGCATATACAGGTGGTTAGACCTTTCCTACTGTAAAGAACTCCCTGGTCTGTTTTGGCTTCATAACACCCTACCCACAGGTTTAGCATCAGCTAAGGACTTATGGTGAGACTATTGAATGCATACTAAGATAGTCCTCTTTGGTCATAGAACCGGTTTCACGTGTCAGATTGGGCGTGCTGATCAAAGATGCATCGGAGCTGCGACGAGGGGTTTGATATTGGCGACACCATGGCATGGGAATTTGTGCATTGAGAATGCGCCTGTTTGGCATGGGAATTTGCTGAAAAGCCACTGGAACATGTGGGCGCGAGCGGCTTGATATGGCGGGGAGTGTTGCTTGCGAACTCCATGTTCATGAGATCCGGGTCAGCATGGTCAGAGTAATTGGGATTCTTTGGGTAGTTGAACACAATCCTCAACAACGACGAGTAAACATTGACGAGGTCTTTCAAGGCAGTTTGGCAATGCAGAAAAGCCCTGCGACCGGGCGTGGAGGTGGCAAATCCTAACGCCTCTCATGTCCGACGCGCCTAAATTGCTCTGCTCCCTCCCCTTCGCTACGGACTTGAATGATACGAGATAACTTGTGTTATCAGTTGATGTTCTAAACATGAAAAGGCGATCGGCACTCCTTCGTGCCTTTGTGCGAAACGCGCTCATCCGCTGGTTCTACACTTGCACTGGACCCCTGGCATCGCTCTGAAGTGCTAGCAGCCTGTCGTGGCCTAGACACGAGCTCAAATCAAACCACAGTGAAAGTATATCTATGTACCTCTTAGAACAGACCGTCTAGCCCAATCTCCTTTTGCCGAATGGCGTGTTATCGCATAAGGTGTTTGTAATTACATGCAGTTCTTGTTGAAGTTCTGCTTCCGAGATCGAGAAGACAAAGTACTGCTTGCCAGCGCTGGGTGAGTAACAATGAAAGCATCATGAATGTTGTGGAAACAAAGTTGCGCTTCTAAATGTCAGTGAACAAAGTAAAGTTGAAAGATGGCCTATTCCAATTATTTGACGGCATCGATGTTTTAGACAGACTTGGCCATCGTCTTTCTCCTCAAACTTTCAGCGAGTCCGATTATTTTAATGACTGCGGGGCTGATACTGTTATCGCGGATCTCTTTTTAACACTAAATAAAACTTCGACAAGGACGGCCCATCGAAGTTGTCCAGACCACGTACTCTCTTGAACAAAAATCCGTGCACATAACTCGTGATGGTACTCTTGTCTCCTCGGTATTCAATCTCATCGCACTTATTTGGTCGATGACCCGGAAGCTTTATAATCCCAGTGCCACATGGAAGTTTCTGCTTTCATGATACGCAATCGCCGGCCATTCTTTACAGACTCGTATTCCTGTCGGTAGCGAAGTAGCTTCCTCTGAGATTGACGTTTCACCATTCCCAATTTCCTTACTCTATTATCGTAGTAGATGGGCCATACCACCCGTAGATTCACTCGGCGATGATCCCCAGGCGGCGACCAACAGTACGCCCGGACTGCTAGGAGATCTCTTGTCATGTGAATTGCTGCTTCTTGCTTGGATGGGGGAAACTCTGTAGAATGGAGCATAACGTGGACCTTTTGCACATTGGGACTTTTGGCTCATACTCCCTAGCCCTCATATTTGTTAGAAGAAGTCCCCATCAAAGGCCTCGTTGACGACCAACAAAGGGTGAGTGGACGAGTATACAATTTTGTCGTAAAATACGCTCTGATACTTCAACTTGTTCGAAGCAGTAACCTGGGGGTCATGCGCCTTGCGAGTCTGAATAATGACAAATATCTGGAACACAGTAAGCGAGTAAAAGAGAAGTAGAGACAAGCAGTTGGTTACCAGCTTTTCCTACGGTGAAAAAGCGTCGTGGGTTTTTCGGAACTTCTAAAATGCTCTATGCATAGGTTTAGTAGCAGTAAAAGGCTCGCGGATATTGAACCATTGTACCGAGATATACCTTCTTTGACGAAGAGACACTTTCGCGCAGTGAATCATTTTCCTCCTCGGCGCTTCGGTCAACCTTGGTTCCCTACGAATTACACTGAATGGTGCGATATTCCGGGGCCAAGGTCAAGCGATTTTGTGATTTTGTGAGGATGCTGGGTCGTTTGCTTGCCGCTGGCGCACTGTTAAGGTATCTGAGCGTCTGCCTTTTGGGATGGCCCAGGTTGTTCAGGTTTATCCTTCCGAGTCTCATGGCTCATCAGTGGGTAGAGAAACCCTAGTCTTCTGGCCGAAGACTATACTTGTATGGTGAGCAAGGCGGTCAGAGACTCTTTTAATCACACTATTTGCAAACGACTAGCTCCGTAACTACGGAATTTCGGATTTATCGGATTTAGACCAGGCATAGGTACTCCGGGTAGCCGGCATCGCGTAATTAGCGTCATACGCGCCTTAGCACGCTTACGTAAGGTACTTGAGAAATGCTTCGCCTACGCCAAAGGTTTTCACTGTCTCGTAGTCACACAAGATCCAAAGAAGACATTGACATTGGTCTATCAAGGACAGCTCGTCAAAATGGCAACCACAGCTATCGTCCCGCATTCACCTCGAATGGGTTCCACCGCATTCCCCCTCAATCGTCTACCCATTGAAATCATACACATGGTCTTCGAACAATTGACGCGAGGATACCAACAGCGAGACATCGCCTGCCTACGCCTTGTCTGCAAACGCTTCGCTGATATCGGCAACTACCACCTCCTCTCCGAAGTCCATCTCTTCTTCAAATCCAGCCAATTTGAACAGCTCCGCCAGATCTCCGAACATCCCACCATCAGCAAGAAAGTCAACACCCTCTTCTACGAAGCCGACACCATGGAAGGATATGGCTCAATGCAAGTATGGAAAGAGAACATTTGTGTTCCGGGTTGGTATAAGAATCTGTCACCGGGGGATCTCCATCCTCCTCCACCAACGGCTAGTGAGAGGGAGCAGCGGGCTTACAAACGCGATCTGAAGAAGACGATGCACGGGCCTAAATTCACGCACTCAGATAGGTTGCTGACAAGGGCATACGACATATTCCAGGGGTACCTAGCGGATCAGGAAAGCATTCGAGCGCAAGACTACAATGTGAAGATGCTAAAGGATGCTATGATCAAGATGCCGAACCTGAAGACCATCGAGATGTCAACAGAGTGTTGTCTCAACAGTGGCCGTAGTACGAGGATGGAGCAAGCTTTCAAGGATGGACTGTCAGCTCCATATGGGGACAGGTCAACAGCGGAAGGCTGTGGGGTCGGGCAATTACGGTCTCTACTCCTCGCCGCAGATGTTGCTGGTCTGGAGCTCGAGACGCTTTCTGCCGGTAACCTGGACTGGCGCTTCTTCATGGACCCAAGCAAGCAGAATCTCGAGGCATTGTCTGCCGACAACATGGATAACGTGGACTGGAGTCTCTTCATGGATTCAAGCAAGCAGAACCCCGAAGTCCTGCGGAAGATGCAAAGAGCTGTACGGTCTCTACGAACCCTTAAGCTGTACATCTCAACCAGCAGCGAGTACGACTATGACATGTATTTCGACGATCTCAGTCACGTCATGGTACCAGAGTGTGCCAAGTACCTGCACGAAACTTCCCATCTCAAAGACTTCATCACCGCGAGCCCAGACCTTGAGCGCTTGGACATCAACTTCGACTGCGACGATCCTTACCCTCCGGCTAGCCTTTGTGATAGTGTTGGCACCTTCAAATGGCATGCTCTACGCGTCGCAGCCTTCGCCTACATCAGCGCCGACGAAGACTGCCTGGTCCAGTTCTTCGCCAGACACGCTAGCACCCTGCGAAAGATCCGCCTGGATACGATCCTCCTGACCACAGGATCATGGGCACCCCTAATACAACGCGCACGCAAAGTCCTCAAGCTAGAGAAAGCAGTCCTCTCTGGCAAGCTGAGAAGCAACGATCCGGAAGAGTCCTACTATTTCGACCTCCCGGCCGGTCTCAATGGGGGCAAGAGGGCGAAGATCGAGGTTGCGGTTGAGGAATATTTGGTCAAGGGTGGTGCTGCGCCGTTGCTGGATTTGAACGCTCTGGCCGAGGAGCATTACCGTGCTTATGTGTATCCGGACGAGGATGCTTGGGAGTATGTGGATACGGAGTCCGACGAGGCCATCATGGATCGATTCTGATTCACCACCGCCGCCTAGATTGTTGAGTCGACTGTACGTTTTACAACAGGAGTGTGGCAAGCGAGATGGACCGCATGAGGCAATCACCGACTGTACGGAAGCCCCATGCTCTGTCTGATACGATAGGAGAATTTCTGATGCATCGATTACTTTCAACAAGGGGAGTCGCTTGTCTATCTGATACGATAGGAGCTTTCTGATGCATCGATTACTTTTAACAAGGGGAGTCGCTTGTCACGCTTGTGTATGATGGAAGTTGTATGGAGGATTTTCTTCGTACATACGAGGGCACATCAAGCATACTTACTTCGGGTTACATCTCCGCTCCGTCGTATTCAATTCTTGTACCATAATCTTTCTCATGCGTTGTTGTTAGGAGGATACATAGCACACAAACAGCCGCTTCTCGATTGTACCAATAGGAGTCCTTCCACAATTAATAACCTTTCCTCATCCATGGGTTGTTAAAAGCATATATAGCCCACAAACAGCCGCTTCTCAGTTGTACCAATAAGCAGTCCTTCCACAAATCACAACCCCTCCTCATCCGTCGCCGTTACAACCATACATAACCCTCACACACACACACACACATCCGCTTCTAAAATCATACCAATAAACCCTCTTGCCTCATATAACAAACAACCCCCCTTCCCCATCTTCCTCCCTCATCCCCTGTCACCAGAACCATTCCCCCCCCTCCCCTCCAACCCCATCCCTCTAACACACACAAACAGCCCCACTCCTCACACTAGATGAACCCCTCCATGCGCAGATGAGTAGCAGAATTGCATTGAGTGTGTATGTAGATCGAACTCGTTGCTCTATCCATTCCTGGCATCTGGGACATGTGGACTTGATTCGTTGATGGTGTCTAGCGGTATGGTATCTCTCGTGGGTTTGCGCTTGGATGGATGGATGGGTAGGGTGGTTGGTTGGTTGGTTAGGTAGTTGGTTGGGACAGCTCTTACGTGGAGGTTGGTGGGCGGGGGGGGGGGATGGGATTTGGTGAGGTGAGGTGAGGTGAGGTGAGGGTCGGTTGTGGTCTTGAGTCGAATGGTTTGGTTGGGGTTGATGGCGTAGGTGGTATGTGCGGTTTAGAGGTGTATGTACGGGGGAGGATTATGTTGACTTGATAGGATATGGCAGCTATTGATGATTGACGTGAGAAGCAGGAGTGGTAGATAGTGACGTGAGAAGATGGCTATGTGCTAAAATAGACGTTCTAGCTCCCCGGCACGATCAAAGGAGATGCTGTTCCATTAACCAACAGCCCTTGAATCGTATCCAGCGCTGCCATTTGCTGCCCCAACCCTTTCGTGCCGTCCCAACCCCCAACATACCACTTCGTCCCGCAGACACTCGCGTTCATCCCCGAGCAGGACAGCGCCGCCGCTTGCGCCGACGAGGTTACCAGATCCAAGACTTGCGCCTTCAGACTCGGCAGCATCTGCGTGGCGGCGACCATCCAGCGCGAAAGATACGCTTTGAAGCTGAACTGGTCGTTGTTGCATGTGGAGGCTTCTTCGCACATGAATTCGAATAAGACGTTGGTGGCGTTGGGGAAGGGGGAAAAGAAAATGTGCTGCGCGCCGGTCAGGAGACCTTGGGCTCGTGTCGCCCAGAGGGAGGTGCTGTTGGGAGAGGAGGCGATGTTGGCGAGGACGGCGGTGCCGAGGAGCATCGTTCCTGCGTTGTAGGACCATTGGTCGTGATCAATACCGGTGCAATTTATGGTGTCGTCTGTGCCGTCGTAGACGTAGTAGTTGCCATCCAGTAACCCAACCCTCGCCATCCAGTCGTACGTCTTCTCCGCCCAGTCGCTGTAGGTGCTATTGCCCGTGTATCTTGCAAGACGTGCGGCGAGTTGGAAAAAGCCGCCGTTGGCAATGGAGGATTTGTAGTAGAATCCAGCGTTGTTGGGGTTGAATTGCCATTGCAACCCGCCGTTGCAGGTGGACGTGTTCCAGCGCGGGCCAGCCATGTCGTTGAAGACACCTTTGGCAAGCTCGATGTAGGTGACGTTGGCGGTAGAGGGAAGGGGGAAGGAACGCTCGGCGGCGGTCATGGCGGTGAGGCCCCAGAAGACTTGGTCGTCGTTGCCCTAATGTCATCCTCCATCAGTACTATTCCTATCAATGATAACTCCTGCAAATGAGAGCAAGGTGACGACTCACAAGTTGGCCCGCTTCCTCCGGCATCATGAAATCGTCCGTCGGGCTTGCTTGGGCCAGTATAGCTTGCGACACCACATCGTTGTAGCTGGTGTCGCCGGTGTAGTGCCAGTATTCTACCATTCCCCCCCACATCGCGCCGGCTTCCCACCAATAGTATGGAACAGAGAGGAGGCCAGGCTCTTTTCCGGTTTGGTTGCCGGTGTAGTAGGTCATCATGCCATAGGCTATCGTGGAGGCGGCGCTGCGGATGGAGTCTAGGAGAGGTGATGTTAATGGGCTGCTTTAAGAGTTGCAAGAGGGTAAGAAGTACTATCATCGGTGACATCTAGGAGAATAGCATGAGCAACTGTCGCTCCTGCTATGGCGGCGCAAAGGTTCGCTCCCGTGGTGGAGAAGAACATAGTGAGGCAGATGGGAGCAGCGGGGTCTGATGGAAGTGCATGCTGCAGAGGTTAGACGCAGATGCTGCCATGTTTATAAAGACCGTCTTGCTTCTGCTAATCTTGTGGGGAAGCCCCGTGCGTTTCCTCTTGGCCAGGGGGATTGGAGGTTGGTTTCCGTAAAAGAAAGCTGCTGAGAGGTCATGTCGTCGACTAGAATGACCCTAGTGGAGATTTGATTGACCACCTGCTCCAAGCATGCTAGCGGCCGTTGACCAACGAGGGAACCTCGGACGTTGTCTTCACCTTCTTCGTTCATCACCCTCCCCCCCTTTTCTCGCCCGTACATACTGAATGTTTAGTCTCGCGGCTTTCACCTTACAACACTTCAATATTGAGCCGAACAGAGAAGCCTGCTTTAGAAGTAGAAATTTGGATGACTGTCTCTGGCTCCTTTTTTCAACCTGTTGGCAGAGGACTGGAATATGACCAAACAAGTCTACTTCTTATGGTTCATCAGAATGTCGAAAAGAAAATGTGGAGAGATATTCGACCTTCGTTTTAATCTCCCCCCCGTCACAAAGCGTCTCTAGCTCGAATCCTTGCTGTATGTCTATGCATCTCTTGACATCTAGTGTGGTAGCATACCCTAAATGCTGAGTTTACCTTATGTTTTTCTTTTTCCTACTGGAAAACGTGAATGTTGTATAGCTTGAACTATGACTTGTCAAAATTAAAAGTTACACTGTGCTCTCAAACATGAGTCAATCCCCACTCACTTTTGAGGACGACGAGGTCTTCGTGTCCGCTCTCGAGTATACCGCTACTACCTATGAAAACGATAGAGTCCGTAAATTGACCCAAAAATGCGATCGCCACCTCATCCCGCCTCTCTTCCTAATCTGTTTCTACGCCTTCATCGATCGCATCAACATCGGCAATGCCCGCATCCAAGGCTTGGGAACAGACCTTCGCGTGACGGGCAATCAATAAAGTCCCTCTCGTCGTCTTTTCCATCCCCTTGATCATCTTTGAGGCACTTAGAAATCTCGGCATGAGGACGACCTCCCTACCAGTATGGAATTGCGGCTAAACCTTGTCCATAGGTGTCTTCACAAATTGTTAAGGGTAGTAAAGACATATGGAGGATTGATTGCCATGAGGGTTTTGTAGGTATCTTCCAAGCTGTGTCTTATCTCAGGCATTGTCTTCCTCCTCGCGGCATACTATCCGCGCTCTCAGCTACAATAAAGACCAAGCGTCTTGATTTGTTCAACCGCTTCGCCTCCGCTTTTGGTGGGTTGCTGGCTTATGCGATTGCGGGGACGGCGGGCACGGATGGCTAATTGAGGTGGAAGTGGATATTCATCATCAAGATCCTTATTAGTATGGCTATTGGCCTGTTCTGCCTTTTCACTTATTTCAGATTAACCACCTAAGGCGACCTTTCCGAACGGATGAGAGGGAGAACGAAAGCTACTCGAGGCGAGAATCTTCGAAGGCGCAACTCAGGACAGGATGAATATCCCTGATGCTCAGGCGGCCAAACGCCCACTTACGCATCGAAAGATCTAACTCAGATAAGCCCGTCTATCCTGCCAATCCATGCCAAGTCGCTCTACTCCGTTCCTGACCATACCAACATCCAAATCTACACAGCCACCTCCGCAACAGCCCATCCCTATCAACCTCTTCGGCCCCATCCTCGCCCTCTAAACCCTCTCCTCCTCCCTCCACACCACCGCCTCCCTCCCGCTCCAACCGCCCTCCCTCCCTCCCTCCGACCAAATCCGCCCAGTTACTTATTCAGCTTCTTCGGCATTCTCACCTCATCGCATCAGAGCGGGGTTCAGTAAAATGACCGCTCGATACAATACGATACGATATGCGGTTCCCGACTTCGTTCGAAGCTGAATCGGGCCCCATATCTCGGTTTCGCTGCTTTGGTGCTTGATGGCGAATGACCTGCGCGGGAAATACAAGACTGCTAGTTTGCAGATCGGCGTAGGGTATTCGATCGAGGTTGGTACTGGTCTTTCTTGTCTTCCCGGCTTGCTATGGAGGGGTCGTTTTAGGAGAGGATGGGTTTGCGGTTGGGTTGGGTCGGCGTTGGCGTTGGTGGTCGTGGCGGCTGTGGTGGGGCTGGGGCTGGGGCTGGAGGATGAGGAGAGGAGAGAAGGGGGGAGAGGGGGTATGGATGCGGTTGTTGGGGGATATGGGGGATGATCGGTCGGATTTTAGGTTTGTTGGTTGAGATTGGGATTGGGTTTGGTTGGGGAAGGAGAGCATGGGGGGGAGGTTCTGTCGGAGAAAGGGGTTGATGGCGGAACGTGTTTTGATGTAGTTATTTTGTCGGCTATAGGGATCTGAAAGCTGGTAGATCTACCGGAGTCAACCGAAATGCATCTCGTAATCACGGCGTACATATTCCCCTCGTACAGAACCCCTCTTTCCCCCACTCCACTCCACTCCACCCCTCCCATGCCAATCCCAGCGCTTCTCCACATAGCACCACTCATCCATCCCCACAGCAAGAACCGCTCTCCACCACAACCGTCCTCATCTCGATCTAGAAACCATTTCCCCGCAACCAATCACCCCCCCCGGATCCATCCCCCTCCCCATCCCAACGCGCCCCCATCGCGCCGGACGCGTAAGTGCATCCCGGATCTACGCTCCCGCTGGAATCTGGTGTGCCGACGACGGTGCTAGGCGACGAGCTCGACGCGACGACTCGTTCTGCCCGTGGTGCAGCTGTGTGGATTCGCGTCTCGCTCGGCGGGACGACGACGAGGATCGCGGCGGCGGAGAAGCGGTAGTTCAGGGTCGCTTCGTTGCCGTACTGTGGTTGTGGCGAAAAGGAAGTGAATTAGCGTTGTTATCGTCGGCGGTTTCTTGGGGGGAGTCTGGGGGAATGGGTGGGTATGGGAATGGTCTGTATTTAGTTGGGGCTTCGTACGTACCGCCAGTCCGGCATGCGCGAATTCTTTGTGCATGGGTTCGTTTAGCCATACGATCTGAGGTACTTTCTGGTGCGGCCATGCGGCGGTGACGGGCTTGCGGTGAGTAAAGAAGAGATTAGCTTCGCAGGGCATGGTGATTGGGTTTTTGTGGGGGGGGGGGAGATGTTGTTGGGGGGACTCACCTCTTTGGACTCCTCTTCGTAGGATTTATCGAATGTGGGCCCGTGGAGCTTCGTCCCAACGATGGTGGTGTATTCTGCTTGGCCGCATTTAGAGAATTTGTCTTCAAGATTGTTATAGTAGTACAAACCCTCTTTTTCTTCTTCACTGTCACTGCCATCCATTGCATCATACGAGATTTCAACATCCTCATCGAATCCCTCGCCACGAAGGTGTGTTGGCTTCCCGGAGAGGTTCGTGAGGCAATTCTCGACAAAATCCCCTTCCCTGGGGACGGTTCGGCCCCGCATTAGCTCCCTGGCAGACAGGCCTCCCATGTTCTCTGATCTGTTCTCAATGATGGGATGAACGCCGACCTTGAGACCCAGAGCGTGGAATACGGAGAATATGGCGAGGTCGACGCCTTTGAAAGCACCGGGGATCGATTTGCGACCGCTTCTCTGAGAGTGTGCGTATTGATGGTGGCAGAAGAATCCTAGGATGCCGCCTAGGAGATCATGTCAGCGTGAGATCAATTCAGCGGTGGATGCGGGGAGCTCGCCTCGTCTCATGAACTTTTGCTGGAGGAGCATCCCATTCGCAATTTCAAAAAGCGGCAGATGATGAGGATGGGATACTGGTTGCGCAAGCTTTCCAATCGATGAGTAGTATAGGTTGTATGTCAAGGTGATACGGTGACCTTTCGTAACCTCGAGGACTTCGTGTTCGCAATCTCCGTAGAAAGCTGCCCATTGGACAGACTGTGGGCTGGTGTGGCCCCATGCGAAGTCTACTGTTCCGCCGCGGTGCTTGACGCGTAGTACACCGCCTGATTAAAGAATCAGCATAGGGACAGCAACCAAAGCGCTTGGCTACTGGTGCCGGGAAATCGAGTCACGAAAATCCGAGTCACGAACCTTCGTGTTGGCAAGGCAAGCATACAACGAGTGAGCCAAATTGCATGACTCCGCGTGGGGTATCCACATGGGACAGGAATTTACCAGAGGGTGCAGAATAGATCTGGGGCTTTCAATTAGTCCCGTTTGCGACTTGACAGTAGTCTTGTTTTGATGTACATACATTGAGTTTATAGAGCTCCCCCCGAACGCCTTGCGGACCAATGCCGACAGCTTGTCCGCCTCTGATGGTGCTCGGAAGAAGTATCTGCTGGATGGAGTCCAAGATACCGCAATCGTGCGGGTGGAAATCAGTGGAGAATTGCGATGTGTCTAGCTTCACAGCCTTTCGGTATTTCTCGTCCAGGACATCGTGGCCACCAACGCCGAATGTCGCACGCTTGCAACTAGAAAGGAGGCCGTTGAGCATTCGGGATGAGCCATCGTGTTGATGTGGAAGAGGAAAGGAAATCTTTGATTGCTTGATATAGTGATCCTCCGAGTCCCATCGTATGGTGACAGATGGAAACAAGTTCTGCGCGCCAGTCCCAAGGTTGCCCGTACTTAGGTCTGAGATAGGTACGGATCCGCCGCAAGCAAAAGTAGCAGTGGCAGCATGCCCGTTAACCGCAGACGCGAGTTTTTGTAGCAGCGCGGTGTTGCCCTCTTGCACTCCATGGTTGCTCTGACCGTCAGCCATTATTACTAAGCGGGTTTTTGATTGAATAGATGTGGAAAACGCGAAGAAAGCGCGAAGTCAGGTGCATTTAAGTTGATGAGCAAGCGAGAGCACAGGCAGGCAGCAATTCCCATAAGCGTCAGGCAACCGAGTACTTTTCTGCAGATTTTGAGCCCCTTGCATGTATGGATGACGTGTCGGAGAGTCGGATGCTGCACTTTCCGAATTCCTAGCAAAAGAGACGGTTTCTGGTCTAAAGATTTGTTCCTATTCAGTAGATTGAAGACAGGTAGGGAAAAAACTTTCGCCTCGAAAATCAGGAGGGTATTTTGATTCGACCTATGTGCTGTCATGTTTGATGACATGCCAAGAAATGTAACGCCAGCAGAAGGTGTGTTTGTTCAAACTTGAAAAACTATCCGTGAGTATATTAGCCACAACTTGCCAACGTGAAACCGTGACTCCATGTGATCAACTAATTCTGATTCCATACCCTCGAAGTTATCGCAATGCCACCGCCACCGAATACCAAGAAAGGCTATGAGCACCTCGAGCGGTTGGAGTGGCCGGAAGATCTGCTAGGTCCAAATTACTGGAAACCCAATTCTACCCTCATATCGGAGCTATCGCAGGATTTCAAAGGAAAAGTAGGTCGCGTTACGGAATCATGCATACGTTTCTACCAGAAAGTCAACCACCAGCAAGCACCGATGATCAGTGGCGACAAGAATGACCCGGATGCTATTCATGCTCTGCAATTTGCGATGAATCGTCAAGACGAGCTTGAAAAAGCGATCGAATCGCCCAACGAGCATCCGACTCAGCCACTCTTGTTGTGGCTATACGAACGCAAAAGATCTTTGGTCAAGGCGATGCAAGCTGTTGTGGTTGCTGAGGAGGGCGAGATGTACGATTTGGCAAACAAGGAACCCTGGAAGGCGAAGCTCGCGGACATGACGAGTGAACACGTTGAACACCTAAGGTTCATCTTCCGTACCGTGATGGCCAGAATTGACATCGTGCTGGGGGATAAGGCGAATGTTAAGAGCGAGAAAATTCAGCCAACCCCCAGAGTAGCCATTGTACAGCCTGGGGTGACGGGGATCAATTTCCCAACCGCACCATCCGTCTCGTTCTGGAAGATAGACAATTCGCTGATGGAGAACTCAACATTGGAGATGCGCCAGGCAGCATTGGCAACGTATCACCAAGGCCGAGTAATGAGTGCAGGTAGAAACAATATCCCAGTCACTGAACCAAAGCCCTTACCCCCTGTGTTCAATGTCACCGTGCGAGCTATGAGCCTCACAATCCGTAGTATCGACTTGGTGTGGGTTGAAAGACAAGGGGGTTTGCCCAAGGCAAAAGAGCGAAGGCTTCTCGCTTGGCTTCGGGAAAGGAAAAATGCCGCTGTCGATCTCCGGTTCGCCTTCATAGAGTTTCACCTCCCATTAGAATTGCACCGACGCACTGTTCAGATTGATAATTTTGGTCTGATATTCGTGTCGAAAAAGGGCAAGTACTCGGAGTGGGGAAGGTTGTTTCTCTTGTAGGCTCCAGGCCACATCAACATGGGATGAATGATTGTCAGAGTGGGACCCAAGTCGGCGCCTGACAGCAAGCATACTTCGTCGGGGAGAGATGGCCCATTCCAAAAAGGACACGAGCTCCAAGGCTGCTTATTTTCCCGCGTTCCAAAATCTCTCCAAGTCCCCCTGCCTAACTTCATACGCCCAATGATGACAAGTCTGATGCATAACCGGACTGACATCTCGCCCTTCCTCGTCTTCTCCATCATCAAAGACTTCCTTGATACCCATGCTCACATATTTCTTCAACAGCATTCTTCTCCACCTCCCGGTTTCCCCTACACATTTCCTCCATCGACTGATCTGCCTCTCATCGTCTTCACACCGCCGTCCCATGTAGAAGCGGCAGTACCATTGAAACCATCCTCTTACATCATATGTATGATTGATCCACCCGGCAGCTTCCCACTCTTCTATGCTTTGGCCGGAGGAGACTTTATACTTATTGATCTCCGTATCATAGGTAGGGGAGGTGAGAAATTGGGAAACGTCGAGGCCGGCATACCATGTGGACGGCAGCTGTCTATAGTCATCGGTAACTGTGATGCCGAGTCTTCGCGAGTATAGGGGCCGAAAGTAGGAGCCTCCGAAACAGCCTTCTCGTATCAGCTCTTCCGGCGACTTATTAGGCGTGAAAGACGATTGATCTTGGAAGTGAAAAGTGGAATCGTCATCTCGGATTGGAGGAGATGCATTGGACTCCCACGTTATCCAGCCGGCGCGTATGCTCTCTATGTCCTTCGCTGGTATTGGTGCTATGGCCACTGCTTCTTGTTTGATCACGGGCTCCTTCACTTTCTTTGGGCCTACCCGCGAGCCTTTCTTGCGGGAGTGTCTCCAATCTTCGGCTTCATTTTCTGAGACGTAGGAGGGTTTGGCGGGCGTTGAGGCTATGCGTGCGGAGGATCGCGAGGGCGGGAGTGGATGGTCAAGCTTTCGCTTTTTTGCTGGTGGTCCCTTGGCAAGAGGAGGAGAGCTGGCTGATGGAGTGAGGTAAATGCCGAGTTGCGTCAGTTGTTCTCGGTTACGCTTGATGTTCTCTTGCCTCTGTGACTCAATATGATTCATGGTCATGATTCTGTTTCCGCTGAGAAAAGAAATCTCTTGCAAGCTCAGCATTCCCTCGACCGAGGTGACCGCGATCTGCGACTGTTTTTCAGTACACATGGATATCTAAAAAGGAAGGTGTACCGAGGAAACGAATCTCCTTGGCGCCAAGACTCTTCTCAGCCTCTTTCCTGCTGTACAAGTACCTTACCACATGTACTCTACAACATACAATCAAAGCGCCAAGATTCTCGTCTAATCTTTTTCCAATGAGCGTCGCAGGATCATTAACCATGTTACTTGCTAGAACGGCCATCAGCCTATCACACCTTTTCACTAAGTTAGCAACTCCCGGGCACAGCTTGGCCTGGTCCATCTCAGCCTGATCCGTTTCAGCCTGGCCCATCTTTTATTGAAGACTCTTCTACACCTCCGAGCTTCGAATGTGACTTGCGGTGATTATGAGAGGTGTGGATTCATAGATTTGTTGATCCATGGTTATGTTGATTCATGGCTTCGTTAGTCACCAGAAATGTTCCTATAAGTATGACCACGGTCTTCTTTTCTCCTCTCGCTCTCCTCTCAGAGCTTGGCGCTGGCCAAATGATCCTCGGCTTCAGCCTTCTACGGCGAAGGAGTCCTTAGACTCCAGTCCTAATGCAGTCATCCTGCAGCCATGATGACACAATGCAACCATTTCATGCGCATGGCCACGTCTGGTTCTTTTGCGCCAGCCCCAAGATCTCCCTTCAGACCTGTCCACCGTCACAATGAAGATTGCACGCAGTCCAGTTGTACGATTCTTTTCCCCCATTCGACTGGCCATTCGGTGGCATCATGCACCACTACTAGGACCACAGCAGTGAAACTACTTTCTGTTGTGTAAACGTTGAAGTGACGCTAGTTCAGTGTTTCATTAATTCATCTGCGAGCTATGTATGCCTGATATAGCTAAATTACGGTACAGAAAAAGCTTCCCGACCCTTATTATGTCAGAAGTGGACCCCGAACCCTGGTCAAAGTCTCGGCATTGAGAACATCGCGCACACCTATGAAAGGGTACCTTGGAAACACCCCTTATAGGCCCACCATCTCCTAGTCTAAGGTAAGAATACTCAATTCTACCTGCTCTACAATTTACCCTACATTTGAAGATCTTAGAGGGCGTTTAAATACCAGCTATCTCTAGATGCTCGATCACATTCCTGACATGGAACCTTGTCATCAGACTACGTGAAAGTTCCTCGATAAGGGTTTGATAATACATAAATTGATGGGGGGTGGTGTGTGTGCCCTTTTCTCGATGCTAAGAATTCTACAGGTAAAATCTTGCACACGAATATTAACCATGTAAGCTACGCCGTTGCTGCCGTTTCTCGGCAACTCTATAAGATGCCGTCAATGTTTTCCGTCTCAGATACAAAAGAAAGACTTATTCCCTACAGTCGCCTTACCACTTGGTTGTGTGATGCAACGGCACTCTTGCGAAATTTAGAGAGCCGCAGACGTCCGTCATATTGTCTTATCTTATCGAAACCTCATGGCACCATCTAGCAACGCTACGTCTTCGTCTTCAGCGGGCGCAGATCGTATGGTAGACTCTGTCTGGCTTGCCACTCAATCGACCAGCGTTGCCATTGGGACTCTTTTAGTCCTGACACGGATCTATATAAGGTCTATCATTATCAAAAAAATTGGTCTAGATGACATGTTCATCGTGATTGGTCTGGTAAATGATCCTGATTAGCACAAGGCTTCTGCTGTACTGACCACATTTAGGTCATCGCTCTTGTCGTCTGTGCGATGACCAGCCTTTCCGTTCACTACATTCAGCAATACTTCTCCGATCGCTCCCATGGTCAAACAGTCGCAGCCATTAGCAATTTCACTCTTGCCCAAAAATTGCTTGCTCTGTCGTTGCCAGTCGGAATATTTTCCGGTCTATGTACTAGACTTTCCGTCTGTCTTTTCTTACTACGGATCTTTCGATCGATCAGAGCATGGAGATGGGGTCTTTACGCTGTGATGGCGTTTGCTACGGCCGTGGTGATACCCACACACATCATCCTCCTTGCCCATTGTCAACCGATTCGGAAACAATGGGATCCGCTGTCACCAGGGACTTGCTGGTCACCTCTCATCCTGAGCCGCACGAGTTATGCGTACGGAGGTAACTATCGATGCGCCTGAATCGCTTTTACATTCGAGTCGCTTGCTAAGACTATATTAGTGACGTCAGTGCTCTGCGACTGGATACTGGCGACTTTACCAATCGTGTTCATGTGGAATCTACAGATGAGGGTCCGGGTCAAGGTGGGGATATGCGCCTTGATGGGAATGGGCTACTTGTACGTTCGTCTTCGCGGCCCAAGCATAATTTGCTGCTGACCGATACGCCAAATGTTAGCACCGGAATATGTGCCCTTGTCCGCACCCTCCTGGACAAGGAACAACCCTTTCTCAAACCGACAGACGAATACCTTCAAAGCGGTCCCGCTCAAAAAGCTATCTGGGCTATGTAAGTAGACTCGGACTCTACCTAGCTTGTCCTCCTACCGTCTCACCATTTCCTATCGGTCACCGCTAACCGCAATTGACTGTTTCGAAGCCTGGAAGTAAACGTTGGCATCATAGCCGCTTGCATCCCGACTCTCAAACCCCTCTTCGACCACTCACGTCCTTCCCACCTCAGGTTTTTCAGATCCGACAAAGCGGCCGACACCCCTGAGCTGGACGATGACAAGGCCTGCCGGAAGATATTGACCCTCAACACCCTAGAGAGCACGCTGCCCTCCTCCTTGGCAAATTCTCTGAACTCGAGTGGGGACTCCAGAGTAAGCCAAGCGCGCTATGATGGGGCGTCTGATGCTGCAAGTCCGCCGGACTCGAGGGTTTAAGCGGTGCGATGGCCGCCGGAGAGATGACGCAATGATTCCTGAACATGTTTTTCTTGGTGATAATGGGTTCTTGCGCTAGGGAACGGAAATACGTGAGAAGGAACAAGCAAGGTATAACGAGGCATTGTAAGGGAATATGTAAGTTTCAGTGAAGCTTTACCGTGGGACTGGAAGGTGTGAACATTGGATCCTTCGAGATATTGTGTTGCTCCGAATTTCCCTTTGCATCATGTTGTGCTTCTGATGCGAAACATTTCAACATCATCCCCATTGTCACATTCCGCAAGCTCAAGGTCCAAGTTTCCGCTCGGTGAGCGGCTTCCGAACTCGCTGAAGCAACTCAGCAATCAGCGTGTTCTTTTCACGAACTGATAGCAAGCGCGGTCACTATGGTGGACTGTGAGGTCCGGATCCGCAAATTATCGGCCCCTACTGATCGGACAATACGTAGTCCGTCAAATATATTTGATCTCAAAGCATCAACCATGCGATTTTTCGACTCCTGAAAAGCATGCATTTCGTGTCTCAATGCCTGAATCGAACATATCCCGGCAGAAAGCCCCACGGTCCATTCCCGCCATAGGCTAGCAGATGCCACATGACTACAACCATTCCACCCTCTCCTCGACCTCGAACCTCAATCTCCGCCCATGCCCTTTCGGCCCACTGACACGCACCCACGCCTTCCTCCTCATCCAACTCACCCCAGGACTTTCCACTTCTCCCTGCCAGCCACATCCTTCTTCCCCTATCAGATTCCCCAGCTGCCTTCCATACCCCAGACGGCCTTTCCGCGCCCTCACCGTCTTGCCCATCGATTCCTCTTGCAAATCCTCACCCGCTCGTCCCATGCATGAGACTCGCGGCGTACGCGCCGTCCATCATCTTCCCCCCGCAACCTGAACCGGTCCAGAGCATGCACCGTCGTCGTCGTCGTCGTCCGCCACGGCCGTCTGCCGTCGAAGAAGTTCCCGTTCGTCGTACTTATCTCCGTCTCTAGAGAATCAATCGTAGCTCCGGTCGAGGTCGCGCGCCGCCGGTGACGCGGGTCCTTTCCGCACGGGAATGCGCGCAGCGGCAGTAGGCGAGGTCGGGGAGCGTGCGTGGGATGGCGAGGATGCGAGTTGGAGGGTGATGAAGAATGGGAGGGAGAGGGAGAGGAAGGGGATGTATTTCCACTCGTACGTCGTGGTGCGTGTCGTCTTTCCACTGTCTTGCAAGCTAAGAATTGAATCACTTAGATTTCTGGCGGGCAAGGAGGGCGCTGTCTACTGTCTGAGTTCAAAACTCACAACCTTATGGGGTAGCGGATGTAGGTTTCCTTGTGGCTTTGCATCTACGATTATATATTGTAGTCTTACCCATTCCGGCACGCGGCGCGATATACCTTCTCCTTCGAGCAAAAGAGACATACTGAGTTAGATCTCGTCCGATGAATTTTACCCCGCGGTTTGTGCGTCACTCACGCCTATTGACCGAATCAGGTCAGTACTAATGTCGAGCTTATGCAAGCCGACTGCGTTAAATTTTTCCTGGCGCATCTGCGATTGGTCACGCTGTCCCCTTTCGATGCAGAGATCTCCCACGTTTATTTTCTCTCAATCGGGGATATCATGCAGGCAATTCGTGGTCTTCAAAGTGAAAAAGCGCTAGCCCATTCTTGTCTCCGGGCGTGCTCGGGGATTTCATCATCACTTGCGCGACCTCCAGTCTTTCCTACCTTATAACGCACCTCCAGTTTTCCTCCTTTGAATCTTCTCGGCACCACCAGCACCAAGGCTTCTAGACCGGTTTTCAGAGCACGAAGCCAGTAACCAAAGCGTCCCTCAGGAAACCCTCGATGTCAGCAACCGACAACGAGGACTGGGGCGCCGTAGCCCCCGTCTACGTGCAAGTCGAACGCCTCACCACCCCGCCCTCTCAATCACTTCTAAATCGCGTCTCCGCAATCCTCCCCCTCAATTCCCCTAACGCCACGGCCTTCGACAACGGCTGCGGCACCGGCGTTCTGACCACCGTCCTGAAACAGCAGAGTCCAAATATCCCGCTCCTCGCCACCGATGCCTCGGAGGGCATGGTTGACGTCCTGAAGCGCCGAGTTGAAGCTCAGAAACTGGAAGACGTCACCGCACGAGTCGTCGATGGCCGGAACCTCCAAGGCATCAAAGACGGCAGCTTCACGCACACCTTTTCCACCTTCATGGTCTGCCTGGCTCCAGAACCCGACAAGATCGTCGCCGAGATGCACCGCGTCACGAAACAAGGCGGCGTGCTCGGTCTGGCTGTGTGGGCCGATCCGCGCTTCGGTCCCCTTTCCTCGCCGTGGGAGAAGGCGTGCCGAAGGTTCATTTCGGACTACGAGCCTCCCATGGTCATGCCCGCTGAATGGACGCTTGCTGAGAATGTCAAAGCGGGACTTGAGAAAGCGGGGTTCGGGGACGTGGACGTCTGGGTGGAAAATGTGGCTTGGCGATGGGCCAGTGTCGAAGCGTTGTCGGAGTACTTTTTCGAGGGAGGCAACCCGGGGAACGTGAAGGTGCTCGACTCGTTCAAGGCGCTCGGCGGTAAGGTGGATGAGGCTAGGCCGATCTTTGAGAGCATGATTAAGGAGGAGTGTGGGAAGGAAGATGGATCCGTTGAGCTTCGTGTTCCGGCAACCCTTGCTACGGCGCGAAAGTAATGCTTTTGTGCATGATGGAGATCCAAGAGATTGGCTGAGAGGGGTTGATTTGTTGATAAAAAGAGCATGTGATGTAGAGTTTCATGAGATTGACTGTTGATGATCTCGGTAGCTGAATGTCAGTCAGGTGATGAGGTTATGTAGTCACAAAAGGACGGTAAAGGATACTCAGAACACTCGTAAGCCGCAAACCCCGTCCAGAATAATGAGAAACGAAATGGACGGTTTAATTCACGTCCCATTGGCAGTCTTCTCTAGCATTGCTTCACCCTGTGCGCATAATCGAAGGCTTTTGCGAATGCCAAAAAATGCACTGTGAGGCCGACAGCCATGAGCACGTGGAAAATCTGGTGCGATTGGCCCCACAAGTCGAACCATCCTGGTCGCCACGCTTCTGGTATTCTAGTCTGCCGCGGACTTTAGCTTTGTGCCCTTGAGCAGAGACCTCGTCTTTCAAGTAACTTACCCCGTAAATCGTGACGGCACTCAAATACACAAGTATTGTGATAGCGTATCGAGTCGCTCCAGCCTCGACGTCCATCTGGTTATATCCATGCACGAAGCATGCGTATATAATGGGGTAGAAAGCCGACGAAGCCATGAATGTGAATAGAAAGCCACGTAAAGGGCGCCATGCCGGCTGGCGGACACGGCGTACGAAGAGCACGAAGACTGCTGCAAGTATCTGTGCCACGAGATCAAGCTAAAAGGCCTAATCAGTGGTAGGTCTCGGATAATGCCTCGAAGTCAAGGCGGGATTTCTACATACGCTGATCCAGAACATCTTCGTACTCCTCGCCGAGCACGGGAAGGTGTACCACATTCCTGGCGGGAAGCAGCCTGCGGTCACGGCGCTAATGCCAAGAAGGTCCAAGCGATGGTAAACATCGTGGACTGCATGAGAATGGTTTGATAGGATATGATACCCGGTCGACAGGCCGAAACAAAGAGCTCCGCCGAGAAAGAAGAGGCCAAAGACGATCCAGTCGTCAGTGTTCGCATCTGAATAATGGCGTTTGGCATACGGGTAGTAGAAGATAGGAAGGCCGATCATCCACAAGGTAGCCAGGAGATGGCTATAGACGTTGCCGGTCTCATTATGCACCTACATGCAGCTGAAGAAGGACTCGATGTATGAGTTCGAGGTTGGCCGGAAGCCAGTTTGGATGTATTCGTTGTCCTGAGACCATGAGGGGAGATCGTCCCATGTGAGTAGAGAGCGATCGACTTTGGGCTTCTTAGGTGGGTTGTGGGATGGAACGTGCTCTCGGGTATTGGCGTCGCACTGATTCGACAGTCTCTGCCGTATGGTAGGAGACATGATGAGGGCTGCGTAAATTGAGAACTCGTCGACGAGATTGGAGGTCCAGTATACGGGATACTTTAAGGATCGGAGAGAAGTGTCGGCCAGATAAGCTGTTAGAGACAGCGATGGTCGGAAAGGCTAAGAATCTCTTGATTCATTGTCAATTTTCAATTTGGGGCATGGACACGAAAAGAGCTGACTTTCATGACTATACTAATCCCCTGAAAAGTGGTAAAGAATGGGGATTCTTCGCATTACCGGGGTGCTCGAAATACGATGCCAAGATTAGGGAAGGTTACAGAATTGACGAATGTTGTTGGGCGGCTATGTGGGCGCAAAGAATCACGTGCATCTTTAGCGCCGCTGGTAGATACGCTTTTCCAATTTGTATTGTGGCGAGCCACGTTCAAACGGGCTGCTTTTATCTGATATTCGCAGCAGGGTGAGCTTTGGTCTTCTTGTCGAATGAGTAAATCCAAAATATCGACACCGGTTTCCAATCATCGCCTGTGCTTTTTCATGTGCAATGGATGGTATGGCTGGCCTTGACCCATGCATTCCTCGGCATCTTGTCAAAGCAGGTGATTGTGCACACAGGGCCAAGTGACGCTGAAGGGGTTTCGACATCGGGCCAGCATTCACGTCGAAGTGTCAGAAGGTTTCATTCGAGGATCAACGTGATGTCGAATACTCCAGCCAGGCTAGAAAGAAACACTACGTGGGTGTCTGTTGACTCGATGTAGTTCATGTTATAACGTCTACTCCCTCCACCGAATCCCCCACTCCCCTTTCGCATAACTTGCCTCGACCACATTCCCGCTCATAACAGCCTCGCACTTCTTCCTGGACTCTTGCCTGCCTCCTCTATCATCACCATCTTCTCTGAGTAAATCAACGCTCTCCTTTCCCTTGCCGTGGCCCTTGCCCTTGCCCTTGGCCTTGCCTTTCCCCTTCACTCCACTATCTTTCGCATCCTCACCTCCAACCAAATCATCAACCACAACCCCGAAAGCACACAGTCTCCTCGCCGCACACCTTACCAATTCCCTCTCCTCCGCCCGCTTCTGCCCTTCTAGCCTCTTCTCTAGCATTTCCGGGGTTTCGGTAATCTTCTCCGCCCAGCCTTTCTCGCCGCCTATGCTGCCGTTCACTTCAGATTTCGATTGAGGGGGTCGGACTCGAAGGCTTATCATGTCGACCTGGCCAGTGGCAGAGATGTCAGACTCGGTTTCAGAGGAGTAGGACGAATTTGTAGCATCGACGGGGTTGACGGTGAGGGGATCTATAGCAGACGTATTAGCGCGTGGATGTTATATGGAGGATTATATGGAGAGGCTCTATTGGTAGGTCAATTCGAATACTCACTTTCAGCATCATCATCTTTGTCTTCCATATCAACGGGTTTCCACTCCTTCGGTTCGGGAGCACCTCGCCGAGCTCTGTTCTTCTTCCTCCCATATGCTTTTTCGGGGTCGTGTCTTACGCCAAAAACAAGCGCCTCGATTTCAGCACAGGATACCGTGACACGCGTTTCGCCTTTGACTTTCTTCGAGACGCCTTTGGTACCCTTGAGGACAGATGGATTGGGTGATACTACAGTGTTAGAGTCCTGCGACAGAAACAGCGAGAGGTCTTTACCGTCGAGTAAAGCGATGAATGTGTCTTGAATGCGACGGTCGGTGCTGCTAGGCGCTTGGCTTGGTTTATTATGACGGCATCGATCGGAGCAGTATTTGACGGTAGTTGAGGCGGCTTTGGTAGTCTGTGACTTCCGGGTGCCTTTGAATGTAGAGTGAGTACATGCTGCATGACAATGGGGAACTACATTAGGGGAAAAAAGGTTCCTAGGAAACGTAAATCGCATGGTAGAGCAAAGGAAGCATGCTTTTCATCGCCTATGGAAAGAGGGAAAGCGAAACGGAGGAACTTGAACAGTCTGAATCTATCACAAGATGTCTACATGGGTTTGACGGTCCCCTCAGCGTTGTGGTATGTTAGAATCCGGAGACATGGAGCTCGTCCTATGCGTATGAAAATTCGCGTAGATTCTCAAGCAGAGTGGGCACAAGATGGAAGCGAGAACGAGGATAAAGAGTCACAAATGGATTCCTGCAGTACTCACTGATGATGCGGCCACAAGTATGACAATACGGAATTGCCTCGCCTCCAGGTGTCAGATAGAGTGGTGGAGGCGTAGCGGCGTGCTGTAATAGTTTGAGTACAATTTGGCGTCATTTGTGGGCCTGTCTGTGTTCAACTGAGAAGCGTACCTTTGTAGGTCGAGACCAGCTATCCATCCATGACATGATGTCTCTGTCCGAAGGATAACACCCGCAAATTCTTGCTTATGTTGGTTGGTTGGGCGAAGGCGATAGTAAAGTCGGTCGTCTGTGAGAACTTTGTCAGACTTCACAAGGTCGGAGAACTGCCACCACGCCCTTGGTGCTCAGATTGCAGCAGCGGAGCGTATAGGACACAGCTCCCAGACGAGTCGTGGCTGAGCCTCAGCTTTTCCAAAACATCATACAAGGTACAAGTAAATGTAGCGTCAAGCAGATAGCAACAAGCAAACGACAGCGGGAAGGTTGTTAGTAAAGGATGACAGTTTTGGCATTGGACCTATGGGTAATCAGTGAATTGATTCTGTATGAGCGTCTTTGCTAAAGAAATGCGTAAACCCACGGTGGCAAGGTTTGAAACCTCAAACGGGAATAGCGCCTTGGCAGGATTATCTACCGTAGTGGCAAAGCGGCTAGCTGCTACCACCAGTATCATAGTCACAAGCTGTAAATTTGCCACAGACAAAATGCAAGACTTACCCTCGCAAGACAATGCCTTGCTTCAGTATTTGATCTCCTTTCCGTTGTCTCCATACCTGGATGACTACAAGTAGTGAAGTCCACGATCACACCAGTCCGCCCACACACTATTTGAATCACTTGAATGTGAATAAGAGCAGCATTGCCGTTGGCATTGTCGTCCACCCAGAATCATGTCCAAGCCAACGACGAAAATATGGGAGAGCGACAGCCCGTCTATGCCGGCATTGGTGCTGAGCTCGAGGGATGATGCTGGTGGACCCAAGTGATCAGGTTTGAGCCTTGCCATATCCATGAAATTCGAGAACGAGGACTTCGTGTTTGGAGTAGACCGTTACAGACACAACATTCAGCACCGTGCTCGACGCATTCCCGTAGAAGCTCTTCTTCCCTTCAATGCGCCGGCAGGGGTTTCATCTTTCGCGGCGGGTCGCTAGACGCCAGAGTCCCCTGAGGCGATATCCGCTTTTGAAACAAAAACATTACAGGTAGCGACGCCACCTTCTCATCTCCAGGACCTCAATTGCCATCTGTTCTCATCTGTTTTACTCGGAACGTGCTGGCTGTTTGACCTAGGACATAGTGAGACTCAAGTTGTTGTTGTTATTGCTTTCCTTTTGCAACCCGGCCCTGGTTTCTGCCCTGTCGATCACCGCCGCGATTCAATTACCTCCGAACGATACTTGTCCAGACACTGTAGTTGTGAATGATACATTTTTAGATTTGTTGTCTCTTCAGAAGTAAGCCCAGAGCATGACTCACATCGACCAGCCAAATAAGCTTACCATAGAAATCCCAGTGCCACGGGACTTACAGCACCACCACCGCCGCCCGCAGACTTTGAAATGAGGTACTCGTGGAATGAGAAGGTGAGATTAAAATTGGAGCAGGTATACAGCAACACGATCGACCTCATGGCGGATTTGGCTGTGCTGGGTTGGAACAGTGAGCTCCGAACTTTCCCTGTGACGGTTTTTGCTGGGCGGCGCTTTACCACACAGATTGTAGTAGACAATCTACTGCCCCCGCTTTAGATAAAGTACCTCATTTGGGGTCTCTATCAAACAGGTCTCTAAATAGGCCGAAGCAAGCACGCTAGGCTTCAAGCGGATATGGTACTGCAGGGTCGACCGCTTGGGTTCTTTACCTACGATACGAGAAGATACGAAACAAAGTTGCCCGGGCTGTCCGGGTACCCGACCAATAGCACGCTTCTTTTGAATGGCGATAATCCTTTGAACTACACCTCGATCGCCGCTTCAAGTCAAAAATCCGATCTGCAACTGTCACCGAGTAGTATTTTGACAGTAGACCACGGCACAGCGTTCGACCCTGACGACACGAAGTTGAAGATCTACTACGAATTTGACGGCGTAAAAACCTCGTCTAGTCAGATCTTTACCGCCTACCTGGATGCCCTGGCCACTGCGGCGGTACACGGTCGTGACGAAACAGACGCTGCAATCATTGCCTACAGCGAGGACCGTCACACGCCAATCAACGTACTTAGGGATATCTCATGCACGAGTTTTACCTGGGGCATACTCATACGGGCTTTGTTCACGGTTTGGGAGTACGGCACCTTGGGGTATGCTACGTTGAGGGATAAAAGGTGGGAGGGATTGTCCTTTACGATCGATTACGATGGTAAGCCAGCTGGTGAGGGTTTTATTTTGTATAATCCGAGGCCACCACACGAATTAGCAATTTCGAGGTGAGAGATCGGAATTGGAGAACTGTGGGTCGAAGAGGATACCTACGACAAGCTGCGTAGATCCTTCATGAGAACGTGGAGAGAGTGACAGAGAGTCTTAGATACACACCCAGACGCAAGGATGCATGCATGCATCTTCAGCTCAGGGGACAAATTCACTAGGGTTCAGACAGCGTTTCGGGTTAGATCGTTCCGACGCAGTCAATCGACGTGTATCATAATCCATTCGCGAGGACGAAAGTATCGTACCGCAGGACCTCTTATCTGCCACGCTTTCTAATTCAGCAACTTTGATGATAATGTATCGGTCGTCGGGGTCGATCAGAGAAACAATTTTGACCCCCATGGAACTCGCTCCGTATAATGTCACTACTACGCTATTGCTAGAACTGACCTCGGAATTGGTCATCACGACGTCGTGGGCGTGGATGTATTTGGCATTAAGATTGTTGTTCAAAACATTCAAAACCCAAGGTGGTGTCGATGAATGTCTTGTCGATGTTTAGCTTGTGGGCCTTCGGGTGCCGGGGGGAAGGGGGGTGGGGGGAATCCGGGGAGTTGTTCACTATGACGAGCACTTAGTTCTCGAGCCGTTGGGAGTCGTTCGCTGTCTCGATGACACGGAAGGCGATGGCCTAGTATTGTTGGTTAGAATGCAGGCTGGAGCTTCTGATGACTGTGAGGGTGCGTTCCGAGGCGCGGTGTTGGAAGAACTTAGAAGTCAAACTCTGGGCGGTCGATTTTCTTGCGAAAATGTTGGGGGTAAGTACCCTTGTATGAGGATCTACACCCTCGAAAGTCTGGCCACAAATGAGAAGGAGCTGGAGCCTTGTTCGGAAAGAGAATCCACCACTTGGGGAGATTCTTATGTTAATAACTGCTCCATTTTACAGCGTTTCTACATTCCGCCACGGGACATCAAGCAAATCGACATCTCAACCGTCCCCTCCGAAAGCTTCCACAACTTCACGAATCGTCATAGTACGTCGCCAAGAACATCGCCCGGGCGTCCGCATTCCTTGGGTAAAAATACCGCACCTCCACCGTCCCCTCCACCGTACACGCACGCCCCGGCCCGAAATTCACAAACAGCACCCAAAACACCTCGGGCGTGCTGCTCGCGGTCTCCGTCACGACGTACCCGGCCTCCACCCCGTTCACGCCGATCGTGGCTGGAAGTGCGCGCTGCCGGATCAGGATGGCGACGACGTCTTTGGGGACGGTCGTCGCTGGGGAGGTGGGAAGGTTGCGCGTTACGTCGTCTATGGTTACGGGGATGGAGATGTTGGTCAGGCGGAGGAGGTTTTCTTGGACGAAGGCTTCGAGGAGGGAGGGGGAGTGCGCGAGGTGGGTTGCGACGAGGAGGTAGTCGGATGGGATGGACATGGTGGGGATGGTGAGGTCTGCTTTGAGGGGGATGACGGGGTTGGGGGCCTTATGTGGAAGATGTTGCATGGGGCGGAAGGGTTTTGAGGTCGTTGTCTCGAAAGGTTTGTCTTGCACAGTGAGTGAGATTGTTTGAAGGATTGACCTCATGAGAAGTAGGCGAGGCTTTCAGGCAAAGTCTGCTAGGTAATATGTTTCCGAATCCCGGAAGCTCGTCAGACATATTATCGTCTAGGTTCCCAAGCATTCACCGTCCCTTCTGGTAAGGTGTCTCACTCTATCACTGTCAGTATATCTCGAACAGGGTGTGTTTAGAACACGAATGAGCGAGCCATGAGCTCGAAGAAGGGTTATTAGTCTCAAATGATAGAGAGGCGCTCTTGACATGAAGGATGATTTTCCCCAAGAGACCTTTGCCAAGTGAAGTCGGAAGGAAGTGAAGTAACAAAAGCTCTATCAGATATGGTTGTAGATCTCTTTATAGGCTCGAATAGCCCTATCGGCTTCCACGACCTCTTTAATGTCTTTGCGCAGACTGAAGTATCTCACCACCGGGATTCCTTCTACCCTAAACCTATAATCTTTATCGACAATTAGAATGTAAGAGTTCCCGGGTTCCCGTTGATAAGTGTATACGGGAGCGGTTTTTTTCTCCCACGTGGTAATTCGAATGACGTCTGAACTGCTTTGTTGCGCGATGAAGATAGCGAAGGTACCATTGGGAAACACGGTTTCTTGATCATGTGGAGGCTGTGTAGGTCCTATAAAGGCGCTCATAGCGGTCTTGCTAGATATGAGAAAGGTCTGGGATGGTGAAGTAGGGTTGGAAGTCTTTTCTTACTAGTTCCATGACCTTTTGCTCGAGCTTCTGGTCATCGTTGGCTATTTCCGTCACGTCAAAGATCTGATGAGACATGCTGACTAAAATGACTTGTGGTATCGCCGGAACCAGTACAGCAGCAGCAGGGTTTTTCTTTGGAAAAGATACTTCTCAAGACAGGAACGCCAATACTAATCTTTGTTGTCAATTCATGGCAGTTCTGGCTCTGCAGTCCGGATGGTGATCCTTCAAGCAGACCTCGCTCTACCTATATCGTAGATTCCCGCTGTCTTCTGCACCATTTCAGTGACAAACAATTCACCGAGAACTGAACGGGGCAACGCGGAAATTGAGAGTTGCCTGGAATTCAGTGCCTCAACGTCACCAGGAAATCTGTCTGTGCGCAGTACTAGATTATTGGACACCCTCTGTACCTGCATCACAATCGCAGCAAAACTTGTAAACTCCGCGGGATGGATATGGAGGTTTGCCAGTTCTGGAGGAAGATTTTGGATCGATGTCCAACATTTGGATTACTGAGAAAGATGCTTTCGACCAATTTTGAGATGACGGCCCTGATTGAGACCCTCCAGATCTCGTGACGGTACGTTGTCTCCGTTTGATGTCCACATTTATCAAGCAACAACGAAGTAACCGCTGACTTAGCACCAGACATGTCGTGATGTGTAAGAAGACAGGCTGTCGTGGAAGCCGTATAACAGATCTCGGGCTCCTTAACAATGTATCGGCCAAGCGCTTGAGAAAAGGTCAACGCTAGTGGCAATTGCCTCTTCTGCAACTTTTGCAGTCGTTCATCGGCATGAGCAACACTGCCAGAAAGTATCATTCCATTTTGGTTTGGATAGGCGAGGCTTCGAGCCGCAGTCATACAGCGCTCGAAATTGGCCTCATCTACGCCAGAGCGTTCAAGCCATCTCAGTAGATCTCGTGTATATCCCACAACCGCCCCTGCGGGATTAGCAAGGTTGAGAAGAGCTGTCGCAAGATTGAATCCGGCGCTTGTAGCAGACACTCTTAGAGTTTCCTGCGATTCTGAGTTCATGGTTTGGCTAATCTTGGAGGAGTAGTATTGATCATTCGAAATCGTCGTTGCATTAGTTGTGTTTCTTCGCGACCCTTGCACTTCTCCGTAGGGTTGCGATGTAGATCTAATGTCTAGCAAGAAGCCCTTTTCTGGTATTCGAGAACAGCCGTCACCGTATACTAAGGCTGGAGTGTGGCTGAAGCAGCATTGAGGCTCCAGCAGGCAGCACCCTAGGTCAGCACTCTGTGCCTGGATAGTATCCAAGAAATATTCTAGGCATCCGTTCCTTCAGTACTGTTAGGTCATCTCAATGGTAAGGATGCGACGACTAACTATGTTGTAGTGAGAAGACTGCGTAGAACCGCATCGGAAATTAAATTAGACGCCTTTCGCCTGCACACAAAGTATCCGCGTCTCCCATCTCAACACAACCTTCATTGATGAAACCCATACGTACGAATTGTGCGACCGTCGCTATGTTCAAGCCACTACTAAATCTGAAAGGTTCCTCACGTCGCCGTCAAGTTGCTATGGCAAGAGCTGAAGCAAGGCAACCAATCTTCAATCCTTACACGCCGTGCACGTGCGATCTGGCCATCTCCTATGGCGGGAATACTTGTCTCCGGAAATGGTTCGTACCTCTATACCATGACACCGGGAGGACATCCTACCACCTACTGAAATGCCCTCAGCTCCGCACCGTACGCTCCAAGACAAGTAAGAGGCGTAAAAGCCCCGGCAGGCCAACATCATACCTGGGTCTCAGGGGAGAGAAGAGGGAGAAGTCCAAGGCGGACACACGGAGGGAGAATGCTCGGCGCCAGCGAAAGGAGGCGCGAAGATTTCGAGACTTGGAGGCAAGGGCAGGAGCCATGAAAGCTGTCAACCCGGCCCGCAACCCGTTCGCACAATGCTGCTGCGGTGACATGCTCAGCGACTCCGAAGACGAAGCTGTCCGTGAAGAAGCGAGGGTCATGTGCCACACTCGTTTTGACGGATCAACAACCTTCCACCTCCCGAACTGCCTTACAGGCCGATCCAATTACACCGGTCCCGCAAATCCCACCCCAGCCAATCCAAGTCTACACCCTACGTCGACCTTGAAGAAGAAAAAGAGGAGACGGGAGGGGCACAGAAGAGGAGACAATATACTCGGCGCCAGCCCAAGCCGGCGAAAAGGCACCGTGAGATCCCGGAGCCCAACGCAACTCTGGAAGCTCTGAAGGCTGTCTTCAACCCCTACGCCGAATGCTCCTGCGACCTCTACGATACCGAGGAGTGTCCTTTCAGACCGCTTAGCCTTGTGGTACCCGATAATGGAGCAACGTCGAATCATCTAGGAACTTGTGCCAAGATGGTCATCGTGCCGCAACTGTCCCACAAAATGCATGCCAGCCCAGCGAAGCGAAAGCCTACATCAATATCGAAGGAGAGGAAGAAGAAGAAGGAAAGAAGGAAAAGAGGCACCGATGTCGCTACTGGCGAAACAATACAATTCGAGGACTACGGCCTCAGACTATCTACGAGCCGTTGGCGAGCATATGGAACTAAAGAGGAAGAGTCGCGATTTGGAGAGATTGGGCCAATTGGTACAATCCTAGCTGGTGCAACGAAGACAGGGAAAAAGGACGCGGGTCATACAAGGGGTCGAAAGCGTTCATTTTGGTCGCAGCGCTGCCCAGATGTTGCAGCAATATTGGGTGTAACGCGAATGATTATGAGGCAGACTCGATGCGCTGGAATTGAGGCGTGTAAGGATGAACCTGGTATACAAGCAACCACATGTTTAACATTCCAGTCCATGAGACTTGAATATACCTCGTTGCTTGAAGTGATGGCGCGCCTAGGGATCATAAGCGATTCAAGCAGCGCCGGATAGGTCCCTAAAGCCCGCTCCCTAAAGTAAAGTAGTCTCTAAAAGCACCCTAGGGCTAACGGCCCCTAAATCTAACGCCGCACCGCCCGAGCCTTAAAGGATGGCTCCTTCTTCCTGCGTCCTTTATCTTGAGACATCTTGTTTCCTGGTAAAGTGACATTGTAAATGTACGGCGGGTTGGCATCAAAACTTCAAAGCATTGCCACCACTGCTACTACCAGCCTTCACCCTCTTCTCGGAAGGCAATCCCGTGGCGAGCCTCCGCGGAGAAAACCGTAGAATCTTATCCTGCGAGCGTGTTCTCAGATTTCAGCCTTGAGAACCCTTTTTTTTGAGCGCATCGCCCAGGCAATCCTTCTGGCTAGGAGTCATTATTCAAAATCTTGGCGCAGGAGCCCTGGTATTCATGACTTTCATTTTCAACGAATCAGAAGGCTTTCCCTCCTTCTTTTTTTCATGTCGCGGGTCTCTCTACAAAGTTCCACATCACCACTCTGGCCGCGCAGCACCATTGGCCATGTCGATGTGCCTTGCGAAGCTACCTGCATGATGTGCGAGCGGCTATTGCCCAAATTTAGTGATTCAAAAATAACCCAGCCCCACCTGCATCGTAAGCTGCATCTCTTGAGGGTGGGTAGTGAAAGAACGCGGTTGGTCCTCTCCAAAACGAGGAGGTGGTGCAGTTTGAAAAGCTGCAGAATTAACGCCCAATGCCATATACATAGTCTGATGATCCCCCGAGCTTCTCTGACAAGTTTCTCCCGAGTAGTCTCTTTCTGTGCACCTCCTCTCGGCGCTCTGGCATACGCCTCACCGTCTATTCCTCATTTTATAACTGCAAAGTCTTCCAAGCTCGGTTAGTTTCCTGACTTTCACTACATTGTTGGACAAGGCTGCGTTGAGAACAGTCACGCCTACTCATTCTATATATCTTTTGGCAAGCCCGTCTAAGTCATCTAGAAAAACGCAACTAAAAGCATCTGCTGAATCGCGCAAACATCCATCACCGAAGTGTCCAAGTCCACAGTCAAATTTTCAAAAACGACGACAAAAAGTAAAGCCTGATAGCCCTGTCGGTAATTCTGACGCTTGTATCTTCCGGCCGATCCCAAAGCTGAAGAGGAAGTGTTCTCCACAGCTTCCACGGCAAGTCTGTTTGTTCGCAAAGCCTTCAACCTTCGCCGGCAAACCCTTGTGCTTGAGAGCCAAAACAATCTCACGCGTGGTGCTTGCCCGAGGCCTGGTGGCTGTTGCAGTGAATACCAAGCACCTAATCTCCATCCGCCAACGTATACGTTCCTCAAGACTTACGAAAAGAATCTCCACAACTATATCCGGCATGACGGCAAACCAGACCTTGGTACATGGCTGGAAATCGACCGATTGTGGACGAGGGACGAGCGACATCCTATGGAGTTGCCTCTCCACTATACTCCTCTGTGTTTGGACAGTGATCCATCTTCCGCTTCCATGTTGTTCAGTTTTCCAAAATGGTCAACCCATACGAGGCGAACCATCGCGGCGGTCTTTGAGAAATTGGATCATCAGAAATGGGATCGTGCCAGCAGTGGTCAGTGTCATCGCCCCGGAGTTCTTGACCTTTACCGCCATCAGCGAGCTAATTGAAGGTCGGAGGATCAAAAAAATGATGACCGAAATGAACTGGACTCTGACCCATAGTTTGTTTCTGCAAATGGGCGGTTTCTGTCTTGAAACCCCTTCAGGGAAACGTCTGCAGTTCGATGCCATTGAAATACAGTCTGCAATAGACGCGGGCAAGGGAACAGGACATCGATCTCCAGACTGGCTTTCCAAGCTCGAGGAGGTGGAGGAATCTCATATCAACGACCACGCCATGTCAAGCCCCTTGACGAAATTCATTGCTTGTAGCCAGGCGCTATGGATGGTGACTCAAGTCATAGCACGAGTATGTCGGCATCAGGCTGTAACGCTCTTGGAAGTCAGTACATTGGCGTACGCAGCCTGTGCATTGATTGCTTATGTCGCTTGGTGGGAGAAACCACAGAATGCTACTTTGCCGATCATAATTCCCTGCTTTGATGAAGACTTTCCTAAAGGACGTACAGAGGATCCAATGTACTGTAGCGATGTTGAATTTTCTGGGTATCTTTGGGCTGGCCAGAATTGGGTAATACATGTTTCAGGCAGAGATGAAGCAAAACTTATTGACGGGGGACTCGTTCCTCTTTGCCCAGCAATCTTCGGCGCCATTCACGTTGCGTCATGGAACATCAGACTTCTTTCAAATGTGGAACAGTGGTTGTGGCGAGCAAGCGCTCTATATTGCTGCACCGCAGGTTTGCTTAATCTTTCTGTTGGTATTGATTCCTTGCATCTGCGTAGGCTTGTCTTGGATTCGAGAAGCTACGGCGGGATGGTCTCACCATGGACGCGGC